ACTTGTTACTGATGTCACATTGAGGGCGGGCTTTGTTCCTCTCCAATACGCAATATGAATGGACGCATTGTACTTCCACTGTCTCTGATTTCAAAAAAAATAATTATAATAATAATGATAATAATAAAGAGCATTTATAATGCGCCAAATCCATCTTGATTAGATGCTCAAGGCGCAGAGAAACAAACAAATAAACATGAACAGCAAAAACAGCAGGGAACAAAAGTACGCACAAATGAAAATACATGAATATGAAACAGTAAATATGAGAGTGAAATCAAACTGGATGATTAATGAAATGCTGTTTGGAATAGGTGGGTCTTCAGAGCACATTTAAACTCATGGGAAGTAGCACTATCACGAATATTTTGAGGAAGTTTGTTCCATAACAGGTCCAGCATGAGAAAATGAACGGTCCCCCCAAGATTTAATAGTTTTAGGCACAACAAGCAGGGACGAATTTGCAGGCCTGAGGTACCTAGCAGGTTTGTAAGAAATGAGCAAATCAGAATTATAACCAGGCGCAGAACCATGTAAACAATGAAAAACAAGCAAAAGTAATTTGAAAACTATTCGAAACTGTACTGGCAGCCAATGGAGGGAACGCAGAACTGGCGTTATGTGAGTTTTACAACTAGTTAGAGTAACTATGCGAGCAGCTGTGTTCTGGAGTTTCTGTAATCGGGCAAGCTGTGTTTTGGGTAAATCATAAAGAAGTGAGTTGCAGAAGTCTAAACGGGATGATATCCGGGCATGAACAATCTTTTCAGTGGCTGAACGAGTTAAGTATTTTCTGATAGTACCAAGGTTACGCAAATGATACCGAACAGATTTACAAATAGCAGATACTTGAACAGACATGGACATATTTGAATCAAACATAACGCCTAAATTTCTACAAGAATCCGAAATGCAAATGATGGAATTATCTATGTTAACAGATGGGATATCTATTTTAGCCAACTGCACTTTTGAACCACAAAGTATCATTTCAGATTTATTATAATTAAGTTTCAAGGAGTTGAAGCCCATCCAGGATCTGACATCTTCAATACAATCCTCCAGTCTCTTCATAGCGGTCGCAGCATCAGCTTGGTTGGGGGGAAACGACACATATGTCCCCAATGAGGGTGCACCGTGCAAGTGGGTAATAAAAGACATTTGCTTTTCGGCTTAACCAGAAAAAAATGCTTTCAAATGTATAAAAAACAATAAACACATATTGTTAAATAATCTTGCATGTAAAAAAATCCAAAAGAATAAAAATGTCATAATTGACACATTTTTACAGGATATTTGTATTTTTCGGTCTTAATTTTTTTGGGTCTTAATTAGTCCAGATAACTGCTTATGTTCCCACAATGGTGACGTCATCACTCCTATAATGGATCCTTTCCTGTGTGGATGTTGAGTGGTTTATGAGATCTACACCTGTTGTCTCGACTCAGAGATTAGATTTGACACTTGAAATTCGTCTGGTTCTACAAGAGACACTTCTGGGCCTGCATGCTTACGAAACAGTTTACAGACAAGCATATAAATTATTATTATTGAAGGTCAAGAACCGTGTTTCATTTAACTCATTAGAGGGAGTACAAGTCCTAGGGATATCCTCTTGTGGCATGGAATGAGGATGAGGGTCGGAGCGTAGGGAACCCATAGGATCTTGGACGAGTACGGAGCCTTGGATGACGGACCGAGGGAGGCTTTCTGATCTTGAGAAAGCAGAGGGCGACGGCAACAATAGCTACAAGGATTAGAAGGGCGAGGATGCCACCAATAATCGGCCAGAGCCTCACAGACTGATGTGCGAAAGCGTTGGTATCTGTGACGATCCAAGTTGGGCGAAGGGTTGAAGCGTTAGGAGATTGCGTTGGCTTGCGGGTGCTTCTCGCTAAATCCTCAGCTGAAGTGGAAACACTCTCGGAGAAATTACTCTCAGTCGATTGGGTGGAATAAAATATCTCTGGGAGCAATGATATCTGGAACCAAGAGCTCGACTCCTCGCAGTTTTCGGCAAATGTGACTTCACATCTTATTTGGCTTTTGTTGTCTGAGGCCACGAGCGGTGAGATGATCAGCCGATTGGCTGAGGTTGTGAATCGTCCCGTGGCGTTAATGTTAATAGTCTGGTTATCTGCTCCCTTCATGAGCCATCTCAACGTAGATGAGTCGGGATGGGGGTCGATGCCACAGCTAAACTCCCCTTCACCACCCACAACAAGGTCTTCGCTTTTAGTAACTCTTGTAGATACGTTCATGGGTATTTTACAGATAGGTGGGTCAGTCACAGTGAGAAATGAGGGTATTGAGGCTTCCAGTGGGGGATCTCCTGTTGCTCTAAATGTGTAGCAGAGGTACTCCCCAGTGTCAGTTGAAGTAACATTGTGAATTACCAGCGTGTAGATCGTTCCACCTCCGGTGCCATTCAGATACACTGAAAATTTTTCAAAATCAGATGAATAAATCGAGACGCTGGAGCAGCGGGAGAGTAAAGTACGGTTATCGCTGCCTATTGGCTGCCTCGCCCAGTAGATCTTATCAGTTGGACATTCAACATGAAAGTTAGTTTGACAGAACAATGTCGCACTTCCACCCTCATGAACAGTTTGATTCTTTGGGTTCAGACTTAAACGGTCTGATTCTAATGCGGATGAAACTTGCAGTAAAATGCACACAAAAAGCGGAAAATTAGTTGAAGCCATTGTCTCTCTGATGATAATTAGCAGAAGAACTGAGACTCAGTGTTGATTACATTCTGTTTTAAAGCAAAACACTGGCACGGAACGCAGACTCGTGTCACATAGGTTATCTGAGTTTTTATATCCTGTTAGAAGTCTCGATTTTCCACGAGCTGAAGTGATTCTGTAGTAAACATGATAGGCCAGTTTAGTTTTGTTTTAGCCATATTGGGGAGAGTAGGGTAATCCCGAACGCGGGGTAATGGACTCGTTTATACTACGCTGCATCGGGAGTCCTTTATTACGCCCCGATTTACTATGTTTTGTTTGCTGCCCCCAACGACGACTTTTACACAAATTGCACGTTCGGGTCGAAACAGGACCTGAAAAACAGCTCTAAAAAGTACCTTTTGTACTCATTTCATGACAGAAACAATAGTCGTTTCTATTTCATCACACCTTAGGCTACATATACCCGAAAAATGACGGAAATGTCTTCGAGCATTCCCCAACCTCTTTAACCCCATATGCCCTTCATGGCTGACAGCTGTACTTAAGATCAGCAAAAGTCACGCCAAAAAAAAAAGTCAACTTGGCTGGGGTCTCATTTTCCGGAAGTGATGAATTTATGATGCAGCTAGGTTATTGCCAAAATCTGTTTAACCCTTGGAAAGTGCAACGCGGCTCCAGACATTTGTCCTTGAAAAAAACATATCGTGTCTCAATTTATTTAAAGATATGTCCATACATGCCTTTCAAGAGATGTACGTATCTTTGTTTCTGTCTATTTCTCTCTCTCATTCATGTTTTAATTTGATTAAAAACCACCTGTTCGCTCGTTTGGGAATACTTAGTCACAGTTCGCTAAACCTCCAAGAATTTGTTTGTGCTAAATTGCACCGACTGATCCACCCAACGGGAACTTTATTGTCGGGCCGCAAATTCATGATACATAAATAAATAAACTGTCGTAATTTAATACAAAGTAACGCGGGCAGATCTTATCGTTAAATGTCTCATTCGTACTCTTGTAGTGCAAGAAAAAAGCGATTGAAAAAAAATCGTGTTGAAACTAGAAACAAAAACATTACGGACAAATAAATATTTAATTATCCCAAAATCCTATTTAAAAAAAAGGTTAATATTGTTGGGGAATGGATAAGTCGATATACTTTGGTTGAGGACTGTGTTTACTGTGACTGTTTATTCCACAACAATATTTTAATACACATTAATTGATTGAACTGGTTAAAGCGAACTGAGACAAAGAGAACTGGTTGAGCTGACTGGATGATCGGAATGAATTGATTCCTCCATGATTGAACTGACTACATGATTGAATTGTATCGAACTGAATGGTTGAAATAGACTAGAATAGAAATGGAAATGGAATTGAAACAGAATGAGGAACTGCTAGTGGAGCAGCACTATATACTGGTGGAAACAGGAAGTCAAAACTTAGTCATATCTTGGCTTCCTTGATTATCAGATAAATGACTAGGAATGAGTAACAGTTCATTAAAACAACTCAAGTAACTTGGCTGTACTAAGAAACTGACCAGTGACTTGTGCGTGTTGGCAGTGAAGGGTCATTTACTCTGTATAAAACTATAGGGACTACACATTGCATGTGGGTGTACAAAATGTATGTGCATACAAGGAACACGATGAGTAGTTCAAAAGGAACATTGATAAAGTGTGAAAATGAAGACAAATATATAATTACATATGGTAAATCTGAAATTGACAATCTGTAAACTCTACAATATCCTACCTTTTTCCCCACAAAAGTTTTTGAAAAACAGTATAAAACACACAACCGGGAAATTGTGGGAGAAATGCATAACCGATCTACCATTAGAAATTTACCATATGTTTGAAATCGCCTTGCCAGGCTTGGTGCATTATGCAGCTTAGGCCCAAAAAAAAAAAATTAGTCGGTCTCTGGTCAGCGCGCGCGTCGATTTTAAGCATACGCGTCGATCTTTATTTTTTCCAAAATGTTCCGCGGTAGCTCCAACAGCGCCCTCTATTTCCGCACCTCCTCAATTTTTTTTTACCAAAGAGCACCAAGGAATGGGAAACTGCACCAAGGCAAATGATCGAAAGCACCAAGGCAAATTATGGAGGCCGCCAATGTACATGATGACACCAAAAAAGCAAAATAGTACCCACCTTGTCTGTACAATCCAAGCTGAAGAAAAAAAAAAAAAATGAAAAAAAAAAATAAAAAGCCGCGTGGCCGCGTCAATTCCGGAACTTTGGTCTGACCAGAGACCGAATATTTTTTTTTTGGCCTTAAAGGCGTCAGGTGAATTTGATGGCTTTTTCACTTCAACGTTGACGTACACATGGTTCACTTGGTATAATAGTACCACGTAGGAAATTAACAGATGTACATGTATGTACGTATTTATATGCTATCATTTCGATAGAGTACTATTCCTACTGGTGCGGGCCCAGCTCCATTACCGACATGAAATTCGACAACATCTTGAACCACGTGGGCGCGTTTGGTACCATCATGTCAATGGCCGCTGACGATTGATCTCGGCCGCTGCGAGATCAGTACTACAGTGTACCACATGCGTCGATGTGCACGTTGCATATAAAACCACTGTGCAGAGATGACAGCTGCAGTACGGTAGCGGATTCTTGTTCTGCCCATGAATTCGTGTGCGCGTACTTACAATAAACGGGTTCCGGTTGACATAATTCATATATACTATAGCCTAGTGGGCCACAAAGGGTGAAATCGGGCGCCGTCCAATTCTCCGTAGAGCATACCGTATAGTTGTTGCATATAGAGGACCCGGCCAGCGGGGTGCAATTACTTTTTCTGCCACCAACCCGAGTTGCTGCTGGCTAGATAGTCCTGAAACTCGTATTCCTACTGGTGCGGACCCAGCTCCATTATCAACATGAAATTCGACAACATCTTGAACCACGTGGGCGCGTTTGGTACTTACCAACGCCGGATCTACTTCGTCATGACCTTAGTTGCGATACCCAGTGCCTTGCACACCTTTAGCCCCGTGTTCCTGAGTGCCAAGACAGATCACTGGTGTACCGTGCCAGAGCTGGCTCCATACCGGGGCAACTGCACTGCCTTGTACCCCTCAGGTACCCCTGATCAGTGTTCGGCCTTCCTGAAGAATATCAGCATTCCTCGGGAGGTGGATGACTCGGGCAAAGTTAGCTACGCTCAGTGCCGACGTTTCAACTTGACTGGTTTGGACGTGGTTGGTAATAGTAGTCTTCTCCTTGCACAGCCACCCATCGTAGTTGGTGATGATGATGAGGTCGGGGAGGTTGTTGATGAGGTCGGGGAGGGTGGCCCCGCCTACAATCAATCTCAGGGAGTGGCTCAAGACTCTGTGCAGGTTATCCCATGTGATGCTGGATGGGGATATGATACATCACAGTATAGCAGCACAACTAACCATCAGGTATATATTGCTGTAAATTTCACAGCTAGACTAATAAGTATTACTTTTATTGATTTACTCTGATGTCATTGTCCATATTTTCAGGTGATCACTTTTTCAAGGACAGGGTTGGGGTTTTTCTCATCTTCCTTTAGAATGAAATTACCCTTTTTTTTTGGAGAGGAGCTCGTGCCCCTCTGGGGTTTTGGGTTTTATACAAGCTCTTCATAAAAGAAGGGGAAATGATTGATTGGTGAATTTTGCCCCAGTAGATCATACTATAGATTTAGAGGGCAGTGGTTTTGTTTGTTTGTTCCTCATAACAAACTTGAGTTTGCAATATATTTTTAGATTACCATCTCCTATTTGCTTTCAGTATGAACTGGTATGCGACAAAGCTGGTCTCACTAAGTATGCCCAGTCTGCCTATTTTGCTGGAATGTTGATTGGTTCATTTCTGATAGGACTGATGGCTGACTGGTAAGTTTGAAAAGAATCCATTTATTTTTACAACTTTGTGGTATTGTTGTAAATAATGGGATCTGCATGCTGCTTGAATTTGTTTCAAAGAGCATGATTTCCCGTTCTATACAATAAATCAATGTAATGGATTTGGAACCAGTTGCGGTTTGCCTGTGTTCCTGAACTTTGATCTGTGTTTGCCTACATGTACAGTATATTACTGCAGACATGCATTGTGTGTGCCATTCACTTTTCTTTCAAGGTCATGATAGTTTTAGTGATCAGATGACAGTGTGAGCGTTTAAGAGTATGGCAGAGTATTAAATAACATTCAGTTTTAACAATATTGTTTTGTTTTTCTTGTGTTGTGTAGGGTATGACGTAGGTTTCTATAAAATAATGTTGATTGTAATCAGCTCATATTATCTTAGGAATGGTAGAATCTAGATGCCACTTCAGTGGTTGTGTACAAAGTCTATGGAGAGTGATAGTTGAATTTGATTATAGGCATTAAGCTAGCTTTTTACCACAATGACACTAAGAATTGTAGTGTTCACATGTTTGCTTCAGTTTATTTATTGGGCCCAAATGTAGAATGGTGAGTGAATGCTGTGTGCCAACCTGGCTCCTGTATTAAGCTCATCAGGTTTCAACTAACAATGGCAGGGAGAGCTCTAGGCCAGGGTTGGAATAAATTTTCTCAAGCTAACTATAGAGTCCCTCTGGTTCTTTTCAGAACCACACATACTCAGTTATTCACATGGTGCTACCCTAACTTGTCTAAGATAACTATAGTCCCTTTGTGTAGCCATATAAAGGAAAGCTCCCCTGTGCGACATTTGCCCAGTGCAGGGCGCTGCAAGGTGCATTTGATCAATTCTACCTCCATGATTTGATTATAGGTTCCATACAGCCAGCTTGCTAACATGCTGCTCAGTTGTCATTCAGTATATTGTAAAGTCAGTTTGGAACCCATACAAATTACAGCACACGATGAGGTGCTGTATAATTAGGGGGCAGTCTCATTTCAAGGGATTTCTGACAGAAGGCCAAAGACTTAATAATGGGGTTAATTATATGGGCACGAGCATAGGATTAAGGGGATTTAAATTTGTCCCCACACACCACCTGGCTTCAGTAACTAAGCTCAGAGGTTCACGAGGTGTGACTTGAATATATCTTAAGGCCATAGGTGAAGCATACTAGTGTTCAAATGTATAAAGATTCTTTTAAAAATTGACCTTAGAAGAAAGTTCAACATGTTCAACAAGACATGCACTCAGTCACATGTGCTTGACCAGCATTCATAGGAGGGGGGGGGGGGGGGACCGTGGAAAGCCCACCCACTGTGATCTCCTACTTCTTTGTGTGGAAAGCCCTATGCTCTGATCTCCTATTATGTACTTTTTGCGTGAATGTTTCATTGAGGGATCATTCCACAAAGGGTACAAATTTTTACATCTGACACTATGATTTTGCAAATTCAGGACCCATTCTGTAATGCATTCAAATTACCTGCCCCCCCCCCCAAAATAAAACCGCACAAAAAACAAAAAACGGAAAAACCCTAAGTCAATGGATTATGGCTAATTACAACAGGTCAGCTATTTCCGTATGCAGGACACAAAACATTGAAAAGTACGCACTTTTGGACCCCTAATGTGTGGAATGACCCTCATCTGGAAATTTTCTCTTGCATAAAACCTAACTCAGGATTCAGGAAATTCATGTTGAGTACACATGCGTAACACTTCCGTATAGGACTCCTCTGTCTGGCATGGGTGTCCAACATTAATTGGTTTGGGCTATCTTGGTCATCAAAGTAATCCAGTGGGCATGTGCAGCTGTTTGTTATTATTAAATTGAACTGACATAATAATGTTTGATTTTTCAGCAAATCCATTAAACAAAATGCAGATCTATGTCTTCATAATGTACATGAGGAAAATTATACTTGTATTTTCACTGCTGTTATAAAACGTTCAGAATTCACTATCTATTTTGATGTTAGACTCCGGATGTCTTTGTGTTGTTGGCTGGTGTTCCTGACAACAGTGCAGAAAGGCTCCAGTGATTTGAGACCATCACAAGTCATCCAGTATTCCAGTCCGAAGTCAAGGCAAAAGTTACCAAATGAAATTGTGAAAAAACAAGGCTATCTTTTCTTTATAATTATTGTGCATCCCCTGTTACTTTTGACTACACTTTTGAATGGACTGTGATGGGCTCCGGATACGACACTGTTGAGCTTATGAGTACGGTACAAATAACTGTGCGTCAGCTAAAAGTGACGCTTTGTTGTCTCATTTTGTCATTAGGGTCGGGAGGAAACCCACATTCTTCATCTGCCTGATTACTTCCTTTTTGGCCGGGATTGCCCAAGCTTTTGCCCCAAACATGGCTGTTTTCATCGTGGTCCGATTCTTTGTGGCTATCTTCAAAACGGGTGTCTACATGATGGCTTTTATAATAGGTGGGTTTGATGATCGATGTCTTTCTACCATTTTTTTTGTGTATTGTAATTTCTGTTCAGTTTTACAAAGTTTGAATCAAGATCTTTAATATGCCATTTGAAATAATTTCATGACTTGACAGACTTGGAAACCCCCCCACACAAAACCAACAAAACAACAAAACAGGAAGTTGGTTTTGTATTTGTTACTGCAAAACATATTAACCATAACCCTCAAATTCCACCAGACGTTTAGAATTTTATAGAAAAGTGGAACTTGTGGAAGGTAGAAAACTAACCAACATTTACTTTACATTTGACTTATTGCCTCAATTTTACGCAAAGAATGTCTGAATTTGCCACATACTGGTTAGACATTTAGAAAACTAAAGCTCTAAAGATATAAAACTTCTTTGTTACCTGTTAAACTTCTTTGTCATGGTTCATTTCCCAACTTTTCAGCATAGCAAATCACCCATCATCAATGCTTGAATTACTTGTACTGGTCTGTTGGACTGTGTTATACTATCCATGACTGAATGCTTGTTGACTGGTATTTTTCATTTGAGTGATCATTAGGCCGAGTAAAAAAGAAAGAAAAGTTTCTCGTCCGGGTTTTTGAAAGATAGGAGGAAGAGGGGCTTTTTTTTTTTATTTTTTATTTTTTTCTAGATGGCCACCATTTTAAAATTTCCTGCAACCGTTGGTGTTTCCACTGTTCAAAGACACTTTTAAAATGAAAGACAAGTTGGACAAGAGAACTGAACATATTTACAGTGTCCTTTAGAGTTGTATTGGTCTACCAAGAACAGTTTTAGATGCATTTGATTTAACCGCCAAAAGTCGCTAGCGAATTCTTGAAACACATGCTCCAGCGTGAGCTAGTCTCATACCGGTTGCATTCTGGCTTTGAAGTCAGCATTTACCACATACAGTACGGCAGACAGATTCCGGTTGAATTTTCAAACGACTGTAGTCTAAAACTATCAATAGACATGTACGTAGTCTGGTTCCCTAGACCTGACAATTATTCCTGACGCTCACGTCTCAGTCTCGACTCCATGGGCACGTGGATTCATCAGGAATAGTCAGAATCTTTTGGTCTGGGAACCAAGTGGGTGAGTTGTTGTGAACTCGCCATACTCGCACTTGTCGCAGGGGTAGCGATCACACGTCGATATTATGTGGTGTACAAAGTGACCGACAGAGTCTATACTGAAAACTTCGACTCACATATTTCGCAAGTATTTATTTTCCGATGAATTTGTGGACTTTTTCAGTGTTTTTACTGCATTTTTTCAAAAATAAAAAATAATAAAAAAATCCAGGCGGCCTCCAAAAAGGAAGCGGGCGGGGACGAGAAACTTGTTTTTTTTTTACTTTGCCTTACACAGTGGGGCGCTGTGGTCCAATGGTTACGGTGTTCGACTCGTGTGCCGTGGTGCATGGGTTCGAATCCTGACCGTGGGAACATGGTGCTTGTGCTCTTGAACAAGGCACTTTACCACTATTGCTTCGTCCTTCGGATGGGACGTAAAGCCGTAGGTCCCGTGTGTTGTGTAATGCACGTTAAAGAACCCAGTAACACTTATCGCTATTAAGAGAAGGGGTTTGCCCCGGTGTTTCTGGCAGTGGCTGCAATATGCCCCGCAGCACCTTGTATAAGGTGCTACATAATGAGTCTCATAAACTTTATTTACCTTTCTTTAATAATTGACATAATTTCCAGCGCCTTGAGTACCTAATTGTTGGTAGATACGTGCGCTATATAAGACTCCGTTCTTCTTCTTCTTATTATTATTACTAAAAAAGGTGTAATTTGACAAAAACTGCGATCGTGACGGAAATGAACGCTATACAAGACACTATTATTATTATTATTAATATTATTATTATTATTTAATACTTTAATACAAGTCCCTTATGACCAAGTCAAATGATGTTAATTTTTGTTTTGGTTTTAGGCCTACTTTAGCAAAATAACAATAAATGGGAATGCCTTTATTTGTAGTAGACTTTGACCTTCTCGTCACAATTTTTTTTTGAAATTTAAATTTATATGTGTTTTGCTTTTTTGCCCCCACTGGTGTGGTAAAACAAAACACTTGTCTGGTAATTGAGTAACCAGAATGTAGTCTTGTAGATTTTTTCGCGTATTAGAACCCCAGTTCTTTGCGATGGTCATGCATTCTTTCTTTATTGTTTCTAAAATGTTTTCATGGCAGTTTTTAGTCCTCATTTTTTACTCACATTTTCAACCAAATCACCAGTAAGCACGACTCAGCTTGTCATAAAACCATCTACAGATCTTCATTCATTCCTCCCTTCCCCACATTTCGTTTCTTCCATATTATCTCGAAGGTACCGAGTTTGTGGGCCCAAACATCCGAGCGTTCGCTGGCCAGTTCATCAACATCTACTACGCGATGGGCTACATGCTGCTGGCTCCCTTTGCCTACCTCATTCGGGATTGGCAGATGCTTCAAGTGGCTCTCACCATGACCTTCGCCCCATTCATACTACTCCTTCCGTTAGTCATTAGTAATTAGGCCAAAAAAATACAGGGTGAGTCAAAAAAAGCGGAACCCAAACCCCCTAAAATTATATTTCATATTTAAAAAAATGTGTAGTACCAAAATAATGACTGGAAAGACAATTTCATAGGCTACTTTTAGATTTTGGTCAATCCATTCAAAGAATATCACCATTTAAACATAATGACCCCAGAACCTGTCTCGTCCAAAAACTGTGATTTCAAGAATCGTCGTCACAATTGTCTTCATATATCACCAGCGATAAAATCTCAGTTTAAACGTGAAAAATATTCAACAAAGTCGTTTTGAAGGCCTGTCATTTTTAAAAAGTAGATTTTATAAATCATATTGTTTGCCTAACCAGGGTTGTTATAACATAAAGATATTGTGTACTACAGTTGGTGACAGTTATTGAAACAAGTATTCTGTCATTTTCTTTGTTCGAAACAGTCAAACACACAATAAATTGCTTTTGTTCTTGGACGAGACAGGTTTTTAGGTCATTGCGTTTAAATGGTGATTTAATGAACGGTTTAAATGGTGATTTAATGAACGGATTGAGCAATTTCAGTTATTTTTTTTATCTAAAAGTAGCTTATGAAGTTGGCTTTCCAGTCATTATTATTTTTGGTGCTACATTTTTCTTAAAATATGAAATATATTTTTTGGGGTTTGGGTTCCACTTTTTTTGACTCACCCTGTAGTTCTGCTTCTGATTACATGGCATTCGAAAATAGGGTAGGTAGGTAGGGATTTTTTTGTTTTGTTTTTTTGGCAATTTTTTTGGGGTCATATGGAGGCGTCTGCGTGTAGTCAAGGGTAAAAGGTAGCAATTGATGGTTTTGGATGTTTTTTTCCTCATTTTTCCCATAAAAAAAATTAAGGTAGGGGCTGTCAGAATAGGGTAGATAGGGAAACTGGAAGCAGAACTATATTTTTTTGGGCCTTAACTTGAGTGTGTATTAAAGTTGCTCTTCCAATGCTATTTCCGAGTATCATCGTCCCTCATATAGATTTTGTTCTAAATTACTTTTTTTCTAACAATGCAAAAATTACTAATTCCTGAATGAAATGGCAATTGAAAACAGAGCTACCCATGCTTAGTCATGGAGGAATATGTTGTGGCTTTGCAAAGATTCAGGTGGATCTTTCTGTACGTTAGAGGAGAAAAAACACAACCCCAAGCACAAGCCTTTTTCCAGAGGGTAGAAGATATCCCAAACCGGAGAAATCAAGAATTTTTTTTTTTAGGTTAAAATATTTGACAATACATAAAAGAGCTTGGGGATAGTAAGTTTAGTGTTCATATATTCAATTCATGTTGATTTTTTGTACTACCTCATTGTGCACACTCCATGCAGGTCATGTGTGGTAACTTGTGTTCACAGCTTACCCCTCAATATTTTCAAAAGACTGCCCTTTTCCATTGAAATGCCCTTTTTTCACCAACGCTTAACCTCCAATATTTTGTAAAGAGTGCCCTTTTTTTCTGAACAAGTGCCCTTTTAAAGAAGAAGTCGTGCCCTTTTTTGTCCCATTGGCCGTTCCGGGTGCCTTTTTAAAAAAATTTCCCGCATGAATCAACCTGAAAAGCACCATATATTGTCCATTAGTGTGCACAATCATCGGTTTGCCGTGGCGGTGTTCTCCCAACTGAGCTATCCAGCCCTATGTTGGCGGTTCCCTATTTTTGTCAGTATCTTTGTTCAAGGGGCGCTAGTCAGAAGCCCTAAAAACCTGTATATGCCATGTAGCCAGGGATCACACCCAAAGACACAATGATAGCAACATTAGCAATCTCGCAAACCCGGGAAATAACAAATGGAGATCACTCAGAGAGGATACAGCCTTTTATTACAAAAAAGAAAAAGAAAAAACAAGAAAAAAATTGTACTTAGAAGAGCAAAACAGCACAACCTTATACATGTACAATGTATAACATATGAAGCTGACTTTGGTGGGGGTATCCATCAATGTTGCGAGCCCATTGCAACTAAGTCCATCAAAAGTTGTAACAAAAGAGTAACAAAAGAGGTCACAGTTGGTTTGAATCTAGCTAAGCATTAGCTTAAGGGCTTGACTTGATGACTTTGTGTAGACTTGTGACAGACTGGTAGCCTTCCCTTGAACCTCACAACAAGACTTTACGTAGACCGTAGGTATAAGACCTGACCAACTGTATTCTAAATTCTCCAGATTCCTTCCGGAGTCGGCACGCTGGTTGATGTCCCGCGGCCGAACCGCCGATGCCGAGAAGATTCTGCGAAAGATGGCCAAAGTTAACAAGGTGGAGCTACCAGCTGAGCTGTTTGAAGAAGACAAAGACCAGGAGGAGAAGGTGGGACACCAGACAGCCTTGCACAAATTACTTGGCTACGGCTAACACACTTGTCTTTGGGAATTAGGAACTTCAGATGATTCCATTGGCACATGTGTAATTTGCAAGCTGTAGGCATAAGCACATGTACATGTAATTCCAATGAGGCCACAATGATGCACATTGCCATCATGGATTGATTGTTACAATTGTGGATTTCACACATTTAAGTTATGTGATACCTGTAATAATTTTCTGTTGACTTGAATATTGAATTGAAGGCCACGAAGGCCATGAAGGCCCTGAAGGCCACGTTGTAATTGTGACTTTCTCAAGATGTACATATGTATTTCCTCATCTAATTTAATAAAAAAAGAGGGCCGAACACATTTAATTTTCGTTCCCTTAAAATGCAACAAGAAGAGAGCTATCATAAATGGTTTTGATGTTAAAGTTCAAGACTGATAAATGGTTTCTTTGTGAAGCTATAATAACCATGCCAAATGATTTTGTATTTTTCAACAACGGCCTATTTCTATTTTATTTGTATTGAATTTTTTTTTTCTACATCAGCTCAAAGATACTACAACACGTAGATACACCTACTTGGACCTGTTTCGCAGTACTAATATGCGCTGCAAAACCATCAACATACTGTTCTGTTGGTAAGTGGATCTTAACAAAGAGTAATGTTACCGACAATTTATTACCAACTTTTTCAACTGAGCAAGCAATTAATGATTGTGGTTGAGGCTGTCACTTGACTATTGATTTCAAGGAAAAACGATAATGCGGTACATCAGATGCAAACTTGAGTCAACTAGCTGTTGAAATAACAAAAACAGAGAAGTCTAGGTGGATCAAAAAGAAAAGGAAACACAGAAAGTAAAAGGCAACGAAATCTGTCACATCATGAACATGATGAAGCATTTCCAAATTAGAAAAAAAATGCGCATGATTGAATTTCCCTTGAAATCGGTTGAGTTTGTTATTGAAATGCCTTTATTTGAACACAAATAATTTCAAAACTCTTTAGAAAATTGAAACAATACTTACCAGGGATAAAGTTAAAGGGAATATACATCATTTCCTTTTGCTGTAAGTTTCAGAAATGGATGGATTGGGGGGGTTGGTAATAAATAGCAAAACTTGTTACACTGACTTTTTTGAAGTTTTGGGTTCGTAAATGCTATAAAAACCAAGAAAAACAATCATCTCCCTGTAGTCTGGTTCCCTGACTCCATTTAAGATGAAACAAAGCACTTTATAAACGTTGGGGAATTGTATAGTCAGGGAACCAGTCAAGCTGGCTTGTACCCGTTCATAGGTGTGTAATTGATTGCAAACAAATGCGGACAAACTAAATATGGTCAATTGGGGCCAGTATTTAAAAAAGCCAGTTTTTTCCAACGCTGGTCGGCTGACCGGCGTTGGAAATTGATACGAAAAATACCACTTTTCTTGAAAATGACAGTACACCTGGTGCCACGATTTTAAAGAATGCTTTAGACTGTCATTCACTAACAGTCCAGCAATGTATTTCAAATTAATTTGGTATTTTTATTTCTGTAGTTTGCAAATGTTGTATTTTCCCTTTAAAGATTCCAAGCTTTAAATTGATATACAAATATCCTCACAAAAAAAAAATGTTACAGGTATTTTGGGATGCGCTGTACAAGTGTACTTCTGTGTACCTAAATTCTTCAATTTAGGTTAAGGAACATGTCATTTTATTTCCCCCATTCTTAAGTTTTTGCCACTTATTCTTTCACCATGTTGTGGAGGCTTTTTATTTTACCTTGCTCTTCGTTTCAGGTTTGTCAACAACATGGTGTACTATGGGATATCCTTAAGTACCTCCGACCTAGGTGTGGACCACTACATCGCTGCCTTTGTCTCTGGGGCAGTGGAAATCCCCGCCTACACCTGCGCCATTCTCAGTATGCAGTATCTGGGACGCCGATTGCCGTTGTGTGTCTACCTGGTGGCCAGTGGGGCCGCCTGCATAGGGGCCACGCTCTTCTGTAAGTTCTTTGCACAGTTGGGTTAAGAGGGGGGGGGGGGGGGCTAGGGTGGGGAGGGGAACTCGGCCCCTCCTTCTGTTCTTGGAAATGCAGTGACTGATTTTTATGAAGTCGGTAGACTCGGTCATTATTCAAAGTTTCAGCTAAACTGAATAAATGATTTCGTAATTGTTTGTCAATATTCCAAGATGCTGTCTGTGAAAGCTTGCATATTCCTGTAAAAGTCAATGAAAAACAACGGAACACAAAAAAATATTTTTCGTTACTCTGTGTTGAAAATGTGACATTTTGCGCAAATGATATATCCGATTTTTATGAAATTGTGTCAGAACACAATTTTGTAGACATTCAGACGTTCAAAATCAAATAATAAAACCTTATGAGGTGGCTGGGAGGGGCCGGACACAAGGTGGTTTTTTCACAAAGGGTTCTCATTGTACATGTATGTTGGATTTTGATGTGACAATACCTCGTAGTCTTTCAGAAATCATGAAAAATCTATATATCCAATAAGCTTAAACAAATGTTGTCTTGTGATCTAAAGGAGGCAACAGGGGCTAATTTCACGCAGCTGCTAAGCACAGAAATGTGCTCAGCACAAAAAAGTCTGGCTTAGTAAAAGCAGGTTACCAGCCAAAACTGCATGTGATGTTCATGCTTAGCAAACAACAGCTGAATACCAATTACAGGCAATATACATCACATGAACATTTGGTTGGTAATCCTGTTTTTTTTGCCAAGGAAGATTTTTCATGCTAAGCAAAATTCCTGTGGTTAGCAGCTCCATGACATTGGCCCCAAGTTATCTTGACTTTGTCTTGTTTTTGTGGTGTCTGTCTTAGCGGCCGGGGCTGGTAGAGCAACCGTTGCTATGATTGGGAAGTTCTTCATCACAGCCACCTTTGGAATGATCTACACGTATTCTGCCGAGATATACCCAACACCAGTGAGGTAAGTCCTATAACTGTTGGGATACAGTCTCACAACAGATGGGAAAGCGCAGAAAGTGAGGCTAGAAATGTTGGTGGTGGTGCGATCATGTTTCCTGCAATATTCCAAATTGAGATATCAACTTCATGTTGATCTTTGTAAAAAGGTAGATCGGGTTCTGCCTTTCCTGAAGCTGATACTGTGCTACTGAATTAAATAATAGGTCCTGAATCCTCAAATTTCAAAACGACTTTGCACACCCCCCTAGGGAGTTAGAGTTAAATATAAGTATTGTGACATATGTACGTTGGATGCATTTCTTGCCAAATATTCAGTGTCGCATTAGCTCACTTTAGATATATATGTACATTGTATTAGTACATTGTATTATATACAAATAATACAGTGTGTATAAAAAAAAATGCTAACAAAATATAACGGAATGCCAGACGTAGAATGTGTAACCAACATAGATAATAAAGGTATGGTTTGAAAGATATGCCTTTCCACTTTAAAATGAGACATCAAACGTCCAGATCTGATAATATTTGACAGAGTTATGAGTAATTTTTTCAAGAGTGGTCAAATTGGCCATGGGACCAACTTTTCATTTTAGGCAATGGGATGAAGGTAGCCTAATTGCCTCTGTGTGGATTCACACCGATCTGAAATACGAATGATTCTTTTGGTTGTTAATAAAAACAACTGTTGCTGTGTATTCTCGCTCTGGAAAACAGGAGTCAAGGTATGGGCTTGTCTTCCATGATGGCTCGCATCAGCGGCATCCTGTGTCCGTTCATCTTGGATCTTAGCTCCGTCTGGTTCTCCTTGCCGTACTTCATCTTTGGCGCGTTCGCCGTCTCCTCTGGACTACTGATTCTCCTGCTGCCGGAGACGCGAGGCAAGCCGCTGCCGGAGAGCTTGGAGGATGCTGAGAAAGTTGGCAGTGAGTATCGGTGTGACCTGTGACCTCCTACATTGGGGGCGGGGCTAGGAAAGAGGGGGGTTTACATGAACTTGTTCTATGGACTCCGAGCATGAAGACTAGATGGTGCTTTGTCACCCACTCATTAGTTCTACAGTGGGAGGGTGTATCATTCTCAGAACACAGGACTTATTTTAATTATGTGCAAACATCCTTAACCCAAACTCCCAAGTCATTTTTGCTAGATGCAACCTCAATCTTGCAAACTCCTCCAACTGCCTCCAATGTCAAAATTGCATACGGCCTCAATCCTGCAAAATCCTCAAGCTATCGCTGTCAATACGTTGAGGCAGAGCCAGTGGCATCCTGGAGCAGTGCGGAGGATTTCAAGTATAATCTAGGCCTACATTTATGCACGGCTGAGCATAAACAACACAAGGGCCGTCCCAAGACCTTCCTCCATATTCAGCCATCCATTTTTTTGCCATATAGCCTCAATCCTGCAAAATCCTGTATTTTGCAAAGAGGGTTTTGGAGGAATTGGGAAGGTTAGGGTTAATAGTGTCTTCTCATGAGCGTCAGATGCTGTGAGCAACGTCTGTAAGACCCTCCCTATGCATGGCCCTTCCCAACGCTCATTGTCTAACCGTTGAGGGGTTCTTGTGCACTGAGTCCGCAGAAGTTGATTAGATGATCTGGCAAATGTAACAACATTTTCCGAGGGAGCAAAAGCTTACTCCGTTGATTAAACAAATTTGTTTGAAGTTCTTATATTTTTTTCCACAGAGGGGGAAACCTGTTTATGTTTGCGTAAATGTCGACATGGAGCAGATGCTGGAGACATCAACATGGATAAAGAGCCATATGAATCACTGCCCAAGGAAGAACCTCAGAATCAAGATGGCGGTCGAGACATGGCGACAGAAAAAGTCTAAGACCAACAAAATGACAGATGGGTATAAAAGAATTGCTGTCTCGTCTTCCAAAAATGAAATATCTTTGGGATGACTTTGTTATGAAATCGTCTCAATAAGGTGCCTTTTTGGTAGTATCTGCCTAAGTTTTAATGCTTGCATGCTGCATAAAGTATTTAACCGTTTATTTGCTGAGTGATAGTGGAATAGCTTAGAACATATTTCTCCTTATTTAGATTTTTGTTTATTAAAATACCAAGTCACATTTAAGCTTGTATTGGACAATTGTGCAGTGATGGTAATTTATGTGCTATTAATGTATAGCGTGGACACGAGACGTAGTCTTGACTTTCATTCCATTTTTGACAGCTTTTCTTTTGAGCGATAGAGATTGCAACTTGCAAGATGCAACAAAAAGAAGCTGTGGTGAGGCTTTTCATAATTCTAAGTGCCTTTGCTAGAGACTCTATTTTTATAATTCCAGCGTTTAATGTTTCAAAGACAAAACAAAGAAGGAAGCAACACATTTAGTTCACTTACAATTATTTTCATATTATCCAAAGAAAAACTATAATAATGTTCGGTATGCTGCAAATTGCTTTAATTCTTTCAGAAAATGAAATACTTTGATTGCATTTTCTGTACATTTTGTTAGAGTGCTATTATTTTATCGTTGGTGGCGTAATATCTGAGACCATTTCATTTCATATGCCAGTTTGGTATTTTGCATTGGTCCAATAAATTCTTTTAACAATTTTTCAGCAGTGTTCCACCATCGCTGTAAATTTCATAGTCCACAAGAAAGAAAACGTCAGAATATTGTGAAGTTTCGCATTTTGAGTTGTTAATTTCATTTACGATGCATCCTGGCGAAAAAGGCCCAGGGGTTGGAGTTATTTAATAGGCTGTATGGTGGGTCACTGCAGCATTTGTTAGAATTTATGGTGGCTCACTGCAGTGTTCCTTGCAAAAATGTTTATGAGATGTAAGGTTAACTTAAAAGCAGCGGGCAAGACATTTATATTACGTCATTTTAATGCTTTCTCTTTTCCCCTATTGTTTTGCCGCTTGATTAGGTGGCATGTATTAAATTGAATCAGTTTCGTAATCATGTCATGACAACTCATACTTCTTCAAATCGAGTAACAAGGTAATCAAATGAACAGTGGCAAACAAGCATTCCTTTTTTCAGTTTTCGTTCTCTGGTTCTTGAGACAGGACCTATGATTTGTCTTATTATTGAATGACAGCTGCTTAAGTTAATAAAGGAAATACATGTTTATTGAAGGGTATTTTTATGTATTCGAAGTGTAACACAAATTTCCAAGTTCTTACCACTAAATGGGTGTTGGTATTAATTTTTTTACCCCAGCTATACTTGGTACAGGGGTATTGTTATATTTTCAAAAAAATATAAACAGAAAATGAAATATTTTTTTATCATGTTTTGATCCAAGTTTGGAATGGGAATTTGTTTTAGGATAAAAACTACTTCTTGTTTTAAGGGAAATATATATTTTTCCCAATCAGTATTAGAACATGCCTTGAATGCCTCACACATGTTCCAAGTTATCTTTTTCCCACGGAAACCACTTATTATTATTTTTTTTTACCATTGATTGATTATTTAGAATCATTCTCTATGATAGAGCTTGATTGATTTTCATGATAGCATCTGTTAATAATTACCATTCGGAAAACATGCATTTTGACTTAGAAATATAACAACTAATATATTTAACTTATTTATGGAAATATTTACCAACTATGACTGGTGGTTTGGGTTGTATTAATAAGATGGAATTTGATGTGCATGTCCATTTTGTCATTGGAACTGATTTAAGACTTGGAAAGAAATTAAACATGGAATTTAATAAAGACAGGTGTTAAGTTAAAAAGTGTCCTGTTAAGAAAATGTTCCACTGTCCCGGTTTAATAAAATCAAACACCAGAAGCACAGTGGCAGTTCAAATATGGACCTTGAACTTTTTGATGAAGATAAATTTGTTGGCAGTGCCCTTTTTAATCCTATTTTTTTTTAAATGAAATATTATAATATGCAAAATTCACGTCATATGCAAAAACTAATGAAATAACGCCATAAATTTGCTTTTGTATTTCAATTTGCTTATTCCTGGGTGTAAGTTCAAGTACATTTTCATTGTTTTCTTTACTTTGATTAGTGTTTAATTTATTAAACAAAATATATTTGGCATCAGGGATTTGGCATTAAAACTCCAGAAATCTAATAAAACGTAACATCACAATGCCTCTTTGATATTTGTCATTCTGTATTTTGTCATTTTAAAGTGGTAACATGTGCGCCCAAGTGTGTATTTGCCTGCAAACAAGGACCCCCTATTGTCCCTCTTTTGTTTGTAACTTTTTAAGGAAAACCTCCCATATGTTTTGTACATGATCGGCAAATTGGGGACATTCGGGAATTGAGGACCCTATTGTCAAACGTCCCCTATTGAATGCAGAAACAAACTCGGGTACAGTCGAACACCTTTATAACAAGGTCCTTGGGACTTTACAAATTACCTTGCTATAACAGGTACCTTGTATTAACAGTATTGGAAAACAAAGGAAAACAAAGAAAAACAAAGACTTGGGACCTGAAATTTTGCTTGTTATAAGCATGACGTTGTATTAACAGTGCTCTTTTTATCAGGGTTCGACTGTACACAGACACACATGCACGTGCTTGAAACAAAAGTGAAACGCATCATACTGCATCATAAAGGAATCCCTATACATACATACATGTAGCTTATTTCCTCTTCAAAAGCGTATATATCATGCTGATGAACTCTAAACTGTCCAAATAAAACGATTGAAAAATAAACTAGGAAAAGTTATCATCCTGTACGCGACTTTTCAAATATACCGAATATTGACTACATTTGTACAACCTGACCATATTGTATAATGATACAAAGGCAAAAATTAAGCCGAGTTGTTTTTTAATTGAGTTTATAAAAGTTGACTACGATAGCTATTTTTCACAATATAACCGGGAAAAAATATCTAAAATGTATTAGCTATTACCCTCATGCCGGTAAATTTAAGTGAAAACAAATGGAATATGCAAGTAGGTGCATTTATAAAATTTGTGCTAATTCTAAGGCTTCTACTGAAGTGTTTACTTCTGTAGAAAAAAAAAAATCCAAAACAAAAACAAGAACAAAACTTTGGTACACAAAGCAAAGTGAATTTATCATGAAATATTCGTGACATCGCAACTTATGTGCAATCTGATTTACTTGGTCGAAATCAGAGCCCAAAAAAAATGTCGTTTCACAAAACCCTGTATACACCCTTGTTGCATAGCTAGCTTCCATCTAGTTGCAGTTGAAGCACTTCAACCGGAGCACCAGAGGTGACTTAATAAATAAAAAAAATTAAAAGGCAACCAATTATTGAACCCCTTGGTTTTTGTAATTCTTTTGAAAAAATTGAGGTATTCTAGGAAACTTGCCAAAACGTGCAAAATTGATTCTACTTTAGCGATATTCTGTCTTGGCTCTTCAACAAATTCAACCTTTTTCTTCTCACAACTTTTGACCAACGAATGATTTCTTTACACGAAAAACCTGGTTTTTTTTGTGTCGCCTAAATAAAGTTTTGGTGGACACTTACCAGTCCTAAATTCTGTATGATCGTTTGTACATGTAAGTTAAAGTTTAGGTTAAGTTTTTGGGAAAACGGTATAACTTCTACGTGCTTTCATGGATTTTGATGAAACTTCATCGGATTAAAGGTCAAAGGTCAGGTAGGGGTCATTGTTCAAATATGCTTCAAATGTTTCTTTTTGAATTTGATGGATTTCAATGTAACTTGGATGGAGCGATCCTTGGGTGGGGGTTCATGACAGCTCTTCCGAAATTGGAGGTCAAAGGTCATCTAGGGGTCATTTGAGGTCATTGTTTAAAAAGGCACAAAATTAGACTTTTTTTGTAAGAAAACAACTTACATTAATTTTAGGGATCGACCGCGAAAAAAGGCGACCACTCGATCCGCGGATCACCTTGTTTTTTATATGGGTGTCTGTAACCCTCTACAAAATGTCGTTTCCATTGGGTTGTTTTGGGGCACAAAGAGATCAGCACTGTGAGTAGACTGGTTCCCACCCCACATTGATTCTAAACAGGGGGCCAGAACCAGTCTACCCTACGAGAACTGAATTATTGTTCGGTTGCAAATAATTTTGTAGTAATTATTCCATAACTAAACATGCACTACATTTTTTGTTGGCAGTTGTCTCATGCATAAATGAAGAACTTTTATATTGCTTTAAAAAAAAAATAGCAATTTAAAATCAAAATATATTTTTCAGTACTGAAATCTGAAACTAGCAGGGAGGTTCATCTTTAAGAAACAAACTGCACCTTGTATAAGATTGATGAAATCACAGCTGTTGATTGGCAAAGAATTCTTTGGTTTTGCCGCAGACGGCATTCACACACACTGGGCATCTCAAAGGAAGCTGGGTGGAACACGTCCGACCTGACGCAAGATGAGTCGACACAATATCAGCCATTGCCTGTTAAGAGGAAATTATAAAATGCTTTAACTACGTGATTCCCTATGCACAAACAACTCTAACCTGACAAAAAAAATCCCTGTAAAATGTTCAAAGCAGAGAAAGAATGAACTCTTTAGTTTGTTTTGCAAATTAAGCCCGGCGCACACCTTTCCGATTTTACTGTGTCACCAGAGCATTGGGTCATCGTACAGAGGTGTGCGCTGAAAGTTCTGTCCGATGTGATCGTACACCGGGCGACTCGAAGAAATCAAACATGTTTGATTTTTTCGCATCTGATTTCACCCGATCCGATGTCACTGGTAAGGTGTGTGGGCAGGACTCCGACTTCACTGGACGTGATATTTATGTTAACCAATCAGATTCACGAAGGAAGTCACATGATTCAAAACTGACGGCTGCTCTTTTGTCATCATGTGACTGATTATAGAACGCAATGGGGCATTTTTGCGGGTAACGTTGCAATGATGAAAAAAACCCATACCGGTGATGGGGTGATCCGGTAATGTGCACCGGGCTTTAGTAGTTAAGTAGTACTTATGTAATGGACCATTCCAGATTTTGCCCCGAGCCCTGACTATCTTTGGTTGGTGTGCATTTCCTACAAAGATCATGTCCGAGTTTGACCCAGCTCACCTGACCAAAAGACACGATCTAATTGCTCAATGTGCACTGTTTGACTGCCAGCTAAGAAGGGTCCATTAACACTCAGGAAGAGATTTTTTAACAATACTTCTTTCCAAATCTAAATCTAAAACGGCCCTTTTTTTCCCAAGATGGCAGATGGATTCTTTCATTTATCGACTCTTTCGCCGATACAAAACTGTGTCCACACAACACCACAACTTTGTTGGAAACAATTTAACGACAATATATTGACACTTTAATTGCAAAACTCTGAAGCCCGGAAAGGGACAGGGTGGATTTTTTTTTGTAATTTGCTAATTCGTTCCCACGAATTACTAATTCGTTCGCACGAATTGCTAATTCGTTCCCACGAATTGCTAATTCGTGCGCACGAATTGCTAATTCGTTCCCACGAATTGCTAATTCGTTCCCACGAATTGCTAATTCGTTCCCACGAATGCTAATTCGTTCCAAAGAATTGCTAATTCGTTCCCACGAATTGCTAATTCGTTCCCACGAATTGCCAATTCGTTCCCACGAATTGCTAATTCGTTCCCACGAATTAGCAATTCGTGCGCACAAATTAACAATTCGTGCTAACGACATAGCAATTCTTGCGAACAAAATAGCAATTTGTGCGAACAAGTTAGCATTTCGTGGGAACGAATTAGTAATTCGTGGGAACGAGTTAGCAATTCGTAGGAACGAATTAGCAAATTACCACAAAAAAATTCCACCCTGTCCCTTCCCGGGCTTCATACAAAACATATTGCAACTGTATGAAAAAAAAGGAGGCGGGCAAGAAAAAGGAAGAAGGTGGAGACGAGAAACTGGTTTATTTTTCCATTTGGCCTAAATCAACTTGTAATAAACCAAAACTTACCTCAATAAATATTGGATGGTCATTCAGTGAAGCAGCACGCCTGATATTCTCAACACCACACTGGAAATATAACCATATAATTATACAAATATGAGTACTGTACGATAATTTCGAGTCCAGCATTCCTGAAAAGACGAGGGTCCATGGACTCTGTGCCCAGGTTCTCCCTCACCAATTACACACGGAGAAATGGTGGGATTGTAAGGGCTCTCATAACCTAAGTTTTGGGACAAGTTGCAGGAAGAATCATTCACTTCGTTCGCAAAAAGCTCTGGATTTCCCCCCGGATATGTTCCGGGGATATGTTCATTAGGAATGCTAATGGGCTCTCAAAGTTCAATTCCGCTCAAACCTAGTATTTTTGTTTCGAAAATGGCAGACTTCCCAAGAGAGTCAGAGTCTTAGGGTTAGGGTGGGGAAAATCATAAATCAAAGAACATCCCAAATTATGATTTCTGGTTTTGCAAAACTGTGAGTACTACCAAGAGTAAGGCTGCATCCAAATTCTATGGCTACTGCCTGCAGTTACGCACATGTCTATGGGAAGTGGCTACAGCCCTTCCATAGGCACATGTGTAATTGTAAGCCGTAAGCCAAGTAATGTGGTCATGGCTTGCGATGCATACCGAGTGCCTGAATACTCCCCCCTGCCTACCTCTTTAGCCAATTCATCTGCATACTCCAAGTCTAACTCGTGGAGTGTCTCGATGTGATCGTTGACGAAGGCTATGGGAACCAGCAGGATATTCTTGCGTCCGTTTTTACTAAGACCCTGGATAGCGGCGTCGGTCTGTGGACCTAGCCATGGTAGAGGTCCAACCTGGAAACAAAGAGTGAAGACAGAAATTAAAGATATGGAATTTACACAGGGGCGATATAATTTCAATATAGGTTTTGCCCTTCATCGACTTTATTTTGCCCCCGTGCGATAGTGAGAAAAAAATCGCTCGGGTGAGACTTGAACCCACAACCTCCTACTTACTAGGGCAGAAGTCTTACCACTCGACCACTGAGCTTGCCGGGGTCGGCTGGCTGGTTCAGATTAGATTATAGCAGCTGGTACCGCAATGAAACTATTCAAAAACACTTAACCCCCGTCTCCTCTTAAAAAATCACTCGAGTCCCACCATACACCCCGCCCACATTTGGTTTGTGTACATTTCCCAAAGAACCTGTGACTAAATTTGACTGGGCAAACATGGTCACCTGACCAAACTCTACGATCTAATTGGTCAATATACACTGTTTGATTGACAGGCAGGTAAAGGGTCAATTGTTGCTCACTGCATTAGAATATTTCAATCTTTGACCAATCACAAACCTGGGACTGCCACACTAATCTGTAGGGGTGTGAGAAGTCCAGGGCCTCCATGACCCGCTGTACGGTAGCACCGACCTCAGCAGGATAGGGGTCACCTCGATTCACAACCTGAAAGCAATCACGTTAATAAATGACACTATTTATATTCTCAACAACATTTAACAAATTTTGTATTTCTCCAAGTAATTGGACAGAAAAATGCAACATTTGTAATGTTTGACAAACATGACTGCCAGTCTGCCTTGATTATTTTTATTGTGTTAAAAGGGTTTAAAGCAAACATCAGGCAAAACAAGCCAAGAAAATGTCAACTCACTGTAACATGTTGAGGAATTTCCATAAACTTTTTGAAATTGTATCTATCGTCCTTCCTGGGTTTTCTATAGATAGCAATATGCAAGGTGCCGATGAAACATGCCTTAACCCTAACAATCCCCATCCAGTCAAACTCCAACACCAGAGTTTGTTGGAATTTGTTAGGATGAGTACTGCACTAGTAAACTGATTATGCTTTAGATAGGCTTAGGCATACCACCAATAATCAGAGTCCAACAGTTTGGGTGTAGAGTTTACCATGGTTTTGGAATTTCGAGGAGTGAGGAAGGTTCCTAGTAAATCACTCAAGGGGGTTAGGCTTGAAGAATAATGTGAATATGAGACAGCGAAGAAAACTTGAGATGAATTGGTTACTTTTCCCACACAATGACGCAGATAGTACTTACACTCATTGGCAAAGAGTGGGCAGAGAACAATATCACAACGTCATCCTGTACGTCTTCTGGAAACTTGGCCAATTCATCTTTGACGAGTTGCGTGAATGCCTACGAAATGAGAGGATGAACAGGGAGCAACAATAAATGTTCAAAATTCAGTTCAGAGACCACGAAATAAACCTTGTTTGACAGCTGGTCAGTTGGTCAGTCATCCCGACAGCTCCAGTTGGCCAGTCTTTCTTGGACTGTCTCCGCTTGACAGTTCAGGGCATTATTTACATTTTGTAAGTTGGTCATTTAGTCAGTCAGCTTATTCAGTCTGCCAAAGGACAATAGGAATGGTTTCAGAAGGAAGATGTTCATTTATCAGTGTGCTCTTCATTAAAGTTGCATATTTGGAGTCTCAAAACTAGTGCGCACAGCGGGAACAGTGTGTGTTCTTGTGCTCAGAATCAGCTCAATTTGGCAGAAGATGGTTTTTCTTTTAAGACGTTTTCTTTCCTCTAAGTACATAGTTTTCACGTACTAAGGCACTTTTGGATTCCTTTCTTTTCATACACCGTGTAGAATGGCTTGAAGGAACAGCAAAATGAAAATAATCTGTGTTATACAACACCTGAATAAATCCCTTCATCTGATTGGTGTGTCGTTGATCACATGTCATTGAATTATTCATCTCAACACACGGTCCGGCCGCACCGCAATGATATAACTTCCATTGCATGGTCACACTATTGACCTATCGTGGTAGAATTGCGTCAACGCAGCTTGTGAAATATTGTCCAATTACATGATATACAAATGGACACCGAACGCACAAAACCTCAGACAAACAAAACTTAAGTGTACAAAAACTTCATAGGGTTGTCTAAGGGGCGTGGCTAGCTCGCAAACGGCGATAGGTCAATTGGCTGTGTTGTATAGAGCATATAAAAAATGTTTCACATTCGTGCAATGGAAAGAACCATTTCATTTGGTGACTCATGGAATGTTCCATTCCACTTCATGGAATAGAACATTCCATCTGTCACCTCCTGAAATTATTCCTACCACCGCTCTCAAAACATCCATTATTTAATATCCAACCTTGATGAGTCCGGGGTGGGTGGGCCACCTGTCAATCACACTCCATCTCATGCTACTATTGGCTGCCAACTCAGGATGCTTTGCATAATGTTTATAGATTGCGTTCAGACTGCTTCCTGTGGTTGAACAGCTGTATTGTGGGTACTGGGTAAAAGCCACTGCCCTCTCAATACCATCCCTGAAATGAAAACCAACAAAAATTGTGTTGATATCATCGCAAATCTATAAAGCTTAACCCTATCTCCCTTGGCATATTTGCTTGGAAACAACCTAAATCCTGCAAAATCCTCCAACTGCCTCCATGTAAAAATAGCATACAGCCCCAATCCTGCAAAATCCGCCGTTATTTCTTGCATGTGGTCCTTGGAGGGGTGACCACTGCTTCAATATTGCAAAATCATCATCAATATTTTGAGGCAGAGCCAGTGACATCCTGGAGCAGTGCGGAGGATTTCAAGTATAATCTAGGCCTAAATTTATGCACGGCTGAGCATAAACAATGCAAGGTGCGGCCCAAGACCTTGACACAGTGAATCCTGCAAAATCAGCCCACGTTTTTGCCATATAGCCTCAATCCTGCAAAATCTTCCATTTTGAAAGATGATTTTGGAGAATTTGGGAAGGTTAGGGTTAACAAAATAACTCCAACATTCTTCCATTTTGTCAGTTTATGAAGACAGCAATTTCTTTCATGTTATTATGCTGAAGATTTTATTTAGAATATAGTTTTTGAAAGAATTGGAAAGATGTCAAAATTAAACAAGTGGTAACTTGAGGTTGAACCTGGAGGATCTTTCTCCCCTATGAACACTATTTAGCTAAAAAAAGAGGGTAAAAAAATTCTCTCAGAACATTCTTGTTTACCTTTCCATTTCAGCTACTGTGTCTTCTGTTAATGGCTTTACATAACGGAAACCAATGTAGTACTTGTGTGGCGCTGAAAAAAGGGAATTGAAAAACAACAACTGATAAATCTGGTCAAATTTATTTCAATGTGTTTTTAAAATGTTTTGTTTGTACAGCAATAACTGAACTTCCCCCTTTTTCCCTTAAGCAAAAACACTAAAATAAACTGCAGTTTCCAAGACACCATTTCTTCATTTTTTTCATGGCGTAGAATGTATTAGAATCTCTATGTCTACAGCTATTGTTTTAGTTTTGAAATTTACAACTACGTGGGAACATTCTGACAATACACGTAGCGGTAGCTCTGGATGACCTGTTTGAACACAGCCACACTGTGTCTTCGAAGGACATTCTGGGACTGCCAAAACATAGTTCAATTAGAAGTCAGGGGTTCAAATTATCTTCAATAATTTCTTCTGGTTGTTTCTGGCCTAAAACTTGAAGAGGAAATCTGGTGAGATACTTACCAGTGTCCGGTGATATTTTGTCCAAGAGTTTGACCAGCGCTTGGCCTTGCTTATTGGTCCACATTTTGATGGGGGAGCCGCCACCAATCTTCTTGTACTGTTCCTGGATCTTGGGGGTGCGACGCTTGGCAATAAAAGGGGCAAGTCGACTGTGGCAACAAAAAAATACAAAAATATTAAAAGAAAGAGGATGAAACCTGTTGGGATCATGGAATGATTCTGGCAATGTGTTCTGTAAATTCAGTTCTCTGGTTTGAAGTCTAAAATATTAGGTGGGGAATATTTGGGCGGCGCCGTTTTTTTTTTATTGACAAACGTTATTTTCACAGATGCTTTCTTGGATTGGTTCATTTATAATTAGGTTATATAAGAAACACCGGCATCTTTTAAGTAAACATTGGTTCCTGATCTTCCCGCAAACTTGCAAAATGCCAAAAGAAAGGCTACAGCCATTATGAAAGAACTATTAGATAAAACCTCACTTAACCCGCGGCGGCCAAATATCCTGTGCCACAATATTGCCTGTATACCAGGAAACGACCTCCTTTCACCCTTGCTCATGAAGGGCTTTTCTTGTTTCTGTACCAATACATGTACAGTTTGTACACTGCAATGAAAAACTCATAAATACTAAAATAAAATTATGTCTTCATTCTGAATTTCAATCCTGACTGAAACACTCCCTTCTTACTTTTGCGCAGGTAACGGTATCAGATCCTTATCCAGGAAAAGACGGAGCAAGAAATCATGGACTTCATCAACTGTCTCAGGTCCTCCCATATTCAGCAGCATCACACCCGTCTTGGCTGGTCTGATGAGAAAAAAAGGACAATTATAACAAGACAAAGCAAGCCTAGTAAAGTTGGTTCCAGAGTGCACATATCCTATTCCATTTACTGAAGTCTTTGCACGGTCTACACGATATGGGCCGGAATTATTCCATTCGTCGGCGTAACAGGATAATAGCAGTAATTCTATCTGATCGCATTGCCGGACTCACAAGTAACAGTCAGTCGGAGAGTGAGTGAGTCAGTCAGAGGCAAAGACGACTATAGGCTGGCCCTGGGGGAATAGTAAAAAATATCATAGGTATCAGCACTTATGTTGTGAAAACCTGACCTGAAACAGACCCGAATCCGACTTTGGATTGGGTCGGTTTTTCTATCATTTTAGTTGGGTTGGGTCGGTTTCAGTTTTGAGTTTGCAATTTTCGGGTCGGGTTGGGTCGTTAAGCCAGCTCGTAAAAACCCCGAAATAAACCGAAACAGTGTAATAACATTGCAGAGTAACTGTGTCTGGTATGGGGGTATAACCAACGTAAACCCACCACGCAAATGTGCACGTGGTTTGCGGTCTATCACGTGTGTAGGCCAAACAGTTATGATTCTTCAATTTACCGTAAAGTTAGATTCTGTTACTGATGAGAGATGACGATTTTCACGCGACGCTGGTAAGTTCAGGCACAATAAGCTGACACAATTGCCCACAACAGGTGTTCAGGTTTTTCGGTTCGGTTCGGGTCCATTTTGCTTGAATTTTTGTCAGGTCGGGTTGGGTTGGCTTTGGGGAGTTCAGATCGGTTTCAGTTCGGACTCGGTTTATATCTTTCATATTTTGGTTCGTTTTGGCCTGGTCAACCCGACCCAATGCACAAGATTAATCAGCACACATTGTGTGTTAGTATGTTTATTGTTACAAATTCTGTTGACAAATAAATTGCTTTATTTATCCCAGACTTAATTTACTAATAGCACAGTAAAGAAAAGTTAGAGTCAATTACTAGTAGATGCTATTATTAAATACCTGTTGTTTGAACCACTCTCTGTTTCCGCATGTCTACACAGACATGACGTTGACAAGGCACGATGAGCAGAAGGAGTGAACCGCTGGATTGATAAAAGACTTCTTGTTGCGCTGAGCACACCTGCAGCTTTCCGAAATAATTGAACCTCATGAAATAAAAATGTAAAACTCGCCAAATAAAACATTACAACTCATCAAGTAAAGCATTAAATCTCATCAAATAATTCAACAGACACTGTGAAGGCTTTTGACTAGGACACAAAAGCAAAGTTGCTGACAATTTTAGAGACCGCTAAAATTAAACATAGGGTTAGAAACCTTTAATGTTAATATGCAAATCAGCATTCAAGCAATTTTGGATTCCATTTTTTTTTATCATTTCTTAAAATATATGTACATTCAAAATCTGTTTGTAAAATGCATGCTTTGGGAGTTTTATTATTTTAAATTTGACAGTCGTTCAGCAAACTCTTTCCAACTTTGCCCCGATATTTTCAGGATAACAAGACGTTTTGAGGTACGAAATTTAATTTTTGCTGGTAACTAAGCACGTAAGTAGCTTTCATAGCAAATATCAAGTGAACTGTCTGGATCTCAAATTCAGGAAAAACAACTTTGTGGAAATTTAGCGTGCACTGCTGTACGACTCTTAAAATACTGAGCACGTCCAGTATTGGAGATATTTTATGGGGCTATTGTGGGAACAGAAACAGCACAGACATTGCCCCTTCCCCTTCCCACATTGCATAGTAGCTATTGTGCAAAATCAATCAAGTGATTATTGCAATAAGGTCTAAAAAACCCTTAGTGTTCCTCCCAATTTTGTCAACCCCCAAACATGCTAAACGTTCCCTGTTTGCTTTTAGTTTCATAGGCCATACAATCATGACAAGGGAACATGAACAGATGAAAAACAGTAACAAGAAAATGATATATGCTGTCGTTTCATGATTTATTGTGATTTGGCCTAGGAAAAAATGTTGCAACCTGAACTGAAGCCCATTTTTTTCTTTACATATCATCTCAATGAAGGTCACCCATTGCAAAAATGATGATACATGAATCTTGGACTGAGATTTTTGAGAAACATTTCTAATTTTGTCAGGGAAATTTTCTTGACTCTCCATATATATAGTCTAGTCTACTTTGTACACAACCGCTGAAGTTGCAACATTGTTTCCTAGGCCTACATGTACTTTCTCTAAAAAAACAACTGAGCAAGAATTGCACTGAAGGCAGCTGAAGTTAACCCAAAATAAACTTTATATGCACCGCCCCTTTAAATACACTCAGTCACAACAATGCATTACGTCACACACTGCGTGCAACTGCAAAGTAACTAAAGCGCAGGCAGGGCGCGCATGTTAAATAACAATTTTAAAGGGACAGTCGATTTTGAGAAACCACATCACTTCCTTCGTTCAAAAACTGTTCTCTATCATTACCTCATATGTTTAGTGTTTTCAAGATTCACTGAGGAACAGGTTCTTACCACTCAAATGAAACCCTCGAACAACAGCCATGGTTTCAAAAATTCAGGTACTTCAGTGGCAGAATTAAGCGAGTTTCCAGTAGCAAACTAGAAACCAATACATGTAGGCCTATGCATGCAGTGCACATACTCGATGAACAGTACACCTGACTACGCATTATTTTCCCCTTCTTTACACTTGGGCATTGTCGAAGTGAGACGGGAAACCAGACGAATTGCAAGTGCGCCCTCTATCGCCAATTATTGATTAACGCAATTCAGGTGATGCTGACGAATTTCGCCCAGTGTCTTTTCCAGTTGCAGTTGACGTTTTGCAAGGGATAAAACAACTAATAAAGTGTAAGTATCACTGAGACTGTTTAATCACACTTGAATTCTATGTTGTTTGTTACAATGGTTCAAACACTTCATTTGATTGTAAATATTGTAGGATCTTTTTTTGGTTGTCTTTTGCAAGCCCTTTTCAACTTGTCAACATTTGGTGTGATATAAATAGAACAATGACGTAATATAATTAATAGAATAATTCCCCCTAAAATCCTAACCACTGGTTATTTGTCATGTACCTTTTTTGGAAAAAAATGTTGCAACCTGACGCCACTTCAGCGATTGTGTACAAAGTATGTTCAGTACTTACATACAAAGTAACATGTAACTTGTCATGCTTGTATTTTTGTAAGAGGTTGTCCAAGAACCTAGTTCTTTGGCCATTTTTAGGATCTGACATTTCAAGGAAATCCAAGGAAAAAATGGTCGCCTGTGCTTTAATTATACTATTTTGTTCTTTCCTCATAGGGGCCTTTGTGATAAAAAAGTAGCGATAGGCAAGAACGTATACTCTTGCACTTTGCAGCCAGATTTTTTTGATGCCTTAACATTGCCCTGTGTAGGATATCCTACTAGTCAGGAGTCTGCACAGTATTCAACAGATGCAGAGTCAGAGATCTCATACAGCTAACCTCATGGCCACGGCAACGCTCATCCACACTTTGAAGTCCCACAGCTCGGACGTCAACTGTTGCTGCTTCTCGGCCACCACTGTCGCCTCCTGCTCTGGAGACAAATCCGTCCGTCTCTGGAGCCTGGCGGACTTCAAGGAGTTGCCCATCTCACCTCTGCTCGGCCACACCTACTACGTACACTGGTGCGTCTTCAGTCCCTTCGGCACCATCCTGGCATCCTGCTCTACCGATGGTAAGATCATCTTGTGGGACTCTCGTACTGGAGAGTCTCAGGCCGTATTGCAGCATCCAAGTAAGGCTATCGTGAGGGTCTGTGTCTTCTCTCCAAACTCTGAGATGTTGCTGACTGGCGCAGCGGATAGCTCTCTGTGCCTGTGGAACGTACAGAATAAGACGCTGATCAGGTACATGTTAAATTGTTAAATTGCTATTATATTTCATGTGGCATGAAGTGACTGCTCTTTATGTATTTATCATTTTTTTTAAATTTCCATTTTACCAAAGGACTTTTGATGGCCATGAAAACGTCATCACAGCATGTGCCTTCACACCTGACAGCAGCTTTGTGGTCTCAGCCTGTGCCTCGGGAGATCTCCGCATATGGGACGCCCTCTATGGCCAGAAAAAGTCACTCTTCTTCGACCCAGAGTGTCATGACCTGGGAGTGTCATGTTCGGTCATCTCCCCAACATTCGGTTCAGCAGGTGAAGTTCATTGAACCCATTTACAGTTGCATTACATTGTAATACATTCTATTACATTGTAATACATTGTATTGCATTATATTCATTGATTTTTTTTTTTATTCTGGGATTAATCTATAATCTATAAGTGCCTTAATCCACCATTGACACTTACTCATGTTTCGAAAATGTAACGTGAGTAACCGATTTTGTACATCTTGTTTATCATACATAACACATTTTTCTGGATGTCATCTTTGGTGCTTAGGTAGGTCTAGGTCTACTCTATCTACCATGGGGATAACAGTTATTAAGCCTTTTCAGTAAGGTAATTACAGCCCAAGGAAACTCAAAGTACATCAAAAATTTAACTTGAGTAACCGTGGAATTGCCCAAAGGGTAAGGCGGGACTTTTTTCAGAGATGATTCTTTCGGAGGTTTTTCTGATGAAACTTCTGAATTTACTTTTGTTTGGTGTTTCAGATCCCAATGCTGAGATCAACAACGATCGCAGATCTTACCTTCTGGCCACCTGCGGAGGGGAGAACCTTGTCAAACTCTGGGACCTCATTGTTTTTCCCGGTATGTACTTTAACCCTTACTCCTTCGGCCTTTTTGCTAGGATGTAGCCTCAATCCTGCAAAATCCTCCAATTGGCCTCATGGAAAAATAGCATATAGCCTCAATCCTGCAAATTCCTCCGTTATTTCTTGAATATGGTCCATGGAGGGGTGACCACTGCCTGAATCCTGCAAAATCCTTCGGCAGTGACTGTCAATATGTTGAGGCTTGGCCAGTGACATCCTGGAAGAGTACGGAGGATTTCAAGCATAATCCAGGCCTATATTTATGCATGGCTGAGCAAAAACAACACAAGGTCCAGCCCAAGACCGTGACAAAGTGCATCCTACGAAATCAGTAACGCACTTTTGCCATGTATCCTCAATCCTCCAAATTCTTTCACTTTGGCAAAGAGGACTTTGAAGGATTCAGGGCGGTTAGGGTTGATATTAACAAGTAAATTAACTGCTAATACAACTGACTACTATAGAAACATTTGAAAAAATTACCCAAATTGTAATAAAACAAGCTTGATAAGTGAATTTCTCTATTTCAGAAAGCGTTATTGTAGTCGAGTCCGTCACAAGAACTCACAAGTCCAGCGCCGGTCAGTCACTGGGCATCCAATCCCAAGTCAAGTCACGAGCTACTCAAATGAACTGTGAAAAGGGCATTGCTTTGTTAGTTGTTACTATCGTTCACCCAGGGGCAAGTTCCCACAAGAACTATTGTTGACCAGTGGTTAACTATAGTTCGACAAAAGTTAGCCGAACTCTGTCTAGTCGACGGTGGTTGACTACGCTAGTCGACTATTTGGAACCAGCCTACTGGGGCTGGTTGCATCACTGGTAACCAATAGCCGCGCCCATTCATAATGTACAGCAGGGAGCTGAGCCAGGACCCCTAGTTTTGCAACGACATTTTGACCAGCGTTTGACTAGAGACGTTCACACGTTGCTATTAGTGCGCAGGCGTAAGTTATGTAACAAATCAACCTCTAGTTGACTAATGGTCCTTGCCTGAACTTGCTCTCTGTCTCTCGGGACCGGCCTTGTGAGTTTTGATTTACGTGTGACCAGACATGCCATGGACTCGTAATGGACTCGACTACTGCACTAGAAAGCATCACAATATTCAATGGAGCTATAAAAGTATTTTGAAAAATTTAACACCAGTTACCTCCTCCACAAAGGTTAATAACTTGTCTGTTCTTAATTATCTGTATCTTTCCACAGCCTGTAAGACCAAGCTTCGATGCAGTATGACCGGTCACACAGCTAAGGTCATGGCAGTTGCTTTCTCACCGGATGGTGGTCTTCTTGCATCAGGGTAAGTTTCCTTGTTTGAATATTTTTTTTTTACTGGAAATTGATTAACTGACTTTACCCCAGGAGGCTAATGGCTAGCTTCTCATGGCTTTCAATATGAAATGTCTGAAATGTTTTATGAGCTTGCTGTTTAGTGAAGTTCAAATTGTGTATTTTTTTTTCAACGATGGTTTACAATCATGATGTTTTCCACATCTTGAAATATTGATTATATTTGGTTCAACGAGTGTGCGAAGTGTTGCCTTTGTACCACTTCACCGAGGTCCAACCGTGTGATTTTGGTAGTTCCTTCAAAACTGAATAAAAGCTACGCTGTTCTTTCTACAGAGCTGTGGACAAGATAGTCATTGTATGGAATCCGGTAAGATATCTTTAGAAGTCAAATTTTACTTTCTTTTCTCAGTGATGTACATGTATAGACAGTGTACAAGGAGTTTAGCTCATGAGGTTCAAATAATGTTTGTTATTTCTTCGGCATGTGGTGGTAATGATTGCATTTCAGCCTGACTTTCTACGATACAGTTTCTATTGTATTGTTTTCTTGCCAATGCACTGAGAAAGGGTAACTTCCTCAACAGTGGTTCACTTGTATTCATTCAAATTTCATGTACATTTAACAAACATGATCACATACAGCAAATTTACATCCTACTTTAATGGAACATTTTCACAAATTATTACCTGAAAATGGTTCACTGCCTTTCACCAGATTGTCACTACACCGGTTCCAACCACAAGTGTGCTTATTTTTTGCTTCAAAGAGGAGAATCAAGCCAATTATGAAACGGTTTCAAAACAGCCATAGAGAAACCACGGAGTTCACTGGGCCATTGCAGTGCGTGTGAACCAGTAATGATGGTTCAACCAGTGATCAATCTCTGAGTTACATCACAACTATTCCAGATTCTAGATTTTTAAGATACATGAAGTTAACATGGCCCTTCTTACGATACCTTTCTCACATATCCCACTAATACTCTACACTCTTCGCTGTTCTTTGTTCCTTGTAGATTGAAGGCAGCATGCTCTACACATTGGAAGACCACTCTCGGTAAGTCCTATTGGTCAGACTGCTAATTATTCAAATACATTAGCCATCCTTATTGGTCAAGAGCCTGTCCCAGGAGGTTGTTTGAAATCCATACTTATGGACAATCGGTACTCGTCGTTATCTTGTGGACAGAAAGTCTAACTCCTGAGTAAATTTGCAACACTGTTTCTGTGTTCAAGTTACAGAATAACTACATGTAGTTCCCCAATTTTTTTTAGCTGTATCATTTCTGAGATTTCTTAAATTTTAAGGTATGATTTAAAAAAAAAAAAAAATTCAACTTGATGTTTGTCATCTAATTATTTTTAATGAACATGCCCTTCATCACCTCTTGTATGGAGTGTCATGGCCTAGCAGTTAAGAGCACCGGACTCATGCTCTGGTATTTCAGAGGCAACAGTGGCGTGGGTTCGAGCCCGCCGGGTGGACGCTTGTGCCCTTAAGCAAGGCACTTAACCATTATTGCTTCGTCCTTCAGATGGGACGTTAAGCCGTAGGTCCCATGTGTTGTGAAATGCAATGCACGTAAAAGAACCCAGTGACACTTATCGCGAAGAGAAGGGGTTTTCCCCGGTGTTTCTGGCCTCCTGTATAAACCCCCACACGGAGTATTTAGGAGAAGAACCAACCAAGAACCAAGAACTTGTGACAGCAAGTGGGACACACTGCATGCGCGTCCTCATCCTTGGCGTGTGGTGGCAAAAAAAAATCCTTATTTTTATGTGAATGTGCATGAACCTGTAGTGTCTTCCTTGAGTGTCAGACATCATCAACAATGCTTTCAGGAGTCCTTACTAGTGGTTTCCCTAACTTTCTCTTTGTAACCGTTGACGGGCACTAGTGTGTGGAGCCCATAGCTGTAGTGGTCTAACGTTGAGTTTCATTCTTCATTTGCAGTTACGTGACGACTGTAGCATTCTCCCCCGATGGACGATACCTGGCCAGCGGCTCTAACGACAGGACGGTCAAAGTCTGGCTGCTGCACGCGGAGGGGGAAGCCCCCAACCTGTCCCTTCCATGTAAGATGAACCTGTCACTGGCATTCGCTAGATTGGTTTTGACATTGAACAGGTTATGCAAGCTTCCATAAAATGGGCCTAGATTTACCTGTTTACCCTCTTGGCAGTCCCAAGGATTAGTTAAATAGCACCCAATGTTAATTATGAGAAGCACACAATACGAGCTGATGAAACTGGCTGAAATTCTGTGAACAATTCTTTTTCTGAGATTTCCTAGACAAACATGTAGATGGATTGTATTTTCATGTTCCCAAGATGAAACTCCATAAGAATGCCTCGTCTATCAATTATCTCTGCATAGACACTGTATTTATAGCAGTTGTAATAGATAATTGACTAATGAAGCGTTACAAATTTCCACATAGCTGGTTCCCAACAAGTCACCGGTACCCTGCAAGGTGCTGAGAGTGCTCCACCAAAGAATCTGCTTCTGGAGTGGTCAATCGACGACGTCTGCGATTGGCTGAAAGCACAGGGATTGGAGGAATATGTCCAGAGTTTCCATGACAACCAAATTGATGGGCAGGAGTTGCAGTCGCTGAACACAGATACATTGGTCAATGACCTGGGAGTCAGTAAGTGTCATGTCAGATGTCATGCCAGGCAACATGTCAGATATATGTCAGCTTTGTCAGGTCAGCATATCAGATGTAAGGTCAGAAATGTCAGTTGGCTTGTCAGATTTCATGCCATATATGTCACGTGTCATGTCAGGTGTCATGTCAGATATGTCAGTCATCATGTCAGCTAATAACAGACATGTCAGGTGGCTTGTCAGTGTCATATCAGAAATGTCAGGTGCCATGTCAGATGTCATGTCAGATATTTCAGACATGTCAGGCGGCAGGTCAGATGTAATATATCATGTCAGGTCAGAAATGTCATGTAGCTCGTCAAATGTCATTCCAGATACGTCTGTTGGCACATCAAAGTCACGCCAGATATACGTTAGGTGAACTGTCATATTTCATATGAGACTTGTCATATTTCTTGTCAGTTTTGTCATATTTCCTGTTAAAGTTATGTTTATTGACTACATGATTGATTGATTGACTGATTTTGCAGAGGCACTTGGGCACAGGCAGAAGATTCTTAGAGGGGTTCAGGTCGTCAGAGAGAAAGGTAGCAGTGGACAAATCTTAGGTGAGTTGTAGCTTTATTTTGACCTCTTGCCAACATTTTAAAAGGGCTTTATAGCATAACACATGGACAAATGAATAATGACCATACTTGTTTTCCTTAAAAAGAAATGCCCTTGCTTGACGTATTCAGATTGTGTATTACATTGTCGGTTATTTCTCCTTAATTAAGTGGCAGATCTGATAGAATGATAGAAATATTTGACAGTAAGGTCCTCAGCAACTCTTCGAACTCTATTTTTTTCTTTTATGGCAAATTTTAACGTGCCTTACTCTGTATCTTCAAGATTTTGTAGTTGTATCGGTGAAGAATTAGTGTACGTTCGTTGATGGTTTTGTTTCGTCTTGTGTTTGCCTGACAGATGATGGTATACCTGATGAGTATCTCTGTCCGATCACCCGTGAACTCATGAAGGATCCGGTCATAGCTGCAGGTAAAGTAAAAATACTTCGGCCTGCGATTTCTCGTTGTTGAATTTATAATTTAAAAGTTGAAGAAAGAAACCGTTCAAAGTGTCCATGCACTGGTGACTTGCGACTCGGACTTGGACTTGAGCCAAATGACTCAAGAATCGGACTCGGACTCAAGTGACTCGACTACACTGGCATCATGTTGGTGGATAGATGTGCTTTACTAACAGGACATTGTTATCTCTTGTTCCATTAGATGGTTTTTCCTACGAGAGATCATCCATCGAGTCCTGGGTGCGGAGCAACAAGACCAGCCCGATGACCAACTCGCCCCTAGTTCATTCCAACCTGACTCCGAACCGCAGCTTAAAGATGATCATTCAACGACTCTACAACCTCTGAAGTCACAGCCGAACAAAACGTTTACGTAATGTAGACAAATTATCAATTATTTTACTTTAAAAGACTATTGTGTTGTCTGAATATCTCAACTTCTTGTCCTGATATCCTAAATACAATTTTCTTTAGTCCTTCGATTCAAATCAGTATGTGTCTCCATTTGCTAAAGAAATGTAAGCCCCTGAATTGTGATTAGAGGGTCCGGGGTTCCAATCCAGGGGGTCAAATCCTTGTGTTGTGTCTTGTAAGTCGCTTACAACTAGGACTATTTTAGGTGGTGGCTTTATCTTGGAAGTAACACACAGTGAAATGACATCTGATCTGTTCTGTATAATCTATATGGTGTATTTATTAGCCTACAGCGTAATTTATTGAAATCCTCCATTGTTGTGGATTGGCAATGACAAGTCCCTAAATAGTTGGAGTAAAGAGGCTGTAGAATACACAATGGTATATGGTGGATACCTTCCCAAGCATACATGCATAAAGCAAGTCACAGCCTGAATCCTCCAAAATAGTTTTCTTTTGCAAAACCAGCTGGAGTCTCATCAATCCTTCAATTTCATCCAGCCTCAGTTGGGGCCTGCTAACCTGGATCCTCCATTATCCTTCAGAGGCAAAATCCTCCAGATGCCCTCAATCCTGCAAAATCCTCCAGTGCTTCGATTTTCAAAGGCCATCAATCCTTCAAATCCTCCACTATGCAGAGAGGATTTTGGAGGAATTGGGGAGGAATTGGGGAGGTACGGGGTTAAGATCATTTGCAAGCCAAAAGTAGTATATCCAATTATGATTTTGTTATTTTGTTAATATGCATATGTCTCCCAATTGGGTTAACGTTAATCAAAGTTTATAAACTCCCAAGTGAATGATGAATCAGTTAACTCCAATTAAAGGGGGAATGCCAGCAATTCACTGATACATTGTAGCAACAAGTGGTAATGACAAATCCTGAGAGATGTCAACAAAGTCTTATTTCACGGAACAAATCCTTTGAATGTTAAATGTTCATATTATTCCAAAAGACAATCTTCATCTGATTTGCTCCTGATATCGTTTTGTATATATTTGAAAAAAAGTATGTATATTCATCATTATTAAATTTTAAGTTTCATTTATATGCCTTTTGTCTTCAATTACTAATACAAGTCTTTGCTTACTTTCTTATAAGGGCGTTGATTCACTGATGCATGCACATAATTCAATGTGTCCCTAACTCCCTAGCATGATTTACTAGGAACCATACCCATCCTGGCAAATTCCTACACCATATGGGAAACTGCACACACATATTTCTGACTTTAATTCTGGAGGTGTGCCAACCCAATATAAAAGACTGTCAGTTTAGGGGTACTGTACCCATCCAGACAGATTCCAACAAAACATGCCGTTGGGGTTTCATGGGTTGATCTGTGTTGGGGGTTATTAATTAATCTCTAGTTCTACAAATTCTTTTTGTCTAAAAGACATTTTTTCATCTTGTTTGTTGGATCATGATAAAAGTCAATGCACTTTGCACTTCTACAACAATGCTATGTTCTTTGTGTTTTGCCAGATGTAATTTTATTCCTTGAAAAATATAATCAGGTACTACTGCGTATTATTATCTATAAATATTAAATTGATTGGGATTTTCAGAGGTTGTAAAGAATATATGATATGATTGTGGTATTCCATGTATAGAAGCTGTGTAGCCACTTGAACACAGCTATAATAATCATGACTATTTTATTGCTAAAATATGAAAATAAAACATTTTCACTATATATTATGAGAAATTAAGAAACGTTGGTGTTATATTTAGATTTCATCCATTTTGATATTTTTATCGTGGTTACATCTGATAATGGCGAAACAAAGTAGATTATTGCAAAGTCCGGGTTATATTTCTGTACTATTTGATATCAACTTTGTCTGTACTATTTGATATCAACTTTGATGTGTTCTGTTTAAAACTGTTCACTGCTTATGCTGAGACATTATGGAAACTTAAAGGGATATAACAACTTAAAGGGACATATACATCAAAATGATCACGAAAGAGGACCAATGTGATGTATTAATGTCGCTCTTTAAAGTTACGCTGATCATGATTGTTCAACGATAAATTCAATTGTCCAATCAAAATAAAGAATATTTTGAGAAATGGAACTTTTAGTTGTTATGCTTTCTTTCACGCGTGTTGTGTTCTCCGTCAGGAAATAAATGCCTGCTTCTTATTTAATATTTGTTACTGAAATTAAAATGTTGACGAGTTGGACCTAATTTCTATCACTTTTGGTAAAAAAATACATGTAAGGCCAAATAAAAAAAAATGTTTAGCGTCAATAAAAGGAAGGAGGAGACCTTTTTTTCCCCTTCCAAAATGGGCGCCCGACCGGGCTGTTTTTCAAGATGGCCACCAGCTTTTTTTTTAAATGGCCGCCATGCACTTGGACTCAGGAAATAACATACCAGCTTTATATGGGCTATATGCAACAGACAAAGAGACCAAAATGATGTCACGGTAAAAAAAAAAATCATCAATTTTTTTCGTTAAAAAAAGAAAGAAAGGAGGCGGCCTCCAAAAAGGAAGCGGACGGAGACGCTAAACACTTTTTTCTTGGCCTAACTTCAACAGTTGGTACGTCCATATGAATACAGGCGCTCAGGCTAATCAAGCCTCGAAATCATTTTAAACTATTGAAAAATAAAGGTATCATCAAAGGCTTTCCAACAGTAAATTTGAAGAGAAAAAGCTGAAACAAAATTGTTCCTGTCTAATCCCAAGTTAGCATTTAAATCGAGGCTGTCGGTGCTAAGCCATTGTACGAATTGAGGACATTTTCTTTCTCGGCTTCAGTAACAATTTGAAATCCTTTAGGCCAAAAAAAAAGTCTCCGGTTTCTGGTATGGAGCTTGCCCCAAAAGTGGTGCGGCGACGCGGCTTTTTTTTTTTTTACCTGTTTTTTTTTTTTTTTTTGGCTTCAAATGTCGGCTGATGACTGCAAATGGTGCCCGACTAAACTTAGTGCAAATATATGGGAGTCCAGAGAGGCCACATAAATCTTATTCTCGATCATAACCCCATCTAAAAACAAGTTAAAATTGTGCAGCAGCAGAATTCCAGTCAAACCAGTGAGTTTGGCGGTTTTGAAACATCATCTTGTATTGAAAAAAAACCTTTTTCATTTTGCCGACGCGCATGGCTACGGCGACGCGCGCGCATACCAGAAACCGGAGACTTTTTTTTTGGCCTTATGGGTGATTTTTTTTCTCGGGTGCACTGAATGATAAAGGAAAATTGGAATCGCAAAAGAAAATCGAGTATTGGCGTGGTCACCAGATCTTCTCTACTCCTGAAACCGAGACGGTTTCCGTTGCCCCACAGCAAGCTGGCAAACAAAGGCAACAAAGGAAAGTGTACTTGTAGTACAAGTTATTTACCCTCCCAGATCCAACTAGTACACAACAGTATTACATTCCCGCTTCTTTTATCGCACAATCTTCAGTGTTTACTTATGTATAGAACGGTCTTCATTACCCAAAACAAACACAGCGCCCTCTTTTGAAACTTGTTTGCCTAACGGTTCCTTGACGCAAGTGTGGGATGTTTTCGTTCAGACATTTCGGCCGCAAAATCGATAATGTTAAAGACACGGGTTTGTGCTTGGACGGGAATAGCTCTCTGTCCAGGCTCTACAAAGGTTTTGTTTATATATTAGACCGTGATTGCAGGTGTGGACTTACATGCAGGGACTGCCTGATTCTGTGTTGACACCAGACTATAGACATGCATGTATGACACACGAGCTGGCACTTGGTGATGGAAACCTGTCATTTTGTTGACACGATGACGACAACGAATTGTAGTCACTGTCGCTGGCCGACGCCAACGGAAATATAACTGAACAATTCCCGAGGCTTTAATTTCCAAAACTTTGGACTTTTCCTTGCATGTAGCAAATGATTCTCAGAGGAGTGACGAACTTCTTCACACTCCGGTGGAAGATGGAGATGAATCCTTGAAGTGAGTGAGGCAAACTTGCGTCTATAGGCAAACTTTATCACCATGATTTCCCAGCGAAGGATGGCGAATTCTGCCGGTACTCTTCCCAGAACATCGAATTCGAACCAGGGTCCCCAGATCAGGAAACGGGTTCGTTTTTTGGATCGTGCCTTCGCTCAGGAGCTCATCCATCGAGAGAAGGTCCGCTTGGAGGAGAAGATGCAAGCTTTACGTCAGGCTTACGACTTTCGTCAGGCTGTCTCCGGTAGCAGCGAAGCGTCTAAGGCACCAGATGGAGAAGAGCAACGGAGGAATTCGTTAAAACTCCAGACCGCAACAGGATCAGATGAAGAGGAAGAACAGACCTCGGAGTCTCCTAAGCGACAACTCCGTCCAAGGAAAACGAAGGTACGTCAGGGGTCTTTCTCGGCGGAGAGATTGTCAGAGCTTGCCAAGCCTAGGAGCAGAAACGGGATGCTGCCCAGCAACTCTTCTCGTCGTAACGCCATCGTGGCAGCATCACCTGAGCATCTGAAACTGAGCGTTCCTGAGAGATCCCCACGGACAATCCCACAGCTCAAACACCTGTCAGAGGATGAGGTGGATTACTTGGTTCAGCCCAAGACGGCACATGAGTTCCAACAACTCGCTGAGATCAACCTGCGTGTGCCTCACGGTATACTGAAGCGAAGCGGGAGGGAGTCTCGAGTAGCCAACGGTGGAGGTAGTGCCCCTTCCCACCAAGAAAGCACCGGTCCGGGAACAAAAGACATCAAACACAGAGATACCTCCAATCAGACTGATGATTCTCGAAACATTGTTGATTCTCGAATCAAACCTACCTCATCTCCAGCCAAACCGTCTTTCAAGATGGCAGCTCTGGGCGTCCTTTCCATGAAAACTCAGGAGCGGAACGAACTTGCTCCCAAGACGCTCCCTCTAAGCATCTCTGACTTGTTCAGCAAGTCTCTCCCTCCAAAGCTGGCCTTGAAGCAAAGGGCCAAGCCCACCATGACTGGCTTTGACATGCAGCCAGGCGTTCCCGGAGGTCGAGTACTGCGTCTACGGCCAAGGAAATCTGCGTGGTTGGAGTCCAGGATGACGAAAAGACCGAGTAAGTCGAGCGAACTCCCCCAGGACGAGTCCAACAAGGCAGGGGATGCTGCAGGCTCTTCCCCAGACTCTGAATCCCCGAGGTCCCGGTCCAGTTCCCTGGGATATGCGTTTGCCTCGCCGGTAAAGTACCATAAATGGAGAGACAAACCGACAATTGATGTTGAACAACTCACCAAAAACCTGTCTAAGTGTTCGTATCTCAGAGGAGCCGAGGAAGACATTGATGTCACAGAAGTTTTCGTAAGATAGGTTTTATGCTCGTACACTATTGACTGTGTTGATAGAAATGGACTGCCGACAGCTTTGAAACTGGAAAGATTGTACCTCAAATAAAATTCACATAGTGCAAAAGAGGATAATGTGCATGCTTTCTTTGATTTTTTTTTTTTAGAGACGCCGACTTGAACCATTATTATAGCCAGTTTCATTTCATCTTGGGTAACCAATGAATATAGACTTTAATCAAAGTTTTTTTTTCTCCATAATGAGTTTAACTTTAGTGACTTTACACAAAAATCGACAATTTTCCAATTGAGATTTTTCGAAATTTTAATCATGCGATTCGTCGTCTTCCTATAACAGCGAACTAAATTGAGATAATTATATATAATGCAGATTGACAAACAATTATTTGACTATAAGTTTCACATAAGATTAATTTAGGATGCGCGAATGGCCTTCGTTCTTTCAATTTTGTCAATATACACTTAATATTAACGTATCTACTTCGCACATGTGCTTTAGCCTTTAATATTGTATGCATTTTTTTCGAAGTGGGGGTTTCAATATAGAAAACTAATGTCATTCAATTTCAATGTTGAAATCTCCCGACTATTATCTATAACGTGACAATTGAAAAAAAAGTCTCCAACTTTTTGTCATTAAAAAAGTTTGGAGAGGCGAAACAAGCTTCGGGATCTCGGGCGAAAGCTTCCCCCCCCCGACACATTTGTGAATGCGGTTCTGTCAGTATCGAGAAAGCATCTAATACTTAACGTTTCAATAAAAGAATGAATGAGGACGTATGATTTAATATATACAAAACTATATACAAATTCATATTTCAATCATCACCCTCAAAATCCATGACAATCACATCGCAGATGCTGTGACGTCATCAGCCCAGAATAAAGTGATAAATGGAACCCACGTTTTTAAAATAACAAACATGCATTGATGATTAAATGATAGAAAACATATGGAAGCTTTTTTAAAGAAAGAAAAAGAATCTTTTAGAGGTTGGGTGGGCTGGGCAGGCAGAGTATATAGCCCATGCCACTGTTTTTCTAAAAACGCCACATGACTCCATTATGTCGTTTCAAATTGTCACCTGAGTCGTTTAAACGGTTGATTGATCCAAGTTATCGGGTTGATAGCCTAGATTATCCCCCGTCTGTTCCTCCTTTGCCTGGTCACCAATCTCGTAGTCATCCATGTTGTGAACCTTCTGCTTTTGCTTCTTGGCCCTGAAAGGGGAGGGGGGGGGGGAGAGATCGCAAGCCTTAGTGAGATGTGCAGGATAAAATATGAGGGTGCTATTCTGTTTTGGTAAACTCTTTTGCATTTTCCCTAATTTAATCAACCGATACTTGCGTGCAACGATCGGCTTACCGCCTTTCTGGTGTAACATTGTGAATACCTTGAACAGTTTAGGCAACAGTACTGCGGCTAAATAGTGTGCCGCCAGACAAATTCGTATCTTCAACACAAAGTTTGATTTGGAGTACACCATCGAACCTTCCGACTTAAAACCATCGTAATACGTACAGGATTTAGGCCTACTCTTGACTTAGTGATGTCATTAAGGAACTTTTGTAAATGAGAATAAAAATACGTCGTGAATTAAACAGAGAAACGGCAGCTCGACTTACTTGTATGCTCGAGACACAAAGTAGCCTAAAACTAGCACGGCTGTTACTCCAGCAGCTACACTGATCACGATAACATACCAATATTGCTGTTCCCACGACTGAAAATGAAAAAGAAAGAGACGAAAACACGCGATTATAAGATTCAATTTGTAAAGGTGAATTCAATATTCTTAATCAAGTATTGAACAAAAAATCTGATATCTTCATAGGTATTAAAAAAAAGGTTTTCTTAAAAAGTTACCATTCCCGATCTTGCCGAGACTTCGCCAGTGAATGGGTTATAAGAGATGATGTCACTGATGACGTCATCGTTCATTCCTTCCATCAGCTCAGTGACTTCAGCAGGCATCAATGCGGAGCCGTTCACCAGGACGACGTAGGTTACCAGCGTAACAGGCTCCCTGTAGAAAGTAGATTTCAAATAATGTGTTGTAAATTATGTTTATCATTTGGAATTTAGGACTGGCTTGGTTGTTGATCCTCAAGGAATTTGGACAAAAACAATGAGGCGGAGCAACGACGATAATGCTTCTCTTTTCTACAAACAACCCTCATGTATTTCACATTTTCGTTCGTGGTTTCGTTTTCGCATTTACAAGGGCCTGGTGATTGACTGCCATAATTATGACTTTGCAAGTTCTGCCATTTTTCTGGGGGGGGGGGGGAGATACTACAAGTTTCAGAATGGACACAATAGATATTTAATTCAGCTGGAATATCAGTTCGCAGGGATGAAAATTAATTGAAAATAAAACAATATAGAGATTTTAGTGGTTTCCCGTCACGGCCTAGAACACGTACGCACCCTGTTTCTGTGGATTCGAATTCTCCGGTGGACACAACAGCGACCTCTACCGTCGTGTACGGGCCAACCTCTTCATCCATGGAGCTTTTGATCAGGGTTGCTGTCTCGGTTTGGAAGGTTTCTGTGTCCATGCTAGCGCCCTCAACGTACATTTCGCTAGAGAACACCTCAGTGTCTGTGTTAATGTTGAAGATAAAACAAACAAAATAAAAACGATGAGAAAAAAAACCCGTTGCTTTAAATTGCTAGCTAGTACTTCGCTTTCGTGACCTTCGCTTCATCGCTTAGAATGTCATTATGTTTTTCGTTATAAGGCCCAACTTCAGGGTTTCATGTTTAACAGTACTGCTGAAAAATTCTAAATATGCATAAAACATTCCACACGCGCACGTACCACGTTGCCTTGCAATGAAGACAAGGCGAAAAATGTCCAGACAGTCGTGCATAGATTGTAAAGTCTTACCAATTTCGCAGTTTTGTCCGTGGAACTGTTGGTTGCATAGGCATTGGTACTGCTCATCACCTTCTGATTCTAATACACACTCTCCACCGTTCAAACAAGGTGATGGCTGACACGCATTCTCGGTTTGTGTCTCACAGTGAGTCCCAGTATAATCGTCTGCGCACGTGCAACTGTTACGAAGAGGCAAAGGAAAGCAGTGTTGAAGTCGAGTCCACCACAAGACCTTACAATTCAATCACAAGCCAATGTCACAAGTACATCACACAAGGCATCGAGTCTCGCCAAACCACAAGCTATTCAACTGAACTGTGACAAGGACGTTGTCCTGTGACCGGACTTGTAACAGGACTTGTAATTTACTCGTGGACTTGTAACAGACTCGACTACAACACTGGAAAAAGGGGAAAATCTAAATAGTGCCAAAGAACACGATGATGGTGATATCGATTCAAGTGAAGGCTATCTGATGCTTAGGTGATGATGTTTACAATCACAATGACTTGTAAACGTTACGTTTCGAATGAGATTGACAACGATGTCGTTTCGGATGACGATGACTTTGATGATAATGAAAACGGCCATAAACTTTGGGATGACGTGGATGACTGATGACGATGGCGTCGCTGGCAGTGATGGTAGAAAAGATGATTTTTTTTAATACCTGAAATTTTCCAGTTCAGAGACACACGTTGCGTTGTTAAGGCAGGGACCATCCACACAGAAATCAGTCTCAGAACACTCTTCACCTTTGAACCCGGAGACACACACGCATGCGTAGCTCCCAGCAGTGTTTACACACGCACTTCTCTCTGGGCAAACGGTTTCTTCATGTTCGCATTCGTCGATGTCGTCCGCGCACAGGGCGCCCTCGTAACCCTGTGCGCATGCACAGGTGAAGTTTTGGCGGGAATCCACGGAGCACGTCGCGCCATTCATACACGGTGGTGGGATGCAGAGGTCTAAAAGATCGCAGTCAGAACCGAGGTATCCTGTGGGACAAGTACACTCGTACCCATCTACGACATCGCGACAGGTGCCGCCATTTTGGCATGGCAGACTTGCGCACGCCTCTATTGCAGTTGTGAGTAAAGGTGACGATGGTTCTGTGGTCATTCCGCTAAGATCAGTTATTACTGGTTTGGATGTGCTTTTCAATGGAGAGGATGATGTGACCGCTGTTGAGCTATAGACTGTTGCCTGGGTTTGGTCTCCTGCTGAAGTCGCCGACTCTGCTGTAGCCGCGTCAGTAGCAGAAGTGCCAGCTTGGAAAGTCACAGATGAAGTACCCGATTCTTCAGTAGTCAGAAATGGACCGGGAGTTGGACCGGTTGTTGCTGGATTAGCAACTGTCTTATCTGTGTTAGCCACATTTTGGGCTGTTGTAACTGCGTCATTAGTAGAAGTGACAGAGTGGAAAGTATTCACTGGTGAAGTACTTGAATCATTAGTAGTCGGAAAGGGACCGGGAGTTGCGCCGGTTGTTGATGTCTGTTCTGTGATAACCACATGTTGGGCTGTTGTGACCGTGCTAGTAGCAGAAGTGACAGGTTGAACTGAAGTAACATATTCTTGGGCTGTTTGACTTGGACTAAGTGTTACGGCACCTGTTTCCGGACCTGCATCTGTCAATTCGGTGATAGCTACATATTGAGTGGTTGTGACTGGATCGAGGATGACATGAGAGGTGGCCTCCGGTTCTTGGGTTGTAAGCCCGGGAAGTGTTTGTGTTGGGATTCCTGACACAGTTGCTTCTTCCGTTTCGATCTGATTGACTCCAGTTGTGATATACTGGGATGTGGTCATTACTGCAGTTACGTCCAGTGATCCTTCAGTGGTCAAACCAAGAGCGCTGGTCGGCTGTGTAAGGCTTGACGTGTAAGTCACAGATGAAGTACCTGATTCTTCAGTAGTTGGAAATGGACCGAGAGTTGGACCGGTTGTTGCTGGATTAGCAACTGTCTGATCTGTGATAGCCACATATTGGGCTGTTGTAACTGCGTCAGTAGCAGAAGTGACAGGTTGGAAAGTAATCACTGGTGAAGTACTTGATTCGTTAGTAGTCGGAAATGGACTGGGAGTTGTGCCGGTTGTTGATGTCTGTTCTGTGATAACCACATGTTGGGCTGTTGTGACCGTGCTAGTAGCAGAGGTGACAGGTTGAACTGTAGTCTGTAATGAAGTAACATATTCTTGGGCTGTTTGACTTGGACTAAGTGTTACGGCACCTGTTTCCGGACCCGCATTTGTCTGTTCGGTGATAGCTTCGTATTGAGCAGTTGTGACTGGATCGAGGATGACATGAGAGGTGGCCTCCGGTTCTTGGGTTGTAAGCCCGGGAAGTGTTTGTGTTGGGATTTCTGACACAGTTGCTTCTTCCGTTTCGATCGGATTGACTCCAGTTGTGATATACTGGGATGTGGTCATTACTGCAGTTACGTCCAGTGATCCTTCAGTAGTCAAACCAAGAGCGCTGGTCGGCTGTGTAAGGCTTGATGTCACAGGCTCTGTGTTCATCGATGTAGAGTCAGTAGCTGATGAGTGTGAGGTGGTCAGTTCCTGGGTAACTAAACCATCACTTGTGGGGGTTTCCTTGCCTGTGGTAATCGTAGGAATAAGACTGGCTGTGAGTGGAATCTCACTTGTGCTGATGAGAGTAAAAGTGACTTGCGTTGTCGAACCGGGCTCATCTTGCTCTTGGGTTGTTGCGATAAAAGAACTTGTAGTCTGTTTGGTATTTGCATGTGCAGTTGTCCAGTCGGAGTCTGTTGGCTTGACGGATGTGAAAGATTGTGACGTCCTGGTGCCAAGAGTTGTTCCACTCGAGGTCTCCATTTCGACAGTAATTGGTCCTGGCGTTATTGTGACTTCTGCGCTTGTTACGTCAAGTGTAGTTGATGACTTTTCAGTCGTGGCAGTAACAGTTGTAGCTTTGGTGATGTAGTTTTGACAAAAAACACCTTCGAATTCGGCTGGACAGATACATGTATAACCGTTGACTCCATCTTGACAGGAGGCGTCGTTTTGACATAGATTGCTGGCACATTCATCAGTGTTTGTGTCACACAGTGTACCCTCAAATCCATCTACACAGACACAGGTGTAACCGTTGACTTCATCTTGACAAGTGGCGTCGTTTTGACATGGGTTGCTGGCGCATTGATCAGTGTTTGTGTCACACAATGTACCCTCAAAACCATCCACACAGACACAGGTGTAACCGTTGACTTCATCTTGACAAGTTGCGTCGTTTTGACATGGGTTGCTGGCGCATTCATCAGTGTTTGTGTCACACAGTGTACCCTCAAATCCATCTACACAGACACAGGTGTAACCGTTGACTTCATCTTGACAAGTTGCATCATTGTGACATGGAGTGCTGGCGCATTCATCAGTGTTTGTGTCACACAGTGTACCCTCAAAACCATCCACACAGACACAGGTGAAACCGTTGATTTTATCTTGACATGTGGCGTCGTTTTGACATGGATTGCTGGTGCATTCATCAGTGTTTGTGTCACATAGTGTACCCTCAAAACCATCAACACAGACACAGGTGTAACCATCGACGTCATCTTGACAAGTGGCGTCATTTTGACATGGATTGCTGGCACATTCATCAGTGTCCGTGTCACACAGTGTACCCTCAAAACCATCTACACAAACACAGGTGTAACCGTTGACTTCATCTTGACATGTGGCGTCGTTTTGACATGGATTGCTGGCGCATTCATCAGTGTTTGTGTCACACAGTGTACCCTCAAAACCATCTTCACAAACACAGGTGTAACCGTTGACTTCATCTTGACAAGTTGCGTCGTTTTGACATGGGTTGCTGGCGCATTCATCAGTGTTCGTGTCACACGGTGTACCCTCAAAACCATCCACACAGACACAGGTGTAACCGTTGACTTCATCTTGACAAGTTGCGTCGTTTTGACATGGATTGCTGGCGCATTCATCAGTGTTCGTGTCACATAGTGTACCCTCAAAACCATCAACACAGATACAAGTGTAACCATTGACGTCATCTTGACAAGTGGCGTCATTTTGACATGGATTGCTGGCGCATTCATCAGTGTTCGTGTCACATAGTGTACCCTCAAAACCATCAACACAGATACAAGTGTAACCATTGACGTCATCTTGACAAGTTGCGTCGTTTTGACATGGATTGCTGGCACATTCATCAGTGTTTGTGTCACATAGTGTACCCTCAAAACCATCCACACAGACACAGGTGTAACCGTTGACTTCATCTTGACATGTGGCGTCGTTTTGACATGGATTGCTGGCGCATTCATCAGTGTTTGTGTCACACAGTGTACCCTCAAAACCATCTGCACAGACACAGGTGTAACCGTTGACTTCATCTTGACAAGTGGCGTCGTTTTGACATGGATTACTGACGCACTCATCAGTATTTGTCTCACACAGTATACCCTCAAAACCATCCACACAGACACAGGTGTAACCATTGACGTCATCTTGACAAGTGGCGTCATTTTGACATGGAGTGCTGGCGCATTCATAAGTGTTTGTGTCACACAGTGTACCCTCAAAACCATGCACACAGACACAGGTGTAACCGTTGACTTCATCTTGACATGTGGCGTCGTTCTGACATGGATTGCTGGCGCACTCATCAGTGTTTGTGTCACACAGTGTACCCTCAAAACCATCCAAACAGACACAGGTGTAACCGTTGACTTCATCTTGACAAGTTGCGTCGTTTTGACATGGATTGCTGGCGCATTCATCAGTGTTTGTGTCACACAGTGTACCCTCAAAACCATCCACACAGACACAGGTGTAACCGTTGACTTCATCTTGACAAGTGGCGTCGTTTTGACATGGGTTGCTGGCGCATTCATCAGTGTTTGTGTCACACAGTGTACCCTCAAAACCATCCACACAGACACAGGTGTAACCGTTGACTTCATCTTGACATGTGGCGTCGTTTTGACATGGATTGCTGGCGCATTCATCAGTGTTTGTGTCACACAGTGTACCCTCAAAACCATCTTCACAGACACAGGTGTAACCGTTGACTTCATCTTGACAAGTTGCGTCGTTTTGACATGGATTGCTGGCGCATTCATCAGTGTTTGTGTCACACAGTGTACCCTCAAAACCATCCACACAGACACAGGTGTAACTGTTGACTTCATCTTGACAAGTTGCGTCGTTTTGACATGGATTGCTGGCACATTCATCAGTGTTTGTGTCACACAGTGTACCCTCAAAACCATCCACACAGACACAGGTGTAACCGTTGACTTCATCTTGACATGTGGCGTCGTTTTGACATGGATTGCTGGCGCATTCATCAGTGTTTGTGTCACACAGTGTACCCTCAAAACCATCTTCACAGACACAGGTGTAACCGTTGACTTCATCTTGACAAGTTGCGTCGTTTTGACATGGATTGCTGGCGCATTCATCAGTGTTTGTGTCACACAGTGTACCCTCAAAACCATCCACACAGACACAGGTGTAACTGTTGACTTCATCTTGACAAGTTGCGTCGTTTTGACATGGATTGCTGGCACATTCATCAGTGTCCGTGTCACACAGTGTACCCTCAAAACCATCTACACAGACACAGGTGTAACCGTTGACTTCATCTTGACAAGTTGCGTCGTTTTGACATGGATTGCTGGCGCATTCATCAGTGTTCGTGTCACATAGTGTACCCTCAAAACCATCAACACAGATACAAGTATAACCATTGACGTCATCTTGACAAGTGGCGTCATTTTGACATGGATTGCTGGCACATTCATCAGTGTCCGTGTCACACAGTGTACCCTCAAAACCATCTACACAGACACAGGTGTAACCGTTGACTTCATCTTGACAAGTTGCGTCGTTTTGACATGGATTGCTGGCGCATTCGTCAGTGTTTGTGTCACACAGTGTACCCTCAAAACCATCCAAACAGACACAGGTGTAACCGTTGACTTCATCTTGACAAGTTGCGTCGTTTTGACATGGGTTGCTGACGCATTCATCAGTGTTTGTGTCACACAGTGTACCATCAAAACCATTCACACAGACACAGGTGTAACCGTTGACTTCATCTTGACAAGTTGCGTCGTTTTGACATGGGTTGCTGACGCATTCATCAGTGTTTGTGTCACACAGTGTACCCTCAAAACCATTCACACAGACACAGGTGTAACCGTTAAGCATATCCACGCACGTTCCGTCGTTCTGACACGGTGAGCTGAGACATTCGTCCGTTTCTGTGATGCAGTTGGTTGCAGGGTCTTCATACCCATCCATGCACACCTTTTCTCCTGTCAGGGGATCACAGGTATAGTGGCCTAATAGACCGTCGGTGGCTAGACAGTAGGTGACGCAATCACTTCCGTAGTAATCACTGTTGCAGTACACCTTTATTTCAAAAGTCAATCTGTGTTTGTGGAAGATAAATTAATAGGTTTGAGCATTAGTGACATGTAACTTCGGGTTTTCCAATCTATTACATAGGGCAAGACAAAGAGAAACTGTCCATGTGCGATATGAAGTGCTATTGTCTGTAATCATACTGGAGTGACTGTTGTGAGAATTATGCTGAGATGTTTGGCAGTTCTAGATCTGGTACCAAAAGGTATTAGTCAACACTACACATTTCTGCATCAATACTGCTCAACACTTCTAGTTGCAGTTTGAGTAAACCGAGCAGGGTTATGAGCGCGCATGGACATTTCTAGTTTCGTAAGTGCTTGTACAGTTGTTGCTTGAAGGGTAGTTTGTCAGTGATCGCTGTAATGGTCACAGGTAATTGGTTGCACTTGGTTACAGTCCTTGGGGAAAAAAGAGTACAATGTATTTGTAACAGTCTTTTCTTGCTTGTAGTCTGAGGAAGGTATTTGTGTTGGAAGATCTAGATGCGCGTGAGTGACAAAAAGACGATCCTGTATGTCTCCCTTTGGCTCAGTTGGCCTCGGGAAATAGGGTCCTCTCTGGATCACTCACAGTCCCTCACAGACATGAACTAGTGACCTCTTTGCCAGTCAATATGTGAGCCAATTATGAGTATATCGTATGCTTACGTGGTGGGATTGACGGTCCTTGTACCGCTCTCAGAGTAGTAATGAGTCACAGCCACTGAACTATTGGCGTCCGGGACATGGGTGATAGTTGTGTCGTACGTATCAACAAGTTCTGGCTCGCTGCCTATCAATAAGTCAGAATCGTCATCGTACACGGTAAGATCCAGCTTTACCCTCCACTGCAAAGTCGATTTAGAGACAAAATTTAGAGTCAACAACACATTGTTTTGTACGTGTTCTACATAACCCCCGTGGACCGACAAAGGAAGGGAGAACAACAGATCCTTTCAGTCCTCGGGCGTTGCGTCTTTTGTTGAGAACGGTCCTCTATGTGCTAAGTATATGGGAGAGTGTTATATTACAGGGACAAAGGGAAACACAAAGCATTGTCCTCGGGAGTATAGTAAAACACGACTGTGTGAAATTTAATGTAGCGGGTGTGTGTTGTTTGACTGCTTGTACGGTTGCTTTGTTGGAGAGGAAGTTTAATTGGTGCTCGTTTGTTGCCATAACAACTCGTCATTCATTTCGTCACTGTTGCGACTTGTACTTTGTAGTGAAGGGTATTGTAAACATAGTGTACATAATTTTTAATAAAAACCTATATATTCTGATACAGGAATCATATTGAATGATTGTTATTACAATTTTCATGCAATCAACTTCCTCTGGGCAACTGTTTTAAAAATCACCGATACTCTCCCACTGTCATTCTTTTTTTTGGGGGGGGGGAGAGGGAAGTGTTGGATTATTCTGAATGACAACTTACCGGCCAAGACGAGAACGTCATCACTATTGGATTAGGCGACGAACCGACCGTGGAACCAAACGTAACGGACTCCCTATCACTCGCTATACGTCCCGTTGATACAACATAGATTGGAGTACCACTGGCAAAGACACATACGAGAAAAAAAGATATCTCAACTTGTTCCTCAATGGATCGGTACACCTGCTTTACCCTAGTGTAGTTTGTGTGGTACTCGTGGAGTATATATCGCAATAAATAGACGACTCCATATTGGCACTGAAACCGAGGCTCTTAGTGCTAAACCATTGTATGGACTGAGGACCTTTTCTTTTATAATCCTCTCAACAAAATACAGCACTGAGGCCCTCGGCTTAATTTGAAATTCCTCTATCCCATGTAGGTTTGGAAGTGAGGAATACTTGCTGGTACTACTTATAATTGGTAATGCTGAGACAGTACTTGCATTATGGTCTTGTTCTCGTCTATTTTGGAGGGCGCCCTATTTGAGTGTTTGGTCTACTCAATTTATCAAGTCAAAGCGACGCGACTCTCTTCGCCCTTGCAAGGAAGAGGCGTTTCATTTGACGTCGGCATTGCCCATTGGCGGTATTACAAGGGTCAGAGGTCAAATTGACAAATTTTCGATATGCGAATTCGCATCGCAAATCCGCTCGCGCCTGGCCTGCGTGGCAAGCAGCAATATCGATTGGTAGGCCTACTTCGTAATGTTGAACCCATTCCCTCTTTTCAGTTAGTGATTCTTAACCCCAACAACTCCAAACCCCCAAACAACAAATACAACTTGAAGACTATTAATTACCCGACGTTGTTGATAGATATATCAAAGCCGATATCACAATAATCGCTACCGAAGAATCTGCAAATATCACAGCAGTTATTATCGAAATCCCGGTCGTCTCCAGTGTATGTACTAAGGCGCATCTCTAGTGTAGCATCACCTTCGACTGATTCGGGAACCTAAAACACAGGAAGAAAACCCATGTTTAGCTTTGGCCTTGGGTAAGCAAGCTTCAACTAACGACTAGTCACAAGCAAACACAACGTGTACTTGTGGGTTGCTAACCTTCTTTTGCTTAGCAGAATCTTTCTGCGCTTAGCCGAAATGCGGACCTGGCCCGTCCAAGGATGCTTTTCCTAGTCGTCAAGCAACGCACTGAACAACCATAGAGCAAGGACACCGACCCAAATTCATGGCGACATTTGCGATAAGAACATAAGAACAACGTAATCCAAGGTTGCATTTTAAATGCTTGGCTTGGCTGTTGGTATCGTGATCACATATCGCGTAAATGTTATTTTGACAAACAGTTTGTTGTTACAAACGATGTTGGGTACCTGGACAATGTTAGAGTGTAATTGCACCGGATTGCACCAACCTGATCAAGTACAATTCTCTAGATATATTTATTGTAGACGAGAACCCCCTTTTGGAGGACTCTATAAAAATTGACGTATGAACACATCATTGATACGATGATACAATGCGAAGGAGTTGAACTTAACTTTCATTTGCTAAACGCACTGGTGTTCAAATTCAAAGCCCTGACCAAACATGAAGTTTAATTCAACTCAGGTACAAACGTTCAGATTTACCCACACGTCAAACTGCACATGATTCTGTTGGTTATAGTAAATTCAGTTCAAGTCAATTCACTCTAATCATGTAATACATGAAACTTATATCCTCGTTCTGCACATTCACATTAAAACGATAAAAACATGTACATACTTTCGTACAAATATACATAACAAATTAGTACGGCAGATAGGTGATTCGATTGTGCCTTTGATGATACAAGCATGGCATTTGGCACACATTCAGAGCATGTCATGAGAAAGGTATTTGGCTATAGGGCAATCGCAGATTTGTCCTTTGCAAAAGTATATGTAAAAAAAAACAAGCCATGGCAGCCATTAATTTGAAATTTGCTTGTTGTTCTACCTTTATTCTTTTCAAAGGACAAATGCGGTGGCCCCACAGCCAAAAATCTTTGACTGTGTGCCAAATGCCATAATTGTATCGTCAAAGGCACAATTCCCCCAAATATCTCCCCTATCTGCCCCACTAAAATGGCTCTATTCTCGCTCTGGAATAAAAGCAAGCCCATCCAAATAATTTAATATATTTGATTGTCTTTGATTAAAAAAACATGAACCCTATCTTATTTATTCACGGGTGGCATTTTGTCTAGTGCTTAACATTTATGGTCAGATATCACAAATGACGACGCATGTCCATGACATATAAAGAGCAATAAAACGAGCACTTATCGTCAAACATGTTTGGTACCATGGAGACAACACTGACGTCTGTATTCGATGAAGATTGTTTAATTACCATCGAGCTGTATACAAATAAAATTGGGAATCGTTTGACCTTTCTTTGGAGAGCAACTCGCAGCAGGCTTGCATCCCACCATAAGTTGCTAGGAGATAAGCCGCCGATGGTGGTTTTGAAATTGTAGGCAAAAGGTCGCAGGTACCGTTAGGCCCACATTTAATTATTTCTTTCTGTGAAACAAGTGCTTTGAAAAGTCCGGAAAATATTTCTGCACATTTCAAAGCAATTGGTTGACAGAATAGTAGTATTTCAATTATGAAACTAAAAAAAAAGGATGGCTCGTTCGCGGACAAACTTTGAGAATCTTTGGTCTGATATATTTATGATGGAGTCGTTTTACGTTTTAATTTCTCGTATTTTCAGCTTAACTCAACTCGATCATTCTGTCGGTAGCGGGGTTTGCGTTGTGTTTTTATAAATACCCAAGACAGTTTACCCATTCCTATTGGTCGAAAACCGGCTATGTAACCGGCCTTAAACGGATGATAAAGACCGGCTGGCCGGTCTGAAAAACTTTTCCAGTGTCACATGAAATTTGGACTCTATGAAATCCAGTGCCTTTTGCCGTTTTATTGGTTGGACGTTCACAACCCTCACGTAGGCATGCGCAATAATATCAGTGAGTCAGTATTTCAAAGTCCTAAATTCACAACGCACCGCCCCAACTGCATTCTGCGCGACCATTCATATATAACTAGAGGGGTGCATTAAAAAAACACGAAGCGAAATTGTTGAACAAAATCGTTTAAAATATTTAATTGTTGACCCTTTTATGACTTTTTGACCGAAAAGTTATTTATTCGGATCGCACGGTAATTATCTGTATCCAGACTCCAACCGGTCCTAAAAAGAGTGTTTAAAACCGACCAAGCACATACTCTCTTCCCCTAATTCAATAATATGGTTCGTTTAGACCAACATAAGTACCACAATATTTACTTTGGAAACACTGAGGAATGAAGAATGTTTCTTTTTATGTTTCCATATGCGACAATCAAAGATAATCTGTTATCAAACAAACATGCCAAACGAGGGCATGTCAACGTCAGGCATGGAAAACAACACATGCATCTCAGGCTCGGTATACCAAAGATTTAATAAGAACACGAGCATGATGCAAAGAAATATTTAGTAGATTAATGAGGCAGCCCGCCAAATGTTAACATAACATTCCACCCGTTCAGCAGGTACACTAAATCAGTTCCCTAAATATGTTGGTATGTACTACAAAATAAACAAAATTAGTTCAACGTTCATACTATTTTGCTCTTAGTCTTACCGTAAACAAAACCACGCTCCACATGAAGACAGTTATTACCGAGGTCATCCCCATCTTGAAAAGTTACACAAAGCCGCAGTTTGTACAAGAAAAAAACTAGGAGGTATACTGCGAAAAGAAAAGGTTCTTTCTGCACTGCACTTGGTCGTGTATCATCGATGTCGTCTTTGTTTTTAGTGTGGTCACTCAGTACGTGGACTCACAGGAGCATGGTTATCATAGATAGGATTATGGATAAAGAGATGTTACCCAATATATTGTGTTTGATCAGTAAGGATTATACCTATTTTCCTATCTATTTTTACGTTGGCCATCTGTGTGTGATAACTACAAAACAACATTCACAAACAGTACAGATTTGACAGTGATGGAGTCGGATCATCAATTCTCTTTCACTTAATTTTGGACAAAGTTGTTACGTTCATAATAATCATTAACTGTTAGTCTGTCATTCATTGTGATTCTTACGATATAACAAGACTCAAGTCAGTACACCAATAGTAGTGGAGAAATGTTGACGTATGCGCAACAATTTTCTGGCCAAGTTTCTTTTGTGCGCAGGATTTTCCGTAAATATACGGGGCGATAGTTCGGCCCGCGCTGACGTGGCTTTCTGACTTCCCGCGTCAAGTTGGCGCAGTGATTACTTTCCTCGCCTTCCACCGCTATGCTGGCCCGGGTTCGATTCCTGCCCGGACCACCTGTGAATGGGGTTCTCAGTCCCTGCCTGATTCCGACACGGGTAGAGAGAGAGCAGGAAAATGTGGTTCGATTCTCTGTTAATATCTTTAACATCTTTCATGACCGTACGGCGATATTTTCCAGGTCACTGTATCGGACGATTTAATTAACTTACTTTAGTGCATCTGTTTTCGGTTTGATGAGGCTCTAAGCAAAGCTGCCAGGCATGCATTATTTAAATCCGATCGAGACGTGGCGGTCACAGTACGACTGTAATAATCATACATTCAGGAGTTCGGGCAACACTTGGAAAGAAACGCTGTACAATTTGATTTTGTTTATGGAGGGCACGGAATGCACAAAAGTGTATAGAGTGTAATGAGTCCGTTTTGTTTTTCAGTGCCGGCGGTATTTCCCGTTTTTATCTTGAGAAGCTTCGCGGTGGCGCCCTCTACTGGTAAAAAGTGCGCACAGCCCCTGCTTTGAATAACAGCTAATTTGACACGATTGTGCTTTCTTGGTCGATTCTAGTTCACTCAAAATAGGATCCACATGGCTTGTTAAACGAGCCATTTTTAGCGCCGTCGGTAACAATTTATGTCATTAAAAATAAATATCAAATTGTTCACATTATTAATTTAGTCGTCCATGTCTGCCACCTCCCCCACCGTCAGTCCAGAGCTGTCTCCCTCCCCAACCAAAAATGTAATTCGTGCCAGACGTATAGGCTTATACGCATTATGACTCATTCCCAATTAGATTGAATTGTTGGCAAACTGAAAATCAATGGCAGCTATCCGATTCGTCTGAATTAATTAAACTTTGAAATAATGACATGCATATCCACGGCCTTCAAATTTATTGATGCATAATATGCAACTTTTTATTTTAATACTAACAGATGTGCATGAGAATCAGCATACGGTTCGGCACGTCGGCTACGGTAGACTATCCATAGCCAACACTGTTTACGGGTAAAGTTCAAGTGTTCTTCATTACGACATGCATGCACTTAGCGATCAGATTCAACAAGTGTTCCGACAACAAGTGGACACGGTATACATGGTCCGGAAAACCAAGTCAGTTCCCTTGCTGGTTTGGCAAAGAGTACGTAGCTGTGGTTCGTTTGTCTCGGAGTTTTATTTTGGGGAATTTAGTCCAGAAAAAAAAGTTGACTGCAGCAAATATGAGACGGCAGCAATATTCCGAATAGAAACGGCCGTCACCGAAGCTGTCCGAGTGAGTATCAACTTCAAGAATGATTCGAAGGTAAGTTAAGCAATTAACCGATTGATGAAATCCTTTGGTGTTTGTTGTTACCGCGGATGGAATGCGTGAGTGCTGTAGATTTGTTTTGCCATATAAGTTTGGTTGCATAAGCAAGTGCGGAGTATTTGTAAGGCAGTGGTGTCACGGTCATAACCAGGTTTTGGATAGCGAAGGGGTGCTAAATGTTTTTTTTAATACAAAATTGCATAGTCGAAAAATGTCGTTATCCAGTTACGTCGTACTGGAGTGCTGTGGCCTCGTGGTTAAGGGCACTGATTCGTGGTCTGTGGGTAAAGCTGCAGGTTGTGAGTTCGAGTCCTGGCAGGGTCATGGTGCGTGTGCCCTTGGGCAAGGCACTTTGTCACTCATTGCTTCTCTCCACTCAGGAGTAAATGGGTACCTGTGAGGGCAGAGATGGTTATTGTGATTGAATTAGCTTCTTTGCACCTGACAGGCTGCATCGAGCTGTATACTCCCTGGGGAGCTGAGACTGGTATTCGGAATGTTTCATGGGCCCAATGAGTAGGGGTAATAATGATGTAGCGCCTTGAGCATCAGTCCTGGTGGATAGGAAGGGGGGGGGGAGGCCCATTGCTAGAGACCTGTGCCCCACCCCCAGTGACGAATTCTGGAGCACAAGGTTTGTTTGGACCCATTACCACCACCTAGAAAACGAGGTCCCAAAGTTTTCTCTCCCTCCTCAGAAATTGAACCCTAAATACACCCTTGACTTTGCTCGTTTTGACAATAAAATAATGCATCTTTCCCAAATGAAAAGAAAAAAAAACCAAATATCTAAAAATGCATAGGACTAGTGCCTCGATCACCCAGCATGGGTTGAAATCAAAAATTATTCATCGCGCATGCAGGTGTTTATTGGCAGTGCGTGCATAAACGCGTCCTTCGTAGTATAACCATTAAAGGTTATGCACATTTTATCTATTGCTATATCAATATTCATGCGAACAGTAATTTCTGTTTTGTATATTGATATAATCAAACAAGATCCGATATTGTTTTTGCGATATTGCTTTTGCTGGGGGGGAAGGGGGGCAAGTGCCCCTGCCCCCACAGTTCCGCCGCCCCTGTCACTAACCGATAATGTAAAACACTTGACTAATAGTGTAGTACATTGTAAATGTTACTGAGTCCTTTAAATTTCTTCACACAATTTGAAAACCCTAAAAAGCTTTTTCTTCTACTCACTTTCAGTTTTCACCTAATGACCAGCACAAATTTCAGAAATTCTCATCTGCGTACACCGATTAAGTCTGCATGTATTTTAGATTTTCGGAAGCGAGAGGTCCATATTTGGCACGATATTTCTCTTTTATGTCATGCGATTTATCAATTTCTTTAATTGATATGCTAGTAACAATTTTACAGAGGCCCTTTTCGGGGGTCATTTTCTGAAGAAATCAATGACCCAAAAATAATTGCAAATTTTGGAAATTGTGCACGTTAATTTTTCTGTTCAAGGGTTCCGGAAGCGCGCTGCCAGGGTGAATTTTCAGGTTTTGTTATGCATCTTCATTGGTATCATGATATTTTGGGGAGCACTTATTAATCTCAGCATTTCGTTTTTAATGGTTGAACTTTTAATGAGTCATAACTTGGTTATCTACCTACCAGCAATGTACCACAACTCGTGGTGACCAAAGTGACAATCTAATCTTTGATTATCTTCAGATGTACTGGTTTATGCTGGTTTGTTTACTACACTGTTACGGGAATAAGAGAAAGTACATCAGTGAACTTTGGATGCCTGGAGAAGTCACTCCCATTCAGCACTTCTGCTTAAATTGCGGAATTTCTTCATTTTTTGTAGATTGGGGAATCGAACAGCGGTTTTCTTCACGGTGTTATGAAGTGTCTGATAAACTCTGTAATTTCCAAAAAGCGAAACTAGGGATAAGACGATGTACATCACAACTATATTGACTTGACTTTGTAAAATCACATCCCGCGAAACTCGAGTGAAACTCGATCTTTTCGATTGGACAAATTTCACTCAAAATCGTCTCGTCCAGTTTGAGTTGGATGGGTGAATTTGCACCAGAATATAGAGCGGGTTTTCTTCCGTCCCACTTTCAAAAAAGAAGAATTTCGCGGCAGGCAAAGTTCTCTATGGATTCGCAGTGCAGTTTGGGTGCGCCCTCAGTTTTTTTTTTTGGTACATAAATCGTTTGCAATAACAAAACCATGCACGTTAGGGGGGGGGGGGGGGGAAGTCACAGTGATTGTGGTTGACTATACACACCTACAGTCTGAAGGTTATCATTATACTGCATTCACTATCCAGCATTGAAAAGGCACAGCGGCTCACTCTGTTTAGGCATTTTGAATAAAAATACCTGTATGAAAGGTTTTCACCGGCACTGGTCATGGTTGGTTGGAGAAGGGATATTTCGCTACACAGCAGCCTCGTCTGCAATGGCGAATTAGGGCAGGGTGATTCGTTGGGGGATGGTCTGACTATTACCGTGTGGAGTTATTGGATACCGGAAAATGGTGGCAACTGAAGTGAAGGTAAGTTTGGATGTACAGATAGGGTAGGGTATAATTTCATTTTTGTCTGGTGTGCGAGTCGTAGGCTATAGATGAGATTGCAAGTTCCGATTTGCCATTTCGTTTTTAGTCAACAACGCAATCTGGTGGGCAGTACACTCCCAGCTGTTGTGTAAGTAAAACTGTGATTTGTGGGGGCGAGGGCCAGCCAGAGTGTAGTGATACGATATAGTGCACAATAGTTGACAGTTTGTATATCCTAAAACGCGGGATAACACTTGCTTTGATACCCCCATTAATGAATGAATTAATGAAAGAGATAATGAAAAGAACTGCGTACTTGCATAACATAACCAATGCTTGTGAAAAAATGTGGTTCTTTTACCTATACAATCATATGCTACGTGTAAAAAAAAACATGTCCTACTTTGATCCTGAATAACTCTGTTGTTTACCAATGGAATTAAACTAAAATTTCAGATCATATAAACAAGGCGTGGCACATTTTATGGATCGAGTTTCATCAGATTTGTGCAAAAGGGTGAAATTTAAACGCCATACAAACAGTACTCACTTTTACAATCTGCCACTTTCGACTTGTCCTCCTCTAATGTCGATACAGCGCTGGAGACGGTGGCGTAAGGCGCGTCCTGCGGCCGGCGCCGAAAGCTTTTGAAGGAATGCAGGATCACCACTGTGGTCATTGCACACCTCAATCGTTTGGCGCAACACACGATCGAAGAGGTGAGCAATAACATCAGGGGTTATCTGCATTCCTTCAGAAGCTTTCGGCCGCAGCACGCGCCTTCCGCCACCGTCTCCAGCGCTGTATCGACATTCCGAAAGTGAGTATATTTTGTTTTCGTGTGGCGTTTAAATCTCACCCTCTTGCACAAATTAAAGCCGATGAAACTCACTCCATTCAATTTGTCATGCCTTGTATACATGATCTGCAATGTTGGTTTAATTCCATTGGTAATCAACAGAGTCATTTAGGATCAAAACTACGACGGGAATTTTGACACGTTCGGTGGGGGTATCGAAGTAAAATCTTCTTGATTATTGGGCGTGTCTGAACTGCAACTCTCGGACGCAGACTGTAGCATCCTGTAGACCCTTCCTCCAAATTTTGGACTATGGCCCACACTTTTGGATTAGCAAAATTGACTGACAACCTGATATAGTTTTCATTTCCCTTTTGATTTCGAGTGTTTATCGAGATGTAAAATTTCAAGTTATCATGTTAGTTGTTATAAACTAACCATTATTTCGTGTTACACAACACGGAAAGATGAGTTCCATACCTGGACATCACTTGACACCCTGTGCACAAACCTATAATGAGACTGGTCTGAAAAACTCCATGTGTTTTTTTCCAGTCAATGCTTCAATATTTTCCCTGCTAAATTTGACATTTTAGGACATGTTATCGCTTTCTGACGGCTGATACGTCTCTGCATGCAGGGAAACATTAGCGATGCCCATGTATGGAATTCTTGAAACTTTGTGCCGATCCCCGTGCATTGTGTATAGTGTGTGTTATAGTTGCGTTCCTCGCGCTCTTCATAACATTCTTTTTTTCCTATTAATAAATGTTGAACTTGTAAGCTTTATTCCAAACCAAAAACCTCAATTTGTTCCCGTCTGCAACACTATGAAAAAAAGGTTTGTTTTGTCTTGAGCTCAAAACAGATCCGCTTTGCGAGCAGACTGGCTCCCGGTCCGTATATTAACGATAGTTATTGTGGGGCGGCAGTCAGCCTATAGACCTTTATCATTATGCCACCATTTCAGTCTTGTTCCCTGTATCCAATAACAGTACTGAATGGTAATGTTTTTGTGCAAAAAAGGAACCAGACTATTTTCCTTCCATCCTCGCTTTGGTTACGTTGATTTTAATGGGGATAAATCCAGATGGCCGCAACATGATAATAGTCTATACTCCGCCGCGAAAACGGAATTATTGTCTAGCGGCCAATAATTCGAAATTGAAAAGTAAGAATTCAATGACAAAACATGGGCCGATATTTTTGGTCGATGTCTCATTCAAAAGTGAACAGCTTTTATATTGCTAGAAAAATAGCAAAGGAATCAAATAATCGGGATGGAGCACGAAAATAGTACGGGCAGTGCAACTTTAAAAAGACGACAAATTTTATTTGAGATACCAAGCTGCCTCCACAAATTGATCTCAGAAAATAGTCAAATTTTATTGACACCTTTCATGGTTTGAATGAATAGTGGTTTACACAATATCAAATAATTTGGCACAGGAATAATTCCCGTACCTGTATAGATTTATATTTTAACAGAATGAATGATCTCAAAAAGAAATGTTCATGTTCCGTGGGTTTTCAGGTTTATACTGCATTTGAACATACTAAATGTACCCGCTGAATCTCAATGAACCTATCGCGGTAGTCAACGCAGCTTGTGAAATATTGCAATTACATTATATACACATGGACGGTGAACGCGCAAAATCTGAGACAAACAAAATTTAAAGTGCGAAATGATTCCATACGGTTGTCTTATGGGGCGTGGCTAACTCACAAACGGCGATAGGTCAATAATTTCAGAATACGCGTGACTTCGCAGCCCTAAAAGTCCTATTGTGTGAAAAATGAGTGGGTTGGGGCGGGGGGGGGGGGTATGGGGTAAGAGACATTATAATTGCACTTAATATCAGCCATGTTTTTTCCTCCTTAACAATGATCAGAAAGAATGATCTATCTTGATGAATTGCTTGTGATAAGAAATGGGCAAAGTCCAGAAGTGAAATCAATACCATTATCATAACTGGTATATCGATTTTTTTTTTTAGATAGACTGGTACCCAGACAAAAAATGTGAATAAAAAGTGAACAAAACCAAGTGTTGGTTGGTTGCTGGACTTTCGGAAAGCATAATTATGCGCACTTCATATACACTTCCAGACTCTCAAATATGGCTTCAGGCATCGATCGAATGTCCGAACGATATGTATGCCCAATATCCTATGGCCTAAAACAACTCAAACGGGAAGAATACCATATATATATGGACATCACTTTTTTTGAAGGGAACATATGGAAGCATTTACTAAGAAAACACGTGTGCACAGGATGTAAAATGATGTGCAGTTTTGGAACTCTTTCCAACCCAACTTTTCCTCAGATGATTCCAGTTTTCCCAAACTTAATGGATTTGTCTTCCATGAAAACACAAGGTGAAATGAAAGTTGTAGTTTGGCGGCAAAGGAGTGGTGGCCGGATATACGGAACTTTTGCTGTATTCCATGCAAGGCTAAATATCACGCAACAATCGGACAACTATAATACAGATCCTAGCCTCAAATACTCTGGAGGTCGCAAAAGTAAATCATGGCTTTTACGGTTGGACAGGCGCATTATGTCTGCTCACGAACACAGGGTGAAGCTTTTGTTAGCTGGTTGACGCCATGCAACTTAAGCGTTAACATGTGAATGAAGAGATGGCGCGGTGGATTTTGTTAGGGCATTGAGTACAAAACACCCTGGTGTTTTCTGGACCTCTCGTAATCTCTCCCTCCCCCCCCCCCATTTTTTTTTGGAAATTCACTCTACTAGATTGAAAATTCACACCCATCGACTTAAATTAAGGACCACACATTTTAGAGTGAAATTCATTCAATCGAGTGTAGATGGAATTTCACTCGAACTTTTCACAAGACCAACTCCTGTTTTTTTTGCCCCCAGAGTATTTCAATTGTCCCTAGTTTCACTCTTTGGAAATTTATAGAGCGTAATCGTTAAGGTATTTGTTCTGAAATCACATGCACTGTACGGGAATTGATTTCACAACATAAATTTAAAAGAATACAATTACGAGAAAATTGCAACACCTAAAAAAACACACAAGTCTTCAGGCAACACTAGCTTTTATCCTTTGGCTTTATAATATGAATGTCAAACTTATAGCTTTTACATTACAGCTAGGACTGTTTGAACAGAAGACAAGTTGGTGCCTTAGAATTAAGAAATGGACATTCAGTTGGCATAATCAAAGCAAGAAACTTGCACTGAGTCTTGACTAGCAAGCCGTTAAGTTATCGAACAAGCAAACGGAAAGTTAAATTAAATAGACTTCATTTTCTATTTGCCTCCAGATTCTTCGAGACTGTCTGAGTGATCGCTTGTGCTAGTCTAATCTGAAGTAAAGACCGAGGATCAATCAAATTTACCAAATTCAGAAATCCGAACCTCATTGGCAACTTGCGCTTGGACCATTCGAGTTCAACATGTATTACCCCGACGATGACACGCTCGTGGTTGAGCGGAAGGACGTGGTTGGGACGACAGACGACGACGACAGCGACACCTCATCACAAACGTCCTCAAGCAGACGCTACAAGGGCTACTGTTCTGGCAGACTCAACCCAGACCTCCTGCTGTGCAAGATCTTCTACTTTACTTTCTACGGCTCGTACGGCTGTCTGTACCCACTGATCGCAGTCTACTTCAAGCAGCTTGGGCTGAGCGCGTCTCAGAGTGGCGTCCTGGTCGGCGTCAGACCCTTTGTGGAGTTCTGTGCTGCGCCTATGTGGGGCGCCGTGGCTGACACCTGGCGCAAGGCCAAATTTATCCTGCTGTTCTCCCTGCTGTCCTGGCTTGTCTTTACCGAAGCGGTGGTGTTCATCCAACCTGCTGAGAGTAAATGTGTGGTTCTCAACTCTACCGTGAACGCCAATGCAACACTCGTCATTATAAACGCCCTAGAAGACAAGGAAAAAGAAGGGGGCGAACCTGAGGTGAAGATAACAAAAGTCAATGTTCATGATAAGAAGGGAGTACCTTCCGTGAAAGTTTCCAGCAACAAGACTAAGTCCGAAGACGGTGCGAAGAAGCGCGTTCGCCGTGCTGTCAATGACACCTCTGGATCCTCCAAAACAATTATTGTTGTACCTAAACCAAACATAGAGGTCACCATTTCGAACAGGACAGAATCAAAGTCGCCTTCCAATCGACCGGGAAATGTAACTGTTATAAAGTACAGACCTGAGGACACTCGCCTGATATTCATCTTTCTCTTACTGCTCATGATCCTTGGGGAGTTCTTCAGTTCCCCGACCATCACATTGGCAGACTCAGCAACTTTGGGTTACCTGGGACATCAGCGCATGGAACTGTACGGTCGTCAGCGAATGTTCGGCTCCCTGTCTTGGGGGATCTTCATGTTTGTAGAAGGATTCATCTTAGACCGCACCAAGACAACCACGGTAGAATGTGACGGACAGGTTACCAGGGAAGAAGAGAACTACTTGGTCTGTTTCGGCACATACGCGGTCCTGATAATCTGTGCCTTCTTTGTTGCGACTCAGTTCCAATTTAAGTACCGGTCATTGAGCGAAGTTCTCTCGGGTCGCAAATCGGACCAGCTTCGTCAGGTACGCGGTAAGGGCTCCTCAGAAGTCATTGAGTTGGAGAATGTCAAGAAGACACGTGAGAAGTTCAAGGATAACTACGATAAGATGAGCAGCGCAGGAGACTCTACCATCACTGATGACGAGGAGGAGCCAAGATACTTGGAAGTTCTTGGTCTGTACGCCAACATCAGGTATGGTACTGTGCTGTACGTGGTGTGGTTTGCTGGCTTCGGTTTTGGCTTCTTCTTCACGTTCCTCTACTGGCACCTGAAGGATCTTGGAGGACCTCCTACTCTGTTCGGAGTAGCATCCATCATCAATCACCTGTCTGAGGTCACGGGGTACTTCTTCAGCGGTTGGTTTTTACAGAAGTTTGGCCACATCCCAGTGTTGTGCCTGGGTCTGATGTGCTACGCCATCCGGTTCATTGTCGTCTCCTATCTCGTCAATCCTTGGTGGGTCCTTGCTGTTGAGACGCTTCAAGGTGGGTATCTTAATCACATTGTATCCTTGTGAGATATTTGATTGCAGAGGCGTAGCAAGGTCATTTTAATTTTTATTTGTTGAGTTCATCATAAGTCCATTCCCAAAGCAGGCCACAGTAAACACCTTTGTCACGGTTCTTGACTTGCTTGGGGACTGGACGACTTGTGTAGACGCGAACTCAGTTGTCTAGACTGCCACATCATTAGAACTTTTTTCCCCATGTATTCGTCTTTCATGCCAGGAGTCACTCATGCCTTGGTGTGGGCAGCCAGTACGTCCTTCATCGGGTCCGCCACATCCCAGAAGAACCGTTCCTCCGCGCAAGGCATTCTGCAGGGTGTCTACCATGGGCTGGGCCGGGGCTGTGGTGCCATCTTTGGCGGAGTGATCATAAGTGCGTATGGTAAGTACGATCCACTGATCTCCATTATAAAAAAATGGCTGTTAGTGAAGTCATCGTCTGCGGTCTGCCATATTACCGCTCCAAGAAACAACCGGTGTTCCTTTGCCCATATTGATGACAATTATGTTAGAAAAAAAGTGGGCCTAAGATACCGGCCCTACTATTCAAATCCCCCCACTTAGTCGTCAAGTCTTATTCAACCACACCACTCCCATATGGTGATGCAATGGTCATTATGTTCTTAAGCAAAACGGAGAAGAAAAACTTCAAAACCTTGATTTTTGTAGATTTAGGCACGATCCATTAAGTGTGGACGTCCATTCGGTTTCGGTACTGAACAGTGCAAAAACAGTCTGAATCATTAGAAATTGTTGCCGAGATTGTACCGCTTGACGAGGCAGTTCATTTGAGAACGTTGGTTCACGAGTTCGAGGTACATCGTATTGCCCAGTAGAGGGCGCATAATACAATGATGATATTTTGTCCGTCCCAAGCAAAATGCAATTTGGGATTGGACGGAGTCGACGAGCAAATGATCACTGTTTAAATTTGCAAAATTGCTATCTATTTACAGGGTCAACCATCGCCTTCAGGGCAATCGGTGTGACCTTCGTCGTCGTCACCCTCATCTTTGCTATCATCCAGTACATGGAGAGCGACACCAACGACAAGAAGGAGGATGAGAAAGAACAGAACTACGTGCAGGATGATGAAGACGACCCGGAGGACGTTGAAGAAACACAGCTCCTGTCCCAGGACGAGAGCGCCATCTCGCGGCAGCCAGAAGAGAGTGACGTCAGTCCTGTGGTCAATGGTGAAGGGGACATCAATGGGGACGTTGATGGTGACCTCACTGATGACGTCATTGATACAAAAGAGGCGGCAGATCCCGAAGAACAAACTTGACGTCATGTCAAATACAATTTGGATTTCTACGAACATTTGTCATCTCTTTGTTCTACATGTTCTTCATAAATTAGTGCCAAAAGGAGATTTTATTTTGTATTTTCATGCATTTTTTGACAGAGTAAAGGTAGGTTTTGGTAATTACAGGGTAGTTAAAAAAGGTTCATAAGTTACAATGGGAAGAATTGTATTACAAAATAACCTTGGCAGTAAAATAAAAACCACGTGTAAAATCTAAATTAACATTAACAGGTGAAAAATGGACTTTTAATTAAAGATTGCGTGAAAATGTTTGATTATAAATCAATGGAAAACACACCTTAGATAGAACCAAGAAGCTGATTCGTCAGCATTCGCCATCTAGGGGGCCGGATTTTTAAAAACTTTGCATAGGTGTTCCTGCGAGTTTAATGTAGAGGCCTTTTTGGGAATGAGCCGATGATGATTTTTTATTTTAAATAACCGGGAAAATGTGTCAGTTACGTTTTGACAAGTACATCGTGAATTTTTGGATTTGATATTCAATCGAAAATATTTATTTTAGTGAATAATGCATATCAAATGAATTGTATATTACTGACTAATGATATTAGAATTTCAACTACATTTATTCATTAATTTATTACGTGTAAAACTTGGAACGGTCTGAGATCTCGATCCCAGAAGAGTCTTTCTCAAAGTTTCCGCTGAAAAAAAATCAGCTTTTGCGAACTACTGGCCGTCCGGTCAGTTTTTGCAATTCAAGTATTTCAGGTCACATCATTTGCGATGCCGAACTTGTACATGTTTATTTGACCATGACCACTGTCTTTTGCGTCAAAATGACACCTGTCAATGTTTTATTTTAATATATTGTGTGTGAGCTCTCGAGTCGTGGGTTGTTAAAGAAACGCAATGTGTGCGGGAATTATATGTATATAATTTTTTTTTTTTTGAATAATAATCTCGTGGTCAGTGGGTGTTGTTTAAAGGAGACACAAGATTACTGCAAATAAACCTCTTTTTAAAGTAAACGACCGTATCTTATTTATTGGGAGCATTTGAAGATATACTTTTTGTAGGGTTCGAAACTAATAGAGCCAAACGACCGTATCTTATTTGTTGGGAGTATTTAAAGATATACTTTTTGTAGGGTTCGAAACTAATAAAGCAAAGTACGTAAAAGAGCATTATTATCGTACCTACATTTTTCGCTGCGGTCTATGGTTCGAACACTACCTGTCCAAAAAGCTTCATTGCCATCAAGTCTTAAGCCTTGGTATTGAAATAAAAATTAAAAATGACTGCATTCTCTGTCATGGTGTGCAATCTTATGTGAACATTTGACGTGCCGCTATGTTTTTTAGCTGCGGGTAGCAGCTCAACTTATCACCATGTCTCATCGTTAGTTATACAGGGAGTTAGTTTGTTAGTAACCAACTTTGACGTTGTCTTTTGCTCCTCCATTATTTTGATCGATTTCAACCAAACTTTGTCAAACGTATCAGTAGTGAGGCCCCAACATGTCACATGACCAAACTGGGGTCAAAGGTCATCATGGGGTCACTGGGGTAAAACACCCCGATTTTTTTTTAAACTCAAAACACTACCCCTTCCAGAAATTACATGTACATGGCACAGTCACGTGACTCATGCATTAACACGAATTTGATGGCCCGCAGCTTCCAAAATCCGATCGAGCTTGTTCAGTGATGAACAAATATCCAATCGCCACAGGACTTTGTTTTTAACAAGAACGCATTTTTTTTTAATTTCTAAACCGGGTCTCAAAAATATAACACTTTTTTCAATAAAAATGCCTCTTACGGCACAAAATAAGCAATATGTACAGCATTGCTTAGTAACTTTAAGATAATGTTTGTTAATTTAAATGCACGGCTGCGTAAAACCTGGAGAACTTTGAACTGTTTTGCCCAATACTAAGATTACATTAATCGCTTGTCCATTACAAACTTTGGACATGCATGTAAAAACGAAAAGGATATAAAATCATTGTCTCTAACCTCATCTTAAAATATCAAAAGCAAGACCACTTGAAGCTTATATTTCCATTTTAATAATTGGAGTTCATGAATAGCAATATGGATTTGTCAATACGTTTCATAATCTGAGGTGCATCTTTACGCACGAGTTCATTGGTAGAATTTAAATTCTACCAATGGAATTGCGAAACAAGAAAAACATTATTGTGTTTAAAAAAATGAAAAGGCAATACTGGTCGTGGTTCGAGATATCACATTAACGAAAATCATTTTTAAAACGTTTTAGAAAAATAAACATTTAGTTTCTGGTTAATGTAATAATCTGCACATTAATTTAAGCAATATAATGTAGGGTGTTTCATTCGAATGGCCTCCAAGTTTTACAAGCTTCGTCCGTGGCATTCGTCACCGAAGACAGTAGTGTCCGGGGACTTTTTATTAATGTTATACTATTATTTTTTTTACATCTTTAAATTACGAATGTTCTTTTGATGTTCATTCGGTAACTCATACTCTAATTTCCATGTTACTGACAATCAAAATACATTGAACTGTGTCATGCGCTAAACATGAAAACCAACAAATACTAATTTAACTGAAATTGTGTTGTTCTTAAAGCAATTAGCTTCCGGATCTCATATTTTCCTGATTACAAATAGTACTATTAATGAATTAACATTGGTGCCACAATTTTGCAGAATCTTTTTATTTTCAAAAGTACCGAAGTTCATTTAAGCTCTAGCTCTGGTCTAATTTCTGAAATTAAATGGAAAACATCAGAAGTATATTTCGTTAATAAAAGAAATCACACGAAGAAATGTTACACCTTATTATATGACAATCAACCGTTGTCAATTACCACACAATCCCGACAGTGCCGGCTTTAAGGGTCCATAATTATTCTAGTTGTAAAGATTTTACGTTATCACAACCACCAAAATTTACACAGGATTAATTTTCAATATCCATGTAAACTTTTTAAGGACTGTTCAATGTAGGACCTGCTGACTTTTCAAGCAACGGTATACCAAAAAAATGGCGGTGCGATTTGCACTTTACGATCGCAAAGCATGCTGGGATACAACATGACAGCAAGATCGGTGGTTGTTACTTTTTTAAAGCACGGTGCACATCTTCATGGTCCGTTTCCCTGTTTCCTTTGCTTGGTGTTGGTGCGACTTACGGCTGCGGCTCCGACGAGAGAATCGTGACCGGCGGGCGGTGGACTGTCTGGGCTTGAAGGGAACATTCTTGACCTTTAACCTCAGGGCGGCACTGGAGTCGGTACCCGCATCTGTCTGGTCAAGGGTCGGGTCTCGAAGGTGTGCTAATGCCTCGTGGGGTTGCAGGAACCAGACCATGCTGGGGTCGCCAACAGCATCAATGAACTCATCATCCTGGGCCATATCGGGAACCTATGTAAACAGACCGGTTATAATGTACAACAAAACTTAATTTTGAGAAATAAATAAATGGTCTATTTTGGGGAAAAAACGATAATGCATGTATTCTGATTGGAATTCAAGTTAGAATATTAAGCAGATTTTTGGACTTTTGCCATTTTTTCATGTGCAGTGGAAAGAGTTTACTCTCATCTTAATCAACACTTCGTTTGACATAATGTAGTATGTGGGTAAAATTGTTAACTGTTCACATGAACATCTACTGTGCATGATTAGTTCATAGGCCATTTAATTACTCAAACGTACTTCTGACCACTTGTGGCTTATTTAGTTGTGTGGGATTACATCTTCTACCATTCAAAACCAACAATAGGGGAATTATTGTGTTTAAGACTTATTCATCTTTCTCAGATAACCAAACTCGTTAAGTTTATGAAAATATAAAATAAAGTGCTGACAAGTGCCATTCTAAACAATCCGAAGGTAACCTTTTCCAACGCACCTCTTTGCACTTGGCTTCGGCCTCACTGTAAAATACACTTGCAATCTGCATTGTTTCCTGAAGATAATTAAAACAAAAAGAGGAACCCAATTAATCCAGTGAGTAAACAGAAAACAGTTAGTGAACGCTGTGTATATTTCATGCAGTTGGCTTGACAATTTTAAATTAAAGTGCAAATTTAAAAGCAGAACTTAAAAACAATTCCAAGCTTGCGAATACAAAAACAGAACTGAAATTGTGTTGTTCGAATCTCTACTTGATTTGCTGTGACAAAAGGGAAGGAATTACAAGTTCTTTCAGAAACGTTTACAGTTTAAAAGTATAACTTTAACATTTTCCAAATCGTAACTACAAAAACGAAATGAAAGTTTGATATTCGAATCTCGCTTTTGATGAACTTTTTAGATTAGGAATGATAAGGAATATAAGCTCATATCATTACCAGCTATTTAAAAAAAACGTGTACATTCAAACTTCCAAAGAATAACAAATAACATGAAGTTATCTCTACATTAAAAATCACAAAACGGAACAGCATCAGGGATTTGAAAGTCTCACTTGTAGTTTAGTTGTCTGGACATATTTCTTCCTGGACACGAAGGGACTGGGCGGGGCTTTGAACTCCCCCTTGACGAAGGAGGTAGTAAGCAGGCTGTCTGATGCCGGGGCGGTCTCGGTAGACGGCTCGTCTGATTCACCCTTGGGGTTCTGGTAGATCCAGCTGCCGTTGTACACATCGAAGTCGTACTACCAAAGAAAGAGAGAATATGAACTGTAATGATGACAGTCGTTTACACTGCGAAACAAGGGAACTCTTTTGATTCAAGGCAACGTACAACAGAATATATTTGCCCACTTCAATAAAGTTGAGCACAAATAGCTGTTTTGGAATCGTACTTATACAAATTCAAGCATTTGAAAAACAAAAACAAATGCGAAGGCACAATAAACTCTGGCCGTACTTCAAGAAGTCTTGCATGACAGTCTAGCATGAAATCGATCAAAATGATCCCTGCCAGAGCTTAAAAATGCGACGTCGAAAAATACGATCCGATGGCACATATGGAACACCATACTTTTGGTCAATGTTCGGGACAGACAGACAGACAGACAGACAGACAGACCGACCGACCGACCAAGTACCATGTAGAAGCTCCTATTAGAGCTTAAAAATGTTACTTCGCTCGTGCCCTCCAGTCTCAACTCAGAACGCTGGTACAAACTAATCAACATCCATGATCCATAGAATGTCCTGCAGCAAATGCACAAGATAGTGCAGCAAGCCGAATTATGCTGCCAGAAAATCCAGTGAACGTGCAGTGTTGATGTACCGGCGACCTCTTTTAATTGGAGATGAGGAAAAAAATAGTTACCTGGGGTAGCAGTTTCCAGCCGTTGGAGGCGACGTCATTGATCGCCTTCAAGACGAAGTCAGTGACTTCGGCAGAGAAGAAGAAAGGAAGATTCAGACGCGTGAAGCCAGGCCTGTCGATCAAATCAAATCACATCAAATCAAAATCAAAAGATGCCGGTTAACTCAAATAGGTATAGTGGTCAAGAAAAAAGCGGAGAATGCATTAAAATAATTTGAGTTGTCCATAATAACAGGTCTCCTAAAATAATGGAAATGATAAATCAAGAGAATGTGATCAAGATGAGGTAGATTGTGGAATGTATTGACGCTATGGTGATTATGATCATTCAAAATGGTGATCGTGGTGATCTTGATAATTGCCATGATGTTGACAGTGGTGATTTGGAAGTACTAAAAAAGCATTGAAATAACTCACTTCATAACTTCCAGTGCCTTGTGTTTGTGGGCCTTCTTCCCATTTTTCTTGCCTTTAGTTGCTGGCATTTCATCTCTAAAAATAAATAATAAATAAATCAAGCTAGTAAGACACAATGGCACTGATGAATGGAATTGGAACGACGTTAAGGTTTTAATGAAAAAAAAAGGAACATCACATAATGACGTCCGAAATATCGACATGTCGGCCAGCGAGAAATAAAGACACAGCGTTTTTACTATACCAGAAGAGCCAGCACAAAGTTCTTTGACTGACAGAGTCACCGACTGGCTGATTCCCCCCCCCCGACTGACTGACTGACTGACTCCCCAAGTCATTGTGTATAAACAATGTCCCAAAACAGCCTAAAACGTCTATCAAACTTTCGGGTAGTCTCGCTGCATGAATCATCGATAGTAAAGGACGATATACGTGCACGTAAATGCTTGTTTAATCCAAGACTATTTATTTATTTATTAAGTTATTTTATTTTATTTCTTTCTGGTAATGAAACCAAGATATCCTCGAAAGTACCCTAGGCACTGTAGCCCAAAAGCCTGACGCAACCTGTAGAGAGGAGACAATGAGAAGAAATTACAGTTTTAAAGGTGGGAGGAAAAGCCCAGAAGAATATTGGGGTAAACCCACGGAATCAGGCATATAGGGACTGAAAACCCAATCCAAATATTTGCCAAGGCGAGATTTGAACCCGGGTCACAAGCGGCGGAAGGCGGGGAAAGTACCGCTACGCCAACCTGACCATATCTCACATCACCCATGATATCACGACCATCGTACCTGGTCGTATCCACGAGGAAGTCTGCAAACTGGGCCGCCATCGGCTCGTCGATCCCCAGCAAGTCTTGGGCGTAAGGCCCCGCGCACGCACAGCCACCCCGTGCTTGGATCCCATAGAGATCGTTCAGCAGTGCGGCTACATAGTTATGATGCAGCACTTTACCGCTGGGAGTGTGGACGATGAGAAAGGAGAATATTGGAAGACGCTCAGCTCGGGTGCTGCCAAGGAAGATCAGGTTAGGATTCCTCCGCCATGTCTTGAAGGCAAGTCTAGATGGTAGAATGTGAAGGAAGAAAAAACGAAATCCAATATAAAGAAGATGCAGGCTTATTGGGAAGTCGGTGCAGCTCAAACGTACTAAATTTTTCAAAATTTAAAAGACAATTTTCGAGGAAGGTGTGTATACTTGTATTACTGGAGTTATATTTTATATATTTAATACATGTCTATATAATTGCAAGTTATGTTTGTATTCACTCTGTTTTGTTTATTTTCTGTATTGTTTTGAATTTCTGTTCTTTTTTTGGTGCCATTTTAAGTTTGTGTCATGGTTTATAACACAGTCGGCACGTATATTTTCACCATGTTGAATAAATAAATGAATGTTCATATTGACGTGAATGGGATGTACCTCTATTTGATAAAAGTATAAAATAAAAATATTGCTGTATAAATCACATAGACTCGGGTACAGTCTTGGGTACCAACCTAATTGAATTCCACAACATGAGCCTCTATATACCACGTTTAAATTTGGGCTCTCCTTCCCGATTCAAAAAATGAATATAAAATATAAATGCTCTCAGAAGTTTCCACTTATAACAAAGTAAAGTCTTCATACTCACAGGGACAGATCGTGTTCCCGTTCTTCGATAAGGGCTGGAGTAATGGACTGCAAAATGAAAATAAAAGCACCAGACCGATTTAAATCTATTCAAATGATCTCATACTTAATAGGTTTACGAAATATTGAAAGAAAAAGTTTTGTTGTATTTCATGCAAAAATGATGGAAAATTAAGAAGGTTGAACTCTACTTTGAACAAAACATTTATAAGGTAATTTTGACCTTCAACAGTATAAATGAAGTTGTCCACAAACTCCATCTCATATTTTATATCTAACATTATTCAGGAAATGACAGGGAATGATTGTTTTTACCTCTTTAAGTCTGAAGACCAGACCAGCACGGATGGATTCTACGATGGCTGGTGTGCCACCCTCCTCTCGCTCCTCGATATTGGACACGTAGCGATGCGTGTCTCTTGTCACCTACAAGGAAACGTTTGGGCATGGAATGTTACAAGGAAAGACTGGTCAGTGGTTGACAAGGATGAAAAAGTACCAATAAATATGAAGATGTAAGCAATGACAATGGGAATGACTACGACAATAGCAAAAGCAATGACGATGAAAATGACCGCCAAAAGCAATAACGGTGGTAATGACATGACAATCAAAATGACATTAGCAACGACAATACTGCGATGACGATGAAACTGACCGACAATAGCAATAACGGGAGTAATGACATGACAATGCAAGTGACATTAGCAACGACAATGGCAATAGCAATGTCGATGAAAATGACCGACAATAGCAATAACAATGTTAATGACATGACAATCAAAATGAAATTAGCAACGACAATGGCAAAAGCAATGACGATGAAAATGACTGACAATAGCAATAACGGGGGTAATGACGATGACGACAATGGCAAATATCCATACAGAAAATTATAACGTGATGAATATGGTGACGACGAAACATATTTTAAGGAACCTGTGTTCAAGACAAGAACGATGACGAAAAATTCTACCATGAGATTAAAATGATTGAAGAAAATGACGACGATGCATTGTAAACGATGAGAGATTCTAATAATGATGACAAGCAAGACGATTGTAAAGCGGAATTTCAGACTGACAAAACAATTAATACGAGGTTATAAGGTAGTGGAGGATGGTGATTAGGTTGATGGTAGAAAACACCGTGGTGATGGCGATAAAGATGAGGGTTGCCATGGTGAGACGAGAGAATGTATCACATGGTAAGTTTGATAGTGACAATGATACAAGAGAGTGATTCAAGATATGCTGATCTTACATAGAGCACAGTACCGCCTCCCACTGCTCCGGGCACTGCATTCATAAAGAGTTTCTTCTTTGCAATAAGAAGTCCTGATATAAAGAAAAAAATGGAACATAAAATTCTTAAAGATCCAGTCTCAGAAGCAATACTGTTTATAACAAAAATTCTTTACACTAGATCCCACGATTTGAAGGAGTTAATTGCAAACAACGCAGAAGACGTCGATATCAAGTATTCAGCATCAAATTGTTACACTGCCCAACAAAATCACCGTTAACGTATCAATAAACTCCAAGATATACGATCTCTAACCAGCAATGAAAAATTTAAAGGCATGCTAAACACAACACTGAAAGTTCAGGAGAACTACACAAATTCGCCTGCCCGTCTGCTAAGCTGATGTTCTACTTGGATCAAAACGTACATAATAAGTCAAGATTTATGTTTATTGACGATTTGCTCAAATTTCACGATCGGCCCTTTTTCGACCTTTGGTAACAACTGGTATCGCGTTAGTCTTTAGTCTGGACGCCGACGTTGTCGTCCAGTCCACAGCGGGTCTGCATCCATCAATGTCCGGTGTGTCAAGGAGTGTGCTGAAAGAAGCCCGGTGATTTACAACTATAATCAAACACTTGTTTCTACCGCACAAGGTGCGGTGCTTTGCCAACTGAAGACCGACCCCTGTTAGTCTCTTCTCCAGCTGGCGAGGCTCCAATCGTCTGGGTGGACAAAAATGATCGCCAATTAATTTCCAGATTTGCCGTAACGAAACACCCAAACCTCTAAAAAGTTCCCCTGGTGATCCTCTGCCAACTGACACATCTGCAGCTAAATTTGGGTGGTGTTGTCCACAGACTATAGACACTGATGACGTTGATGCAGTACATTGTCAAGGACTTTGGTAATTTGTTCAAGTTGGAATATTACTTTTGATGTGTTTTTTTTTCTTTTTTCGGCAGGAGGAGAATTGGGGTATTTTTTTTATTTTCTGAGAGGAAATAATTACCTGGTGTTCCAACTCCACCGACAAACTTGTGTGGGGAGAGATAGACGGCATCTTTGCTGAAGTCTAGTGGCTCCATTCTTCAGAACAAACAACAAAATGGGCTACAATTGTAAAATCTGTTAAGTTAATTTTTAAACGACTGTCCAAGGACTTAAGAACGTCCATCGTATTGGTTGAGAAGTAGATGTTTATATGAAAAAATGATATATGGCAATAAACTAAGACGGATTTATCTTCTAATAATTTTTTTGATAGTGTAAATTTTCATGTTTCCTCAGTATTTCATGGGATGCACTGATTACAAGTTTGAATTCTCGAAATGCTTTCAGAAAAAACACGTCTTTTTTCATGAGGAAGAGGGCATATTTCGCAAAAATATAAGTCTATTATTTAAGAACCATCTTAATTAGGTTTATTTATATAAACATACTCTTCTGCTTCGGCCTCATCTTCCAAATCTAGGACGGGATTCATATCGATGTTGAGGTACGGCCCTGTAAAAAGAAAATTCATTTTTTTAAATATCTTTTATTTCTTCCGTGCGAGATGACACCATTTAACTAAAAACTGGCCAATAGGAAACAGTGTTCTTTAAGTAAGACTAATTCACCCATTTCGGTCAATGAGATAGTATCAAAAATATGCCTACTGGCAGATGAGAGAGGGGTTATTGGTGTAAAGAGCCTGCCGGTGGACACAAGACTGTAGTAACCTCTGATTGGTTGCAGGCCCTAGAGCATTCACAACTATATGCGAACTTGACCATCGTATTACCAAACTAATTTTTGTTCGTTTTTTTGTTTTGAACGTACACCTTAAAGCTTCCTCGCTATCGCCTTCTCCATGAGTGGAGCATTCGGACCCTATCATAACTTTGGCCACGACAAACTTAGCTTTCTATTTGTTTTTTTTTTTAAATGTAAATACTGACAAAAACAATCAATCGTTTTCCTCAAGGGCCCACCTGCAGTCGCGTAATCCCAGAACGACAGAGCCCCGTACTGGTGCAGCAGGCTTGCCACAGCTAACGAATCTGTCACGATCCCGGTGACGTTTGAAGCAGCCGAGAAACAGCCAATCATAAACCTCGACCTATGCTGATAGTGCTGTTGTGAAGAGAATCAACCAATTATGAGTTTTGTCTTAAAACCCCCAGGGGAAAAAAACTCCAGTCAATTCGATAAATTTGAACTTTTCGTTGGCATCACAACTGGAATCAAAGATCAATAACAGAAACCGTCTTATACAATTATGAATCGATAAATTGATAATTGCAATAAGTCTTTAACAAAATCTTAACTAAACCTTATTATTTACGAATTGAAAAATGAAATACATGACATATTCAGGTAAAAAAACATGGTAAATTTCTCTCGGATATCTCTGTTACATACCTTCAGTTTCTGCTCCAATAGTTTCATGTCGATCTGTCCCCGATCTGCGTCCCTTATGCGGATGACCTGACGTACAAAAAATAAGAAAAATTTGTTTTTCCTCAAAATTAAAACATATCAATAAATTTCAGCTATTTGGGGAAAAAATGTTCGCGCAACAATTTGTACAGCCAATGGTTCTTCGATTTTTTTCATTCATTTTCCCTTAATGTAACTACTTTTCCTTTTCTAAGAGGACTTTAAATTCGATTTTCAAAACAAAAGGTATCAGTTCATTAGTTGGAGTTATCAATTAATGTTTTCAGAAGGAAAAAGGAAAGCATTATAATACAACTACCTTTTCAACATTTCTCTCAACCTGTAACTTTTGACAGAACCAATCAATCAACTCACCTTCGCACCTGACTCCTTCCATGGCAATATGTTGGAGTGATGCTCATAGGGTCCAACGAAAACAACCTAGAAATACACACACAAAAATAGAAAACTATCATACTACCCCTGATTGCCAAGCGTATAATCTTACTTGAACTTCTATTAAAGTATAAAACATCATTGGTTATTCACAACCTTAGCGTCCCCACCCTATACATGCAGTGTTCCTCTTAAGCCAACCCAAAGCACAACTTAATAAGAAATAATTACTTCCACAAAGCGCCCTCACTATGGAGTTTTATTAAAGGTTTAGCGACAATGAAATTACAAAGTTACAGCTCATGCGTACTATCACAGAGGAGCGAAGACATGTCCGCTGTGGGGGCGCTCTTGGGAAAGTGTCTATACGCACCGTTTTCTTGGCCCGTTCGCCCTTGAGTTCCAAAGCAGTCACAAGTTTGTGCACAGCTCCCGTCGTACCACTTCCAGTAAAAATGACGACATCTTCATCTGTGGCGTTCACACATCGCTTGATTATTTCTCTGCGGAAAATAAAATCATCCTCTCGCTATGATAACAATTCCTTCGGATAGTTGCCGTTTTGTGGTGATTTTGGCATTTCTGTCCATTTCAATATAGGCTAATGCTGTCTTTCAAAGTCTTGATATAATAGCGATAATTCGCTGTGAAAGAGGCGATGTTGCAATGGCGATTTTTATATCTTTTTTGTTTGTTTTGATTTGCTTTCATTCTGTCATTAATGTTGTCATTGTACTGTTTTCGCTTTCGGCGTTTATGTTGTTTTCACGCTGATGTTGCTGATAATGTGTTATGATCAACTTTGTTTTTGATATCGTTAATATGTTTATTTTTATAGGCTGTGTTTCTCCCCGATTTTATTTTGTGATCTTATTTACCTTGCCTCCTTCCGAAACTGGGAAGTCTGTCGTGCCATGAGCCCGGTGGTAGTGTGCGTGTTGGCGTACAGGGGATGCACATGGTTAGTTATGTAGTCCTCTATGAACTTAAGAGGTCTGAATGAAAAAAAAAATATAAGGAAAAAGAAATCAACTTTAGGCCGTGAGAATGGAGTACACACCTTAACCATGTAATAAGTCTTCTTGCATATTTGGTGTGGTTCTGAGAAGAATTTGACAAACGCAAAAGTAAATCGGTTCCCTGAAACAACCACAAACAAGTCATCTTACGGGTATACACTAAACGTTTTTTTCCAGACAGTATTTCATTAATCTATTGGAACCTCTTCATCAAAATATTCATGTTAGTTCAGCTCGACCGATTATATCCAAATGAAGCCATTATATAATGTTGAAGGGACATTTTGTTATGAAAACAAGCGTTCACAACCGACGATTATGCACACTAACTGACAATATATGTTGCTTTTCAGTGCGATGGTGCTTTTCAGGGCGATACATGCGCGAAAATAAAAAAAGCACCCGTAATAACGGCCGATGGCACAAAATAGGGCACGACTTTTTTTTTTTTTTTTTACAAAGGGTAATTGTTAAAAACAAAAGGGCACTTGTTAACAAAAGAAGGACACTCTTTACAAATTTTGCATAAAGAAATATGAAATTATTTGCTTGAAACGACTAATTTGACTGACATAACGATTTATCATGCTCATATTGAAATCGTTTGTGTTGGTCTGGTTCGGAACTTGCAGCAATGCAGTTTTCGCAGGTTCCAAAATGAAGATTTGACGATCGCTTTCAATTTAATATGGTCGACTCGTTAATAAAGCCCATACAACTAAGGGAATGAAACACTGGGGAATGAAACACTGGACACAGTAGATGAGTACATATATTTGGGACAGAAGATCACATTTAAGGTTGGGAATTCAGAGGAGATTCAGAGGAGAATACAACTTGCATGGGCAAAATTTGGCAAGTTGAGTTACATATTCAAGGACAGAAAAATACTGCAAAAGATGAAGCTTCAACTCTTCGACCAGTGCATCATCCCAGTTTTAACATATGGCGCTGAGACTTGGGCACCTTCAAAGAAATCAGAGCAAAATTTGCGAGTCACCGTACGGGCAATGGAAAGAATAATGGTTGGGGTCACAAAGAGAGACAGAATAAGGAACGAAGATCTTAGAAGAAAGACAGGGGTGCAAGACATAATAGTTGAGATCAAAAAGAAAAAGTGGAGTTGGGCAGGACATGTCATGAGAAGAGACAACCACAGATGGACCCTGAAAGTAACGGATTGGACGCCATTATCATTGAAGAGGCGAAGAGGAAGACAGCCTAAGAGATGGCGAGATGAAATCTCTGATTTCATAGGGAAGAAATGGAAACAACTGGCAAGGGATCGAAAAGCATGGAAAGTTAGTGGAGAGGCCTTCATCCAGCAGTGGATTGAATTATGCTAATGATGATGATGATGATGATGATACAACTAAGGAGCCCGTAATTCATAGAGTCCATATTTCACGATAGCACACCGGTATTAGATCATACACAATCCTTCATTTAAAAACAAGTAACTTCGGACGTGGTCGTGCTGAACGAATCTAAATCCAAAACAGACCGACGGATGTAACGTCTCCTGGGTAACATAGCATCATTTGATATATCACACCACGCTCGTATTAATTAAAAAAGGTCGCTGACAAATAGACAGCATTTGGTACTCTGAGAATCCGAATAACAACTATTGTACTGTATTTACTACACCTCACACAGACTGAAAAGATACACTTAAAAATCAACCAAGCGACAGATGTTTTGTTACCAAGACAACCAAACACGCATTCTATCTGCTTTTAAAAATTAAAAAAAGTTTGTTTTGTTTTTGTCAAGGATTCGAGTCGGAATGCAATCGTTACCTATATGTCAATTTACAAGAAATTTCAAACATTGCAAATTCCACGTGCTAGACAAAAAAAGGGTTTTCATCCAAAACACCTACAAACAACCATCTCCATCAATCAAGGAGATTAATAAATGCATTGTTTAATAAAAACAATCCTTTTATTTTCCTCGCAAAAAAATACGCCACTGAGCCTAAGACGCGTCAGACTGACTTAAAGATACATTCCCTGTGCTATTTTCGAATCAAATAGATTCGTTTGTTTTCAACTGCTATTTTGCTACCAATATAAAAGTTATTCACTTTTGAATGAGACGTCGAACGAAAAAAATCCACCGATGTTTAGTTATTGAATTATTTCTTTACAAAATTATAATTATTGGCTGCCAGAAAATAGTCGTTTCTCGCAGGGTGGGTCCGTTTGTGCGCAAAATGAAAGCCCTTATCAAGAGGGTTGCATAGTGCCACCATCCGAATAAATTAGTTTTGATTTTAGTTAGAACATACATACAAATTGAAAATTCGTCAGGAAAAAAAAATATCAATATCTTGAAGAGCACGGAGTATGGGCCTTATGCGCGAGTTGGCCATTTTTGTCGAGTTCCCTGAATGTATTTCATAAATTGTTAACTGTTGAATGGGATGGCGCCAGACTATCTATGCAGCCTTATTTTACTGGCTTGATACATTTAGGAATGTTTACTTACAAATTTTAAATAATTCATTGAAGCAGACTTGAACTAATTAGTAATTTACTTGCTTTTGGAATTGGCCTATGCATGGGTGGATTTCAATTATGATGTTTCCTCTAGTCGACAAGTGCATGTTCCTTTTAACCTATTCAGTTCTATGAAAGCGGACGCTTTTCCTTTTCCTTTTTTTTTGGAGTGGGGGCGGGCGGGTATTTACCAATCAGGGGCGTAGCAAAGTCATTTTTAATGGGGGGGGGGGGGGGGTTACATGTCTTGAACAAGGCAATGGCACAACATTTTGTTTTTCTGGGGGGGCTGGTACCGTCTGTTGATGGGGGCGGTGTTCACAACCGACGATTATGCACACTAACTGACAATATATAGTGCTTTTCAGGGCGATGGTGCTTTTCAGGGCGATACATGCGCGAAAATAAAAATGCACCCGTAATAACGGCCGATGGCACAAAAAAGGGCACGACTTTTTTTTTTTTTTTTACAAAGGGCAATAGTTAAAAAAGGGCACTTGTTAACAAAAGAAGGACACTCTTTACAAATTTTGCATAAAGAAATATGAAATTATTTGCTTGAAACGACTAATTTGACTGACATAATGATTGATTATGCTCATATTGAAATCGTTTGTGTTGGTCAGGTTCGGAACTTGCGGCAATGCAATTTTCGCAGGTTCAAAAATGAAGATTTGATGATCGCTTTCAATTTAATATGGTCGACTCGTTAATAAAGCCCATACAACTAAGGAGTCCGCAATTCATAGAGTCAAAATTTCACGATAGCACACCGGTATTAGATCATACAAAATCCTTTATTGAAAGACCAGAAACTTTGGACGCGGTCGTACTGAACGAATCTAAATCCAAAACAGACCAACGGATGGGACGTCTCCTGGGTAACATAGCATCGCTTGATAAATGCATTGTTTAATAAAAAAATTCCTTTTATTTCCTAGCAAAAGAAATACGCCACTGAGCCTAAGACGCGTAAGACTGACTTAAAGCTACATTCCCTGTGCTATTTTCGAGTTTCAACTCGACAAATAGATTCATTTGTTTTCAACTTCTATTTTGCTAGCAATATAAAAGTTATTTACTTTTGAATGAGACGTCGAACGAAAAAAATCCACCGATGTTTCGTTATTGAATTATTTCTTCACAGTATTCTTATTATTGGCTGCCAGAAAATAGTCGTGTCTCTCGCAGGGTGAGTCCATTTGTGCACAAAATGAAAGCCCTCACCAGGCGGGTTGCATATGCCACCATCGGATTAAAGTAGGTTTTTTTTGAGTTAAAACAAAACATACAGATTGAAAATTCGTCAGGAAAAAAATATCAATATCTTGAAGAGCACGGAGTATGGGCCTTATGCGCGAGTTGGCCATTTTTGTCGAGTTCCCTGAATGTATTTTATAAATTGTTAACTGTTGAATGGGATGGCGCCAGACTATTTATGCAGCCGTTTTTTACTGGCTTGATACATGAGGGAATGTTTAATTTCAAATTATTCATTTAAGCACACTTGAACTAATTAGTAATTTACTTGCTTTCATTTCTCTTCGCAAGTTCCAAAAAATGAAGATTTTACCGCACTTTCGATTCACTAATGGCCGACTTGTGCATAAGGCCAATACAACTGCACTCAAATTCAGTCTGGGTTTCATGGCCTGGAGCCCTGGACGATGCAGAAAATCGTCTGCAGTGTTTGAGCAGACAGCGATTTTGTCACTGCGCATAAAATAGATCTGGTGAAACAAAGCGAACTATAGGACTTTGAACGGATAAGCTCTAAATCCACTCATCCCACCCCTCCAACAGTTAGACCGCCACATGGCAGTGAACAAAGTTCACTCAATAACCACCAAGAGGCCTCCAACATCGATTTCATCACGCGGGGAAGGCTTTGCAACAAACCACTCCTCGGAAACTTAAGATTGTTGCCGGTTTCAGGACACACAACCCCCATTAGTACATTAGAGGTCACATTAAAATGTGCGACGACTTCTTATCATTAATCCCGCTCGAGTATGGGAAAACTGCCCACTTATTATTGTCTATTCCAAGTTTCAACAAGACCGCAAAATCTTCATCAAGTAGAACCCACTTCTCTGTAATATTGCAGGTGTCAGTTTTGTAGAGGACTGGGGGGGGGGGGGGGGGGCAAAGGGCAAAGGCGGAGAGGTTCCTGAACTGATTTAAAATAGCTTCTTGTGTACATTCAGCTGCCATAATCTTGAAGAGCAAATTGTAACGTCGTAATCGGCTTACAGCTTGCGGGGGACTATTTACTAATGAAGGCGGAACAACACACAGCTGTGACGTATACAGGTCTTGTGTAACCATGGGCGTCAATCCTGGGGAGGGGGGGGGGGGGGCAGGGGGACATGTCCCCCACTTTTAGAAGGATGGGGGACACAATATCAACTGTCCCCCACCCCAGATTTTTGAACTCGTGCCTCATTTACAGGGCCCCATTATGTAATACAATGTATCTTTTGCTAAGAAAATATTGGTTAAAGTGGTCAGAAATTGCCTCAGATCACACCACATGAGCATCTAAAATGCGATTGACGCCCCTGTGTGTAACATGCACCTATGCAGCCACAAGTAGGCCCCTAGGGGCCAAATAAGGGCCAAAAATGCGATGTCCCATGTGGATTGATCACATGAACGAATGTGTCAAAACAGACGAAATATTGCAAAGTAAGATATTAACACTAAAGCGTAAATTAGACAGTAAATGTAGCAGCCTGATTGATACACCGCGTAAAATTATCAAATGCCAACCATGCAATAGGTTTACCTGCAGGTGGCGTGGGTCAGTTAGACAGCAAGATCCAAGACTCACAAACCAAACCATCTACACGTACAGAACGGCATGCATTTATAACATATAGGGGTAGAACGAAAAAATCGTAAACTTAGTGCAACACAAAACTATTGCCAACAGTCCAAAACCAAAAGCCGAATGTAAAAATGTGGATTGACATTATTAATTCATATGTATAATTTATACGGTTATCATCTCCTTCGTGTTAGGCTGTCTACCCTTGCACTTCAACATTTTGTGTTTTATCTTCCATACAAAGTTCAATTTTTACATTTATTCACATGGAAAAAGCAATATGTATTTGCACTCTTAGTTTTGCAAGGGTTCCTTTTTCGCCCAAAACACACAAAAAGATTAAGGGTCCGGCAGCAAATAACTCGACATTTGAAAAGTATTGTATTCAATAAACGTGAGCGATTTTTTTGGGTGGGATGTCTCAATCAAAGGTGTATAACTTTAGTATTGCTAGAAAAATAGTTATTTACAAAAATATCCATCTTTTGGGGTCGAAACCATTTTTTTTTTAAAGGGGGAGCGCAACATTACTTTAAAGAAATTTCAAGGCAAAACGAGTTTGGTATCTTCCTTATATACATAAGTTTTCACATTCGTAAATTGTATATATTTTGCATGTGGTACACAAAATGACAAGAGTGGAATTTTATTTCAGAATACGAAAAATGATTAGGAAAAAAGTCGATGGAAAAAAAGTCGTTAACGTTTTCTTACCTTCCAGAAGCAGTGTAGTCACAGTAGATAACTACATGGAAGAAAATGAAAGGAAAGAAAAAAACCCCGGACACATTAGTCAAAGACGAAGCAAAGGAATTACACTCAGGGAATTTTTTTGTTTATCCAAGGAATAAATAAAAATAAAGGACGTCTGCAAATGTGGAATGACGACCGGATGTTATTGGTTTCTTATTGAACCTCGCACTTGGTATTCAACTCCATTTGATTGGAGTTCAATCGTGAAGAAATGGCTTAAATTTTATTGAAAAAAAAATTTTTGGGCTGATTATTTTGCTCGACGTCTCATTCAATGTGAATACATTTTTGTTTTGCTAAATATCAATTTTAAAAAGGGAATCTACAGTTTTCGGGGTAGAAATGGTAAATAACACGGCGGAATATCTATAAACCTGGGAAAATCAAGCTTGCATGTGCATGGGGAATGCTTATATGGAGCATGATTTGTCAAAGCATTCATCCGTATTGTCTTGTTGTCTTGACCATCACTCTGGCTCATTTTACACGGCAAATCATTCACCCAAGTTCATATCCTGAAAGGCCGTTGTGGGCTTTCCTTATATCACTCGGTCCCAGCATTCATTTTCCATGGTCCCAGTCTGTATCTGTCGGCAAGGGCTTAAACGTGACCATACTGAAAGCTTTCATCATCGACAGCTAAAAAACAAAATCGCGTTCACACCCTAACAAATTACAGCAAGCTTCAACCACTCGCTTGACGGAATGACAACCCGATAAATGCATCCCATTTGCCGTCTCCACGGATCGCTGCAAATGAAGCATGAAGAAATCCCTCCTGCAATGATAAAACTTCGGTCTTTCCCCCTTGCCGATCTAATAAATCCAGCCAAAACGGGTGTCATTTTTCGAAGATAATCCGATTAGGGAGTATCAATCATTTTCGCCCTTCAATAAGTATTATCCCCAACTGCGAATTGGGACGAATTAATTGCAGCGATGAAAGAATCGAGAAGTCCAACGTCAAAAACAGGAAAATTTGTCAAAGCTGTACAAAATATTTATTTCGAATACTGAGAAATTTTCCTCTGAAATGTAAACTTAAGACTTGCTGTTTTTGCTCAAAGAAGCAATTGAGAGGAAAAACTGAGTTTGTTTTATTTCCAAGGTATGCTGTCTTTCGTTTCAGAAAGACACGTACTGGTGCATAATCACGCACGTATACTCGCGTTCGACATCTGCATGTACTTGTTGAATTCCCTCCGTTACGACTCTAACTTAATTGATGAACAATCATGTTTTTTCCCCTACTTTCTCTGTTTTCGGAAATTCTATTCAGGCAGAATTCTTTTTGAAAGTGTAATGTGCACGATGGCCTGTAGGTCAGTAAACATACGTTATACACGGACCTGTCCCAGGTATTACAAGTCTGTATTTACTGTGAACGGCACATCAAAGTGTTGCCACGCAAACTGCGCATTTCTGACAACCAAATCACTGGTAGAATGACGGACGAAACGTCGCCAAGGGGACGAAACGTCGCCAAGGGAACGGCACAACCGTAAGGAATTTGGGTCAGCAATCTCAGCATATGAGCAGGACATTCCAAGACAAGCTCTCGAGGTCAAAAGGTCACGGTTGTCATACATGAAGCGCGAGGCATTAAAATAATATGGATTTACATGGCACCACATGGAGTTTTGTATAATATCGAACAGCGCAGATTTGTATACGGTTTGTACTTGAGCACATCACTGGTAACTGATACGCGTAATAATTAGCCCACCTACCACAACACCTATATATGTTTCACTATAGTTACACTACAGCAATGTACCGTGGTGTTTCGGTTACAAATTAATAAACTATACCTTCTTGTAGGTTATGGTATTCATTCCCACGTAGGCTAGTTTTCTTTATTTGCTATCAGGCCCAGAACTCAAAATTCGGCGACAATTTTAGTAGTGACGTAGCACATGGTAACGGAAGGGGTAGGACAAATTTAAGGATTGTTGTGGTGATTTTTGTTTTATAAGTTGAGTGAAATGTTTATTTTTGGTCGTGTTAAACTGTGCAAGGCCTTCATAATATGGCACCGGCCAAAGTTACTAACGGTAACAATCAGGAATAGGACTTGTGGGTCGAGCGTGTGAGAATAATTTTGAAGCCAGGTCTGGGCGATTTCGAATATAGTAAAACCAAAGGTTCGATACTGATCACACATTTTTTTGCGGATTTTCAACAGGCCTGTAGCAGGGGGTTGAAAGACTCGCTCCATATGGGTTCACTTTTGAATTTGAGGCAGCTTTCAATTTTGATTTACGAAATATCTAATTTATTTTGTAAGCACTTTAACTAGCACACAGTTCAAATGTGTTGTCCACACGTTAATATTTCTTGCATGGGTATTCATCGTATTTTTTGTTAATTAATGTTAAAAACGGTACACTTTATCTAAAGAAAAAAACATACCGGGTAACTTGTTTTTGGTAAAAAAACCGCCAAATCCCTCACACCACATGGGTCTGTTAAAAATACCACCCCTTAAAAAAAACACAACAAAAACCCAGGACATTCATGCACTACGCGGGAGCTATGGCTGCATGCGATCCGTTCAAGATTGTTTTTGTTTTATTCCTTGATGAACAAAAAAGAACAGCAAACTTTATTTCAGACGCCAGAGCGATGTGTCCTCGTCAGATTGACGAGAGTGTCCCCCTCCCTTCCGCCGGTACTTCCCTTTCGTCTGCGATCTAAATTTAGTACCTCGTGCCAAATTTGCCTATACCATTGCGCGCATCTATCAAAACAAACTCGTGTGGTCAGTGAATCATCGTGCACGAATTCGATTTCTCGAGATCGAATCATCGGTAAAACATTTCCCCGACTGCACGTACTAATCCTCATGCCCGTAGCCCCGTCCACTTACGGGTAAACTCTGGCATTCCAAAACAAGTGTGAGCCATAACAGTAGCCGGACGGTGAACGAACTGTGATTTTCTGATATTCAGGGAAATGGTATAGAAGTGACAGGTGGATTGTTGAGATGTGGTGTGGGTGGCTAAACGAGGAAACCCCACCGTGGTTTGGAGTTGTTGGACCGCCGCTGATCTTGGGTTTGACTCGCTTCTCATTCGTGCTAAATCGTGAAAGGCCGAGGAGACATTTTGTCTCCAAAGTCGAGGAAGAGTTTCCGGCGCCTGAAGTACAACATTCATGGACACTTATGCGTCATAATTTTTCCCTACCAAAAATGCTGCGGGCATCCCAACACCAGTTCCCAACTGCAGCGATGCATAGTCTAGACCACTCTCACAAAAATTGTAACGCACCGGTATAGGCATATGTACAAGACTTAGTTTACCCAAATAAACCTCGAAATAGTTTGTTTAATTGGGAGGGGTGTTCAAGTCTGTCATTCGAAGTAGGTGGAATCTGTAAATCACAGCAATGTGTTTTAAAATATTGTGGCATGAGTAATGTGGTACACATTTGACCCTTCAGTACATTGTGCTGCACATTCTGATCTATTACAGCAAGGAAGTATTATTGCAGCAAGATTTGACATTGGTTTCCTACATGTGTGACCTATCGCTTCCAATGACAGAGGATGCTGAGGAAATGTGACAAGGACGAGTTCAATGCCTTTTCAAAGGGGATATCTGGGTATTATTTTGATTCGTAGCCATCAGGAATAGTCTTTATGAGTGCTGAAATAACCCCAACCAGGCTCGATTCACGTCCACACATTTATTTTACAAATTAGATTCAAGTAAAAAGTGTGGAAGTCTGTTTAATAAGAAACTACAGTATTGTAAATTCTTGACATAAATTTTAAAAGCGAAAATTTAGTTATTCTATTATAAGATGGATTTTTTTTTGCGCCGGGGTGATATAAATCAAACTAGGTTTTGAAGGGCAAAACCTAGTTTGATTTAGTGATTCAAATAAGAACGAACCCTACAAACCACTCCTCGGAAACTTTAGATTGAACTGCCGCCCCATCTTGTCAAATGTTCAGTCATAGCAATGCACGGTGTGTTCCATGATTCCAATATTTTCCCCTGAAACGACCCAAGGATCTTCAAGCGATAACAAGATTATTCAAGCTGAGCTTGGTAATTGATCTGATCAGATCGATCGTATATTTATTGATTTTAACAACACTTTCGCCAACGGGCATGTAAGACATCTTCGTGTAATCGGCTTATGCGTCGATCCATCGAAGACCCGGTACCCGGGTCGATTAAATTTCGGCCACCTCAATCGCCCCGCCAGTTCAGTCCAACAATAAAACCAAGGCTCTGAAGAACATGCAAACACAGTGGCAGAAAAGGTAGACAAAAGTTCAAGGAAAAAGACCCAATACGTCCGATTGCTCCAATATGTGAGTCTGATTCCACTACGTACTTGTCCTTCCTGACGCCTCCTGTGCGTGTGTTGCGTGTCAAAACGAATGTTTCTTCCCAAGGACGAAGGTAGAGGAATAACAAATACAGGAGTTATTATCTGAACAAACCACGGAGGAATAAAAACATTCCTCCATGAACAAACAAAGTGAAAAACCAAAGGGCAACCACGGGCTGTGTAATAGGGCTACGCACACACATGCACTTGTATCGACGGTCGGTTTGACATTTTTTTTGGGTAAAGGTACTAGGGTTGTTTTATAGGTACTTGTTGACAAAACAAATTCGGGAATGGCATATCATCACACAGGGTCTATTCTAACAAAACGAACAAGGTATTTGCCCAAGGCTGTACCAGGGGTACTTCAGGAACAGTTCTGGTACACAGATTTTTTTCAAACGTAGAATTTTTTTTTATCAAGTTGGGACCTCAATTATTTAATTGTGTGACTTGCGATGACTGTTTCCACGTACATAATATCCTGCATATATTTTACACTAAGAAACTTCATAACATTGGGCCCAGGTCATCTGAATTTTTGCTGACTTTTTTTTTATTCACCAACCTTTGTGATATGCAGTTCCATGCAGTTTTTTTAAGAATAAAAGAAAGTTTCTCTTCGTAAAAAAGCCTTGCAAATTATGATTCATAACGTAAACATTTCAATTTTCTTCCATAATAATAATATTAAAGAGAGAAAAAAATAGCATTGCACATCTTGATCAACACCATTTGAAATTCAAGCGATACATATTTTTAAAAAAATCTTTAGAAACCTCAAAACAAACCTGCTAGATCAAATTTAAGTAAGGCTCTTCCTGCTCATTCAAGTTCTTGTGTGCTCGTATTTTTATATACGAGTATAAAGACATTTTATTAAATTTATAAAAACTTTATAACTTAAATATGAAAAATGGACAAAGAGTGAAAATTTAACAAAGTGAACATTCCTACCTTGTTTCTCGCCGAAAGGCCCCGGAAAACAAGTGTCTTTGCCGACTACATTATCCTCGACATAACGGAGAATGAGGTCCTTATCCTCCTCCCCTTGGCCCCGCCCACCATCCTCCGTCACACCTGCTAGATTGGTGGTGGTTGTTATCGGCATGAAGTCATCTGTCGTCTCCACCAGCAACGAGAACCGACATTGCTTGGGTGACAACGGCTCCTCCTTCGGTGACAGCACCGGAGTTTCTGGTTGTGGACCGGCCTCTATCTCGGCCTGCTGTTCCGCTGACGATGCCATTGGAACCTCTCGTGTGAAGCTTTATATTGGTGGGGGGAAAACTACTCGACAGAAACGAATTGTTCGAGAGTGGTTGTTGGTGATTTCCCTCTTTTGTTCCGAGTGGGTCCGGTGTGTTTTACGATGACTGCGTGACGATGCAGGGAGGCAGTTGGTTGGCTGGCTGGTGTACAACGGAAACTTCAGTCTGGGCTGGGGGAGTAGGCAATCTCGTGTACTTGTTGTAGTTCTGCTAGTAGTTGTACGTGCAGTAGGTCCATTGGTTTATGGTGCCAAACGAGAAGCAGTTTGTGCACGCGCTTACGCTTGCAAAACAACGAACTCACTGACCCGACTTCTATTCAGTTCTATTCTATTGTGTCCGCCAAGTATTGCTGTTAAATCCCCACGCACAACTAGACTGTGGAATGTTCAATTCTTGGCTGCGGTAAATTAACCTTGAGGATTGGTTCACCAAGTTCTCTTTGGTCAACCATAGACGGACCATCCAAACCACACAAGTGCGCAAGGTGCGATGTGGGCGCGACTTTAAGATGGCGTGCAGGCCACGTCTGTCAAGTCATGTTGTGTGTGCGTACCGTGTGTGTTTACCTTTCACAAATACAGCTGTATGGGTAAACATGCGAACATGTACACGGCAATGTCAAATAGGCCGACATAACTGTACCAGCTCTCGTGATATCCGTAATCAGATCAAGGATGTTGTAGAATGTTTATCTAACCGCAAAGCCTCGATACTCGTGTCGTCCTTTGCGTGTGTCCGGATCGCTACCCTGACACTGACCAGCGCTTATGACCCCAGGATTTTCCTGAATATGGGTTCAAAATGGTAGTAGGCCTACCTTAGGGAAATATTCCCATAGACAAAATCCTCACATAACCCCTATTCCCAAGGGCGTAAATCCGGGGAGGGGGGGGGTATATATATCCCCCACTTTTTGACCAGGGTGAGGCTATTGATTCATCCCCCCACTTTTTTGAATTTTCCGAACGTCCCAACAACAAAAATGTATTCAATAGCACTGAAAAGTGGAGAAACAAAGTACAAAAGCTTGAAAAATGTAAGCGCAAGTATACATATTGATATACATCTTTAAGTTTAAAGAACGCCCCTAGTGTAATGTGGTGTCCAGCCCCCCCCCCCCCCCCCCCCCCCGCTTTTCGAATTTCCACGGCCGGGCAATTATTAGGATTGTGGTCATCCCCCATCTCCGACCCACTCGCCGGCATAGATTTACGCCACTGTCTATTCCAAAAACTTTCCCCAACCCAAACTTTTCAATTATACTATTCTCGACATAAGGAATCATTTTTAAGCAGTTTTTCGACATTAAAATTCCTTCTAAAAATTGTAGTAAAGAAGAATGCCCAGTGTCTTTCCGATATCAAATAGCCTAATTTACTAGAAAATGTGTCCCTATTAAGGTAACATTGGGAGTAGGATAAACAATTAATGAATTAACAAAAACAAAGAATTAATCAAAACCCTTGCCAATCCACCCCCCCCCCCCAAAAAAAAAAGGGGGGGGGCAGAAAACAAGGCCATCATTTTTTAAAAAATTTCCCAGAAGTAAATTTCACACCTGCTTTTACCTCTCCCCAAAGACCTTCTGGATGACTCCGGCTGACTGTCACTTACTGACTGGGAGTCAGTCAGTCGATGACTCAGTCGGGGAGTCAGTCAGTCAGTGGCTCAGTCAGTCTGAGTCTGTCTCCCCCGAGCCACTGACTGACGGACTCCCCCCCCCCCCGACTGGCTGACTGGCTCCCCGAGTCACCGAGTGTTAATAATATCATAAACTGAAAATTTGAGGTTCGGCTCTAATACTATAGTCTTTGTCGTAATGCTCATGTGTTGTCTAAATATAAAGCGGGCTAACAAGAAAGGGAATATAATAAAATACACTCAAATGAAATATTAATTTTCAGATAAACTTTTAGATAACTCTGCAAAATTGCCAGAAAACAATGGCTACTTTGTTAATGGTAGAATATATTATCTTGATAACTTTTACTCCGTCGTGAAGTAATTGCTGTAATGCGAACGTTTCAAGCGATCCATATTTTGACCACAGCTAATTCGTACCAATGTAGCTCGACGGGTCACGCACGGTTTGGGTAAACTGCCACAAATATTTCAACAGTTTCGGAACGTGGATAACCCAAATACGCCATTCTTACTCGGTCTTGGCGATTGACATGATCTAATAACCTAAATTCATACAAGCTCAGGCTCCAACTTAAGCTGAAAATGCCTTAATTTAACGATTACATGGGAACACAACAATTTTGAAAATGTCCATTTTGGGAAGGATGAGCAATTAATTAGGGTGAACACTATTAAATAAGTTGTATACAAACTTTAAAGGCATTTAACATAATTTGCATTTATCCCAAAAGTAACCTATACTGAATTATTATCAAACAGATTAAAGATCGTACTGGTACTTTACTACTTAAACACCCCGTGAAATTATTCCGTCGGGCTCGCTGTCATTTAGACGAAATCAAGAAACTCTGTGGTGATTTTCAACGATTGGTAAAGAGTGATATCCACGAAAACGTGGTTTTTCACATCAGTTTTCTTGAAAAGTGTAATTTCCACCGGGCTGAAACTTCATCAAGTTAGGTTTTGAACATTCTTCTGTGAATTGTGAATGGTGTTATTGGAAACGAACAAAATGCATTAAAAGCAAAAGTCCTTGTTCATTAAGCATCGACAAGTTGGCGTTGTGATCCTGGACACCATTATGAGTGAACATCCAGTTTTCAATCAGTGATCAGTGGTAAACCAGTCCCCCTATAGTAAGCGTACCAACTCATCAAGGCCCCGGTTATACTCCAATGAGGATGTTTTTAGAGGTCTTATCAATCTACAAGGTGCATCATCCGATTCAAAGTACCAAATTAGGGCTTACAATTTCACGCGGAAATCGATTCTGAACTCCCCGATGGTGCTATCATCAAGGTGTAGGGACCTATAAGCCTCAGAGCTTTAAATTTGTTCCAACTACAACTTGCATAAATGCTTCAGGTTTGAACACAGAATCACCACACTGTTTTGCTTCATACTGAATCTTGAATGACATTCCAGTGATTTAACGAAAAAAAACTATTGTTTTCAAAACATTTGAACAAAGTGACTTCATGTTGTCAATAAAGTAACTTCCACTGCCATTGGAAACGGTCTGTATTTTTAAAATTGATATTTTTTTGCTCAGTCCACAGTTGTCCCATAACTTGTTTCAATCTTCTCGATCATTGTGAACATATTCTACCCATTAAGACCTATATTACCCTCTTGTATAGTGGTCTGACTGGTCCATCAGCACAACCGGCAGGCTATGGGACCAATCCATGCATTAATAGGACGACGTCTATACGATTTTAACCACTTCATTCAACTATTATGAAGTACCGCAAACTTTTCAGGCAAATCCTCTTCAAAGGATGTTGGGGCGGACATCCAGGAACTTCTGATGATACCTCTCTGTCTCGTTCCCAGACCCATTTCCATTAATCTGAATGGTTCTTTGTCTGGAGTGCTGAATGGTAACACGTATAGCGGGCGATGAAAACGCACGTGCTAATGAAAAAGTGTTTTCATCGGCAGAGTAGGCCGACCACCACGTAATGTTCCAAGACGGAAACCTGAAAGGCTTGCTTCACTTACCAACCACCCATACTCTAACACTTACAGATCACTCCATTCACAACGGGAGAAAGAACCAGTCATTAAGCTATTAAGTTAGAGTCACTGCAAAGATTAAAACTCGACGTTATGTGAAATGAAGACCATCGCGTTGCTCCGAGAGACACTTGTCGGTGGCTAAGCAGCCTCCCGCATCGAAAAAAGACGATTTGCCTTATAAGGGCCACATTCAGAAAAGTCAATATCTTAAAAATCGAAATTCAGAAAAAAATAATAACAGAAGAAGGGAGACAATACCCACGAAGTACACCTTGACATTTTATGTCTTTGGGCGTGAATTGAGCAAACAAATAGTTCTTGAATATCATCGGCGTCTTAATCCTTCAAATTTTTGTCAAAGTTGGCAAGTGCTACAGATTATGAAATGGAAGTAAAGTGAAACCTAAAAGGATAAAGATATAAAACATTGAAGTTCTGACGTATATCATTCGCGCACCTTTTCCCCCCAAAACAGAAAGGAAGGATATACATTTGTACTTCAAAGCCCCGATGCCTAGGGGCTGTTCAGCCGGCCATGCAATACACTTTTAACATTTCAAAAATCATAAACAAAGCGTACCAATTCTATGAAAAGGCTGATCGTGTGTGGGAGGCAATTACTTTTGAAAACTCCATTATTGAGACCGAAGATGAAGATATAAAACATTGAAGTTCTGACGTACATCACTGTATTTTTACATCAGCTGCATTCGCGCACCTTCCCCCCCCCCCCCCCAAAAAAAAACCCCAGAAAGGAAGGATATAGGGGGCCTACTTCAAAGCCCCGACGCCTAGGGGCTGTTAAGCCATGCAATACGCTTTTAACATTTCAAAAATCATAAACAAAGCATACCAATTCTATGAAAAGGCTGATCGATTGTGGGAGGCAATGTACTTTTAAAAACTTCAATATTGAGACCGAAAGGGGACAAAGAAAGTGATGCCGACAATTTTTGGGAGTTTTTGAAACTCGGGGGTTGAAAAGGTACCGCATTTCTTTTGTGACGGTTGGCATAACCGACAATGTAACAAATATTGACCGATAGTGTAGTAACATTTACTACACTATCGGTCAATTTCTGTTACATTATCGGTTAGTGATACAGTATCGGTCAATTTGTGTGACATTATCGGTTGGTGATACATTATCCGTTGGTTACTACATTATCAGTTGTAACGAAGGGTTAGCTGTGAACATGAACGGGAATTCGGACCTAAGTTATAATCAATCCCTCCCATGAAACGTCCGGTTTAACAGAACAACAAAACCCAAATACACCACATTCACAATAAAATAGATTTTGTATAAATTTATAAATATGAAACTCTCAATACATCATAATATAACAAGACTCATTAGGAGAAGATATAAATCCACAGTTCATACGCAACCTGCATATGGACTTAGTCAGTATGAAATGGAACCCACGAAGTACACCTTGACATTTTATGTCATTGGACGTGAATCGAGCAAACAAATAGTTCTTGAATATCATCGGCGTCTTATTCCTTCAAATTTTTGTCAAAGTTGGCAAGTGCTACAGATTATGAAATGGAAGTATTAAAGTGAAAACTAAAAGGATAAAGATATAAAACATTGAAGTTCTGACGTACATCACTGTATTTTTACATCAGCCGCACCTTTTCCCCCAAAAATAGAAAGGAAGGATATACTTCAAAGCCCCGACGCCTAGGGGCTGTTAAGCCATGCAATACGTTTTTAACATTTCAAAAATCATAACCAAAGCATACCAATTCTATAGGCTGATCGTGTGTGGGAGGCAATGTACTTCTGAAAACTTCATGGTTTATTGAGACCGAGAGGGGACAAAGAAAGGAACTCAGACAATTTTGGGAGTGCTTGAAACTTGGGGATTGAAAAGGTAAATCATTTCTTTTGTGACGGTTAATTGGCTGATGATATGGATGCATCTATAGACACATTATTGGTGAACTGCATCTAATCCTGTCTCCAACCTCAAACACCAATTCCATCCATCATGTTGGAAACTCAGCCGGGAGTGACGCTGTCACCTTTTACAGTCTTTGTCAAACTCTTTGATATACCGCCGATCTCTTGATAGCTTCACGATACCAGTCATTTTGGTATCATACACTCATCAGCATCTGGGCCTCTTGTTGTCGGTTTTCCTGCAAGAAATGGAGAGAACAAAAGAGAAAGTGTACACATCAATGAAATCATACAACTGCAATATTTGTGACAGACAGACACACGAAAACCTTCCCCATTCTACTGCATGCCAGTTCTCTACAACGGTTGTTACAACAGATCGAATCTCGCTCAAACACTCTTAACCGGACAACTACTCAACACTTCCCCTACACAAAAACTTAACATGTCCAAGTTTCAACACGACCAAGATGATGACCAAAATGTGTCCAGTTGGGCTAAATCTTGAGGGAATTTCTTTTTTTGTCTCTCCCCCCAACATCTGGCGAATGCATTACCAGGGAGTGACAAGGGATACGGCTTAAGTGAGGTCTGAAAAGTCTGTCGTATCGTGCGACAGATGCCTGGGTGTATGAGTATGGGTGTGGGGTGGGGATAGGCCAAAAACTACATCTATGGCAACAGGTGCCTGGAGAGTGTGAAAATAGCAAGGACTGAACAATTTGTGTATACCCTGCCAGACTCAAATCAGTGTATAAGCTGGGAAAATCTGTGGGGCCTGGCTGCATTGGGTCATCAACATCAGTGCATAAATGAAACAATGGGAGCTAGTGCCATCGAACAGTTCCGCAGTTATCCTGCTGCTGTTCGCAGACCAGACTCTGACTCTGAGGCAGTTTGGCCCCGAGATTTTGTTTTGTCCTGACCTCGTTATACTGAGCATGCTTTTTCACTTTGAAAAATATTGTATTTTGCTGGTTTGGAAGGGTTTCTAGGGTCAGGGTGAACACATGGTTAGAAGATGATACATGCTAAATGATGGTAAAACTTAAACGGAATATACTTCATTTTCTTTAGCTGCAATTTCAGAAATAGATGGATTGGGGGGGGGGGGACGGGGAGTATTTTATAGCAAATATTGTTACACTGACTAGTATGACTATGACATTTTGGGTTCGTAGATGCTGGAAAAACCAAGAAAAACAATCATGCTCTTGTAGTCTTGTTCCCTGCCCCCCTTAAGGTGAAATGGAGCAATTTATAGGCGTCGGGGAGTTGTAAGGTCAGGGAATCAGTCTAGCTGGCTTGTACCCGTTCACAGGTGTGTAAGCGATTGCAAAGAAAATGCCGATTAACTAAACGTAATAAATTGGGAGCACTATTTGAAAAAAAACCCCATTTTTTTTGAAAACCACTTTTCTTGAATATGGTAGGGGGTCAAAACCCCCCTTAAGCTGCCCCCCAAAAAAAGAAAAAAAAAGAGGAAATCATGCAGGAAAAGATAACTAATGACTGCTGAACACCCCCCCCCCCAACACACATGTACACAAGCAAAACGTAGAATCCACCCCTGAACTGCACCATGGTTATCTGATTATGCAATTGCTTACTTGAACTTTAAAACACAATTATTTAGAAATTTTATGTAAAGCTGATGATTATGCATTTCTGGAAGCCCCCAAAACGTGTCATTTTCTTGGAACTTGAATTGGTAGGTTGCGAATCTGGTTGATGGAAAGGCTGTTGTGGAGATGGGTGATAATTCTGCATTTCATTTGTCATGCATACATTAAAAAAAAATTATCTATGTACCATTGTCGTGGGGGATTCTTTATCAATTTTTATTGTTCAATTTATTGAGGGGCCAAGGCTAAGTATTGCCAAACACTGATGATGCAACAACAACAACAACAACAACAACAATATATGGTTTGTAATGAACCATGTTACAATTAAAGTTTTATGCGCAGGGGAGTAAATCCCGGTTGGGGGGGGGGGGGAGACCTACTTTCTAATTCAACACAATTGCACCCTTAAAGTAATCTGTAGTAATACACCACTGAATCTGAATACACAGCGCATTGGTTTGGCTCCACACAATGGATTGGTCAACTCAAATAAGACACCTGTTCCAACAGACACCTGCTGACTTCAACATGGGGCTTGCCCCCTACTGAGAACATTAGGTCTCAACCAAATAATCTCTTAATCCCGTCAAGTAAGACCGTGATACAAATAATGGAAATCAAACTTGAGATCGGCAAACAAATCACTTAAATACAGAATGTGTCCTGCATGTATTTAACCAATGCGACAAAGGAAAACTCTTGAAAGCAAACAGTTCTTTATCTATTTCCAGGGCACAGATAGCAATGGGCAAGTTGAGGTCACGGAATCTCACCACTGGCTTTAACAGAAACAGAAAGACTTATTATCTGATGCTGCGCTATCACCCATCTCTCTGCTTGAGATCGCCAGTAAAGAAATTCTGTGCTAACCGCATAAGCCCACAGCCTCTTAGCTACTGTGTCTGTGTGCATGCATATAAGCCAAATGCCTTGCTTTTGGTAAGCAGAGATTCTTTGCTTAGAGTCATAAATCCACAGAGTTAATAAAAGGTTCCAACTTTGCTTAAAAAGTACTTGGTTAAGAAGGTTTTTCTGAGCAACGACGGGGTACGAGCCAAAAAGCCACGTGATGTGCATGCAACTTGTGACAGGTTCCCACCGATTGTTGCTTTGCCAAGGAAATTTGCCAAGAAATAGTTTTCTGCTATCTTGTTTTCCGACAGGAGTTAATTTTCTACTTTCATTCCAAATTCATGCACTTTAAATCTTTTGGGGAAATTTCTGCTGACTCTTTCAGATACTAAACTCTCAAATCTTGAATTAAAATCTTCAATAAGTGTTTATCATTTGGTTCTGTATGATGAAATCGGCATAAAGCCAAATAAAGAAAAAAAACATGTTCACATCCTGCCTTTTTGAAAAAAAGGAGGTGGCCCTTTTCCTTTTTTTTGTTTTCCTTCCAAAATGGCTGCCCGACTGGGCTATTCTTCAAGATGGCCGCCAGTTTTTTTTTTTTAAATGGCCCCCGCCACTTGGACTCAGGAATGACATACCAGCTTTATATGGGCTAGATGCAACAGACAAAGAGGCCAGAATGATGTCGCTGTTTAAAATTGATCATTTTTTTCGCAATTTATAAAAAAAAAAAAAAAAAAAAAATAAAAACAAGGAGAGGGCCTCCAAAAAAGAAGCAGGCGGGGACGCTAAATATGTTTTTTTTTTATTTGGCCTGAGGGTTTTACCAACCTCCTCCTGGGCACTGCTAATTCCCAACGAGAAATCCTCATCCTCTGCATTCAGTAACTCCTGCTGCTTCCTTTTGTATCTGAAGAAATGAATCAAACAGAGATCCTGATGATGCTGGATTTTTAAAAGCATTGAATTCAGTCAACCAATTTCAAATTTCTTCTATAACGTCACTTCATCAGAAGACATTTCTTTACCCAGGGTACACTGCCACTGGAACAAACTTTTGTCAGGGGGTGCTGGAATTTCTAAAGGACGGACAAAATTGATACCAAAGCGGAGCGCAAAGCCCTTACGTCGTGGCTTAATTTGGAATATGGATGCTCTGTGGTGCAATCTGAGGCGATTCCTGGCCACTTTCATTTGACTGTTTTAGCAAAAAAAATTTGAGATTATAAAGACAATTTATTTTATTATTTTGTTTAGAACATACTGTTGCTCTTAAAACGTTTAACTGTACTGAAAAGTGGAGAACCCTGTATTTTTATCTCCATTTTTGGCTCCATTTAATTGTGGAAAAAGAATTGTATCATTACGCATGACATCGTATGTAAATATTATTGTTGCAAGGCTGCTTTTTTACATTTAGTAAATTCTGTCGTGTATGTTTTGTTTTATTTTCCGAGCCCTTACGGCGTGGGGCCACAGGGCCAGGGGCCCGCTTTAAGGCCCGAGAAAATGTTGGATTCTGGATGCACTGTGATGAAATATACTGGTAGTATACTGAAGCTTATAAAACCCAAAAGGATTTTTTTTTGGTTTAAGTTAAAACAAATGGTTCCACTGGAAGCAGATTAATTTCTGTTCATAAATATATTCACATAGTTATATTTGCAGTGTTATTTGTTTGTTACAGGGAATGGCATATATAAAAGACTAAAAGACCAAATGTATCTTCATGTTTATGATCGGTAGATGGCAAGTTTGGGGCTACTGTATATAGGCACTAATTTATCGGTCTACAGAGTTTTACCCTACAGAGGGTAAAATAGTTTTTTTTTCTATTAAAACAAAACTACACTGGAATTGGCGTAAAGCATGACTGGTTTCAATTAACCTTGCCAATTGTTAATGTTGAGTACAGAATGCCTGCAACGTCAATGAAACTTTTAAATGAAAAGAAAAACCTTCAGGAGAAAGGTATGAACATTTGCCCCTATTGAAAAATCGAATGACAAAAAAAAATCCTGACAAGCATAATCAACTTTGCCACCATCGTCATGGCCGAGGTTATTGCTTTCGGGTCAAAGCTTCCATCATGGCATGCATGGCGGAAACATCGTAGACATGTCATGAATTTAGATACCTTGAGGGAAATATCGATTCTGCACTGCCTGAAGATTTAGAAAATACTTCCTCTTGATATTTTACAGTGTTTGTGCTAGACTTTCGAAGCGCCGCGCTTACCCGCTGGAACACATTTTTGCCCGGGAGTAGGGGGTGCTGGAATATGCCCCCAATCCAAATAGTTGGGGGGCGCTGCAGCACCCACAGCACCCCCCATTCCCGCGGACTTGCCAGGGTATGACTACGAAACAGACTACGAAAATTACTACTTACAACCACAAGTACATTGGAAATATTTCCACAAATACAGCTATGTACTGTACAAATACATGGAAACAAGTTCATTTTTAACATTAAAGTACAGGAATGAATTGCTGACAATGGGATGGGTGAAAACCATGGGAGGGAAACCCCTTTTGACTTGAGTTGCTCCACAAATGTTTTTAAAATACTGCAAGTTAAACTTGCGCGATCCCCCTGGCATCCTGGCAGTTTGTATACATGTACAGGCAGTTTAAGGACAATTTTCAGTGACGGCCTTGATTCCATATGGCAGGTACCAGTTCTCAGTTGAATGGGGAGTTTGGGTAAGAAACTGGACTAACATATGCTAGGGTCATTAGTAATACTAAGCTGAGCTCTCCAGAGACCTCATAAATATCCATATTGGAAAGGATTGTTTTGATGTCGGCCTTCTCTCCAAAGACCACCTTTCGAATTCGGTTGAGATTGATGACTGAACTTAACAGTGAAATGGAACACACACACGCACATACACGCAAACGTGTGTTCACCGTCGATCGTGGACGTCCTATTGTCCCTCTTTTGTTTGTACTCAAATTTTATAGGAAGACTCCCATAGGTTTTCTACACGACCTAATCGCGGACGACGTATGCTGGGAATCGTGGACGATATTGTTCTCTTTTGTTTTCTGGTATTTCTCGTCCACGGTTTGAAAAGATGATACACACCAACATACAGAAGGAATACGAGATCGTAATATCCCCCTGTCTGGCTTGAAAGCCAGGAGGATAAATATTGGTTCAATGCGACGCGGGAACCCCATTTTGAAACAGGCTTTTGTCAGTCACTGGAAAGAAACACACTTACTCCTCGCTGTCGGGGTTTAATTCAGGATTGCCACACTGTTCGAGTTTCTTCTCCAGAGATCTGACCACTTCAATGTCCAGCGGCGGGATGTTGTTGACCATGGATCGAATTCCTGGTGGACAAAAATGCATATAGAAGATATGAACTCAATGAATAAATCAAATCAATCCTTTTCCCCTAAAAGAAAGGAAAGGGATTGGGCTACAAAAACAATATCTGTGTAAGAGCACAACTGATCATATTCAAGTGTGTGTTTGGATTAGTTGTTTGTAATTAATTAAAAAATGACAATGTCATTTTTTTCCACACAATTGACAAGATCAACAACTCAGTATATCTAAAAACAAGAGTATAAACTTGAACTGTTTTCCATTGGTTTTGTTTTCATCTGCAACAATCTGCTCTTGTCAAAGTAGACCAAAGTCACAAAATTCACAAATGAGATAAAAACACACGGCTAGAATGTTCTCATCATGGAATGTGATCCTCTTGAAAATGGGTCATTCTATGAATTAATCGTCCAAAACCATGGAAACCATGTAAACCTACTCTTGATGGTGCTGACAAGTTCTCGTAGTTCCTTCTTGTCTGTGCTGCTGAGAAGGCACTCTGTCACGTACCTTTGTAGACAAAATAAAAGAAATGTGTTTGTAAATGTTACTTGTATGTGCTCCGTGCACAAGTACCCCATCAACGGCCAGAAAAGGAGAGTTGGGGGCGACCTAGACTGGTTCCCGGTCCATCCACTGCGTATTTCGAATGATCCAAAGTAATGGGGGGGGGGGGGGTTACTCTGGGAGACTATCGCAAGTTTAATTTGAACATATTCGAACGACAACGCCTGACGTTCACGCAAAGACGGTCTGGCTAATAGCTTTGGCACATTCAGGAAGTCGTGCGTACTTCAGGCGCGAACACACTGTGTGTTCCATCCACGGGGCTCTCAAATGTGGTAAAAACACGCCCTCTTTTGTTGGCCCACGAAGCCCATATGCTTGACAGGCTCCATTTGGATCATCCATACCTGTTGTCTTCAAAAATGTGGGAGGTCTGAGTTGATTCTTTTGGTGGTAGATTGAAATTATCAAAGAGTTCCGAGTTGACTTAAATGACCATTTTGCAAAAAAATAAAAACTCACTTGTCAATGTTGACTTGTTGCTTTGCTGCACTTGTCACTAAGGCTGTTAAAGCAATCTGTAAAATACATCAAAACAATATTAACACGACTTACATTAAAATGACAATTTAAATTACGGCATTAAGGTTCGGGGTAAAAGCATGAGTGGGCAACATTCGCAAGCAGGCCACACTGTGTTGGAAGGCGGCCAGGAATGCTTGTCCAGTCAGCTGGCCGCCACCAAATCAAAGTTGGGGGGAGGGGCTGGATACCATCTGACTAAATGCGAGTGTTGGGCTATCACTCCATCACTCAGAAATGCACTTGCGCGATCAATCGGCGATGTAGGAAATCTCAGACTGTACTTTTTTTTTTTTTTCAAAACAATCCTCCAGAGTCGTGGATTAGAAAGAACAGGTGATCAATTGATGGCGGACCAATCAAAAGATGTCGGCAGCATTGACTGACAGTGCAGCGCGATTGACCTATTGCGCAGATTCACTGATCGTTCCTTCAAAGCTGACAATATGCTATTCGTTTTCACTTCTTAAATATTGGTTACAAGTGGTTGCGAGAATGAATCTAGTGGCGATTGTGAGGAGCTGATGATGCTGTCATTTCTTTAAGAAAAAAATCAAAATATCTTCCGGGGGGGGGGGGGGGGGAAGGGGTAGGGTGCTACGGTTGGGGTTGGGGTGGGGGTGGGGTAAGTTTCTCTCTACCCCTGCTGGATGCGCCACTCACCTGGGATGGAGTATATAGGAGGCAGACGTTACTAGCGAAGGACCTCTGCAGGAACTCATCCGCTGGTTTCCTTAACTGCTCTGGATTACTCAACGATGTGAAACGGGTCTGAGAGAAGATAATCAGTTAAAAAAAAACACCTGAGATTGATATAAACCGGGATTCCTAGGTGGATACAGACTGATTTCAAACACCGGTAGGTCCAGCGGAAATTGATTTTCTCAGTAGGCCTGTGCACTTGCGAATACTTTAGTACTCGATTATTCCAATTTGGACTTGATCAAATATTCGTTCAATTTCAAAATTCACTGATCATGTTAAAGTGATCATGCACCAGCCTAAACCGTACGTAAATCAGGATTTGCATGCACCTGTACTTGTCGAAAAATTGACTAAGAGCTTATTAAAAAAATAATTAAGAACAAATTTGATCGATTTTAAAGAAGAAATTTGAGCTACATGTAGAAACATTCATCATTGAAGTTCTCAAACCACGTGCGATAATGGTCAACAAAAGTGTAGAATTTGAGAAACAATAAAAACCGCATAACTTAAATGTTTTATCATCTCCTTGAGATGGCTCACATTTCTTGAATTTTGGAATAAAAAAAAAATAATGCTATTTGGTATTTGGTTCAGAAAGAATATTGGAATTTTCAGTACAGCCATGTTGCACATTTTAATGGTTGAAACTGAATTCACAATTTTCTGAAATGAAAATGGACAGCTTTGAAATAGAAATTCATTGGCCCTAATTATAGCACTACCTTGATGTCTATGAGAAACCCTTCAAGCGGTCGGAGGGGATTGTGCACAGTCAGATGGAAGTCCAACTCCTGCATCACCAGCAGTTCGTGGACCAAGATCAGCTCTGCCGCCCTCTCTTGGTCAGCCGTGAGATTAGCACAGAATTGGGTGATTGACACGTTGAACTCCTCCACTTTACACGCCAGATACACGCAGGTCAACCTAGCGCCCAAGGCGAACGGAAAGACAATGAAAAAGTAGACATAGGACCTTAAAATATGCACATTTGGGATGGCGTCACATGACCAGTGATGGCATAATCGTGACGTCTTCGTGGATCATCTTTGCTATATGGTCTTCGCCTATGTTAACAATTCTAACTCCCTAGGCATTTTCGCTAGGATGCAACCTTGATCCTGCAAAATCCTCCAACTGTCTCTATGTAAAAAATGCATACAGCCTCAATCCTCCAAAACCATCCGTATTTCTTGAATGTGGTCCTTGGAGAGATGACCACTGCCTCAATCCTGCAAAATCCTTCAGCAATCATTGTCAGTATGTGGAGGCAGAGCCAGTGACATCCTGGAGCAGTGTGGAGGATTTCAAGTATAATCTAGGCCGAAATTTACTCACATGATGAACTTGGGATGGTAGTCCATGACAGTGTTGCGCAGATAAAACCTCTTGAAGTAAGCACATGCCGTTCCCTAGACAAGAAATACCACATAAAGTTCATTTCTAAGCCACATGAAAACAACTTGGAAATGTGACGTACATGTGGTGCAGATTTCTGGTGATTCTAGATTGTGCATTTAGACGCCATGTCTAAATGCAAATGTGCCAAACATGGAACTAACAAGTCAATTTGAACAAACACACTTTGCAAACAATTAAACAGAGTTATTATGGAATGCATTGTGACACCACCCCCCCCCACCCCCCCCGGAGGTAAAAAAACCCCTGCCTTCGCAATTCATTCTTCTGTGAAGCAGAACACATACATGTACAAACAACCACGAAACAGAAAAAAATACACTGTATCTTGCTTGCTACGGTTTAATTTTGTTTTGTACCTACCATAGATTTTCATATCTGAAGCCAACACAGAAACACAGTTCTCTAAAACTCAATTCCTTTCATCTCCACTTGACTATCTGGACAGTTTTAATTTGGCAACATACTGTACCTTGACAGCGGGTGGCATGGGAGGTTCAAATCTCCGACAGAAGTCTCTTAGAAGATGCTCATAATGACGACACAAGACGTGCTCCTCGTCTGCCGACAAGAAGAAAGAAGTGACATCTTGCCCCTATACCAAGAAAATCACAAAGTGGTCATTAGAATAAAGGGAAGTCCAACTGCATGCATGTACATGTACATTCTTTCCCAATGTGTTAAATAGTATTTTCTTCCCGGCCACAGTGGAGTAAAGGTAAAGATCCCGTAGCAATTACTGGCCGTAGGGGCAGTGGGATGTTAGAGGTCCACTGTGTCTTGGGCGTGGCATATGAGTGGCGGTGCCCAGTCCTCTCCTCTCGCCGTCTTACCTTCCCTGAACGAATCAGGTACCCATTTTACTGTTGGGTCGTCGGAGAGAGTTTTCCAGTTTTTGGTCGGAATGGGATTCGAGCCGCCAACCTTCCACTCCGTAGCTCCACGCTCTAACCGCTCGGCTACGAGGCCCCTCTGGCTACGAGGCCCTCTCACAGTGGAGTCCATCCTGCTATATGGGTGCGAGTACTGGCCCAAACCCGACCCTAGGCTATTGTAACGGCGGTGCCGGGCCGCCGGCAGAGGGCGCCAGCACGGACCCACGGTGCAACCGTAGCGTTGGGACCCCTGCTGCTGGGCCAGGGAGACCCGTTGCCAGACTGCGCCGACTCAGTAGTGTGACTTTTGTATAGCGTTCCTTTTTGTTGTGAGTTGTATAAAGTGAGAGCCTCGTGTAAAGAAAGTGGCAAGAATAAATGGCCGGAGAGCCCCGAAACCCTGAAGAATAGTGTCTGTGGTTTCCTTCGTCTGGCGTGTGAGAACCCTAGATTCGTTCTACGTTACACTATTCTGGTGCCACACCACAATGTTGAGGATGGTGCTCAACATGGACATGTCCAACAATTAACAAAGCCTTCCACTACATACCACCGCGGATCTCACAAAAGATCGCGTACAGGCGGATGGGCCTGGCAGGACACTGCCGCACGCATTCTGAGCTGCCGGCAAGTCGTCTTGTGCTGTGGGAAGGACTCATGGGGCAAAAATGAGGGGAGGACAGAGGACGTGCTATGTCGGTGTCCTGAAAAGGGATGCTGGGGTGAAGACCATTTTTATACCTTCGTCTTCTTCTTGTGTTGCTCAATGTATCGACCATTTGCCTCTGTCCTCAGCACATCGATGTCTTTCTCACTGGTGAATGTCCAGAACTGTTTCTGTGAGCTGCTTTGGAACATTGCGCATCAGCTCTAGGCCCAACTCGTATCTAAACAAAGTAATAATATATTTAAAACAAACATATAAGAAACCTGTGCAAGATAATTTTTGATAAATGTGCTCAAAAATCAGTGGAACGTTGAGGGACAAACAGATTGATTATCGAGGCCTCGTGATTGGCCCGTCTGACCCCGCCCGCAATATGCACTATAAAGATGGTACATGTATCTGTGGTCTGGTCGGTTCCCAGACCAAAACTCAAGACTCTGACGTCATGCCAACAATGCGCTTTGTGTGCGACGTGCACGTTCAATTAAAACTCAAACTGTAGCTTCAGTTCAGAAAGGAGACTGTTTTCATCATTTTTTTGCATCATCGGGATCGATTCAAATTTCAATCCTTTTTATAGCGAAATGAATGTATGTCAAGAAGTACTTGGCATAGTCTTGGGGTACAAATATACAGCGGTCGTTCCAAAACTCATTTTCATATTATTCCCAGAGTAATGAGTATACAGCATGTTCGCGTTGATATTACGTGTAAGACCCATACCCCTGGTATACTCGGTCGTGTCCAATGTTCTGGTTATATTTTTCATCTTTTTTTCTGGAACGTTTTGACATTAGGTTGGTTTCCTTTCAACCAGATGTTTGAAATGGGATGACAGACCAACACGTACACATTAACAATTCGTGGATTTCAGGACGCAGTACCCCCCTTTTTTTAATGAGATATCGCCGAGTCTAGCCACTCGTAGTCACCCTCTGCATGCTCTGTGCGCTCTGCTCTGACCCCGCGCTGCAGCGTAGCAGAGGGCGCTGTACAAAAAATGCGGGACCGGTTATCAATCAGTCATGATTAAAAATAAATCAAATACTTCGGAAAATAAAAAAGCCACAACGAAACCAACTTACCAAGGGCAGCCTTGCACATAAATAAACGGAACGGATGGTCGATGTGATTGTTTAATTTTCTTACACAGGCAATTTTCATCGTATCTTCTTGGGTCCCAACATTTAAAATGCACACCATACGTGAAGATCCATACCTAGACTTCGCATGGTGATCCCAACACTTTGTATTCCGACAGGCAGGCATCCGACTAGATCAAATGGCATAGCCTAAAATATAGAGGGCGCTATATAACTTACACAGTTTTCACAGTTGACCGAGTACTCGCTAAATCGTAGTTGCAGACTACACCAGTAAATAGATAATTACGCATACTTCCCGAAATTATAAAACAATTCGCTGACAATTCTCAAAGTGTTTAAACACACATTAAATGAAAGCTTATTTCATCATCTTTTCATTTTCCGGTCAAATTTTTTTGGGCCTAACCCAAGACTTTTGCGAGAAAATTCCGTCCAAAGAGGATCACCCCTACAGGGTGAGTCAAAAAAGCGGAACCCAAACCCCCAAAATTATATTTCATATTAAAAAAAATATGTAGCACCAAACATAATAATGACTGGAAAGCCAATTTCATTAGCTGCTTTTCGATGAAAAAAAATACTGAAATTGCTCAATCCGTTCAAAGAATATCGGCATTTAAACGCAATTACCCTAAAACCTGTTTCGTCCCAAAAAACAGGTTTTAGGGTATTGTTTGGAACAACAAAGAAAATGACACAGAATACTGTTCATATCCGACAATTATTAACACTAGATTACAGAATGGTGTACCGTATTTTGAACAGGCAGACATTATATCCAGTATAATTTTTTTGGGGTGACACAGCAGGGGAGGGGGGGGGGGGGGTTCCGACTTATTTTTTAGGAATTAGTGTGGACATTTTTTTTTTTGGACAGAGCTGGGGGGGGGGGGGGGTTTGACCCCCCAAACCCCCCCTCTGGATTCGCGCCTGTGTAGTGCACAATATCTTTATTAACAACCCTGTTTAGGCAAACAATATTGATAGAATCCACTTAAAAAAAAAAGACAGGCCTTCAAAAGGACTTTATTGAATATTTTTAACTTTTAAACTGAGGTTTTATCGCTGGTGATGTTTGAAGACGGCGATTCTCAAAATCGCATTTTTGGGACGAAAGAGGTTTTAGGGTCATTTCGTTTAAATGGTGATGTTCTTCGAACGGATTGAGCAATTTCAGTAATTGTTTCATCAAAAAGTAGCTTATGAAATTGGTTCCAGTCATTATTATGTTTGGTGCTACATGTTTTTTAAATACTAAATATCATGATTTTTGGGGTTTGGGTTCCGCTTTTTTTGACTCAACCTGTATCATGGTGCAAGTCGCCAGCTCCGGAACATTAGGGGGGGGGGGGGCATATAGTACCTACCTACTAGGGGGCACACTACATACCAAAATACATAAAAACACATGTATGGTTTTTGCCGGGGGGGGGGGGCACCAGATTCCTAACGCCACTATTTTCTTTCCAGAAAACAAATTCATGCCACTGAAGAAAAGGTCGAAAATGTGGATTTGCAGCCGGGCCGAAATTGTGCTAGGACAAACTGAAACAAACCTAGGCCGGCATTCAAACATCAGTTACAAACATCACTAGCTTGTTCCTTTAATTCAGTTAAACTGTAAGTTAAATCCAAAATCAACAAAAAGGAATGAACACATTAACACACACCAATCCTTATCTGAATATTCATGGTTGTTTTCAGTCTCCTGAATATATTGTATTCTCACTGTTAACCTGTTAGATCTGTTTGTTAATGGTAAAACTTATGGAGACTATTGTCAACTTTAACCAAATTATTCATGGTTGTTTTCAGTCTCCTTGTATTCTCACTGTTAACTTCCTGTTAGATCTGTTTGGTAAAAGTTATGGAGACTGTTGTCATCTTTAACCAAATTAAGTCCATCACAAGTGTGGCCAACCGGTAAACTTTCCAAATTGCCAATTGTTGACTCATACTGTCAGTTGTAAGGGTTACGATTGCGAACTGGGTCATGGACAAATTACATTGTTAGTTTAAAGCACGGGAAAGTCACATATTGTGGAGTCTACTGCTATAGAAAACGTACATTGTGATCCATGACTTCCATGTTCGGACCTCTGTAATTCACAAACACTCCTTAAGATTCTACCTTATTTCTGCTGTGTTCTGTGATATTATTTGGCATGTTTTACCACATCCACATCCAAGTACACTTATTAGTTAACGGGTCAATCACCATAATCTACAACACTTCACTACTTTTTTCCCTCCCTAATTACAGTATATACAATCGTTAAAGTGTTTTTATACAAAGATAATGTGTTTAAGTATAATTAGTTAAGAAAAACATCCGAGATTCATTCTTCGTAGGGTTTGGGTAGCTGTAAGCCGACCAGGTTGGCACTTTCTGCTACAGTCCTCTCTCCCCTCCTGTATACTGCCTGCAAAGCCTGACAAGATTAAGAACATAGGACACAATACACAAATATTAAGAGGTTGCTTTATTCATCAAACATTTAAGAAAGTGAACTTGGAAATATTTGTTAGTCATTCCAATTTCAAGCACTAGTACCCCTGGTTTGCATCTTCACAACTTTCATCCTCACCCCCCACCTTTGAATCTCCTTAGAAGTATAAACTGTCCCCACCCACTTTTTTGAAGAAACTTTCTAAAGCCAGTGAATATCAGTAGTAGCCATATAGATATTCACTAGGAAGCCATTTTCAATCATGTTCCCTGAATCTATTCTATCAATTGTAAACTGTTAAATAGGATGGTGCCAGACTATTTTGCGTTCCAAGCCTCACTTTTCATTTTCTTTTTAAATGTGGCTTACAAAATATGTTTAATCACAAATTTTTAATTATTCATCAGAACAGACTGGTTCTGGTTAGGCCCCAAAAAAATTATAGTTCTGCTTCCGGTTTCCCTACCTACCCTATTCTGAGAGCCCCTACCCTATTTTTTTATGGGAAAAAATGAGAAAAAAAAACACCCACAACAATCCATTTCAACATTTTACCCCTGACTACACGCAGACGCCTCCATAAGATTGTACACAAAAACAATTGCCAAAAAAAAAATTCCCTACCTAACTACCCTATTTTCAAATGCCATGTAATCGGAAGCAGAAGTGTTTTTTTTTTGGCCTTAATTAAGGAACCCTTATTTCAATGCTTTCATTTTTACTCTCAAGTTCCAGACAGAAGAAATTACCCCGCTTTCAATTAATAATGGCCGGCACATAAATAAGGTGTATTACTTTAATCCTCCAGCACACCGCTTTTATTTTGAAGCATGAACTGCTCAAAACACTGAAATAAAAGAAGGAATCTTACCTCATGTTCTCGCGTACTCCTGAGCAGACAAAGATACGTCTGGGCCTGATGTAACATCTCATTGTGTTCTTTGCAGTACTTCTCCGAGGTGACCTGGTTCTTTCGGAACTGATCCATCAGGTAGCCGTAGGCCATTGTGTTTCTAGGAGAACTCTGCACATACAGAGTTGTATAAATGAAAAAGATGATAGTTGTAAAACGCTAATGATCATAAGTATAATTGTCAATCAATGCAACAAACTAGTCAATTCAATTTTTGCAGTGGCGGCCATAAAGTGACTAAGTGCTATCGTTACAGAACTGTCTTGCTCCCAGACGCAATAGTATTCAACGTCAAGATCTTTGGCTGTTGGAACCAGACTATGAGCCAGCGGGTAGCCCTCCAAGTCCCGGCGAAGATACTTGGTGAGGTGGAGGACACAGGTTAATACAGGTAGGGGGCCTAAATGGTTCTCAGACTTTATTTCCTTTAAAAAAAAATTCTCCAAAGCCATTGATTTCAAAGAAGAAAATGAAATCTACTTTAGATAAAACAAACAATTTGATTAAAAACCTTAAGTTTAAGAAATCTAACAGTAGCAGTGTTATTCAAAACAAATGAGCAGCGCAGCAGCAGTTTTGAACCCGGATCCCCGGCACAGTCAGTAGTCTAACGTGTAACCATTCGAGCTGCGAAAGCGTTCTGGTTAATTGGACGGGAGTTGTAAATGTGATATACATGTACATTCGTATGGTATTTTTCCAAATGCCGTATAAATGACCTAGTATCACGGTAGAATCGCGTTAGAATCGCGTCAACGCAGCTCAGCTTGTGAAATATTGTCCAATTACATGATATACAAAATGGACGCGGAACACGCAAAATCTGAGACAAACAAAATTTAGTGTACAAAAACTCCATAGGGTTGTCTAAGGGGCGTGGCTAACTCGCAAACGGCGATAGATCAATTGTTAGTAATCAACCAGCACCATGACAGCGTTACCTGCACGTGATAGCCCCACCATAGGCGATTGTGCAGTAGCATACAGATACAGATACAGATATATACGCGTTACGGCAATGACGCCGACGGCCTTCGGCTTTGTCTGTTCGTTCAATGTTATACGAAAGGTAAAATCTTACATTTTTGACCTCTCGAAGTTCCCGTAACAAAGATCTCAAAAGTCTCAATGTTTGCAACTTTGTGTTTGACATGACTGGATATCTATTTAAACTTTATACAAACAGAACGTTGCTGTGTGCAAAAACACAATCAGTCACCAGTTTTCTCTCCGGCACAGGGCGCAGACATCTTAGGCTTGTCACAAAGTTTTACATAAATTCATTATTATTACATCTTTCAAGACCCACATGGTACATAAAAAAATGCAAATAAATTAAGTAAATAATACTTCTTTTTTTAATAATATAATTATATTCTTTTTACTAAAAAAGAGAGCAAAAATTTTAAAACAATAATCTTTTATTATTGAAAAAGCCAACTTTCTCTCAGTACACGTAGCATGCAAATTGCATACACGTAGCATGCAAATTGCATAACACGCACAGTTAAGTTGCACAATACACACGGCTAGATGCGCTCCGATCCTTTGCAATGTCAATGTCATGACTCATTGACTGTCATATTAACTTGTTTTTGTCGGGTATGTCATGTAAGAAGAGTTTACAACATCGTCATCATTCTCCACGCTTTGTGGGAAAGAATGCTGCAACCTGACGCTACTTGTCTTCAGCGGTTGTTCTAAAAAATTGTCTAATTTCCTAACAAAATTGAAACAATATCAAATCAGTTTTGCAAATGAAATAGGCTTCATTGTCCATTGAGATGATGCTTGAAGTTGATGATAGAAAAAAATGGCGTCAGTTTGCAACATTCTTTCGTGATATAAAATAATATTATTGATTATGTGTGGAATTCAAGAACAATTTATATTTCTAATTTCTCTGCCTTTTCCAACTTATTATTTTGTTTATCCTCGAGTCACTTTGGGGGGGGGGGGGGGGGGAAATGACGATGACAATGACAATACGCAATGCTGCTAATTTTTTTTTTCAAATTCAGCTGGGTACAAGCTGCAGTCAATCTCCATGTTATTGTAATTCTTTTTGTTTACAACTCATTTTACAGATATCTGACTTGGACAACATGACCAAAGGCAGTCAGGGACGATTCCTTCTATTGTACGGCTCACAGACCGGCCAGGCAAAGGCCATAGCTGAAGAGATCTTTGAGACGTCGCCAAACCATGGGCTAGACCCTGAAATGCACTGTATTAGTGTGACTGACAAAAAGGTTTAACAAATGAGTCTTGTGTCTTTAACATACACTTTTAAGTTTTTGTTATTTAAGGCCAAGTAAAAAAACATACAGTTGATCGTTCTCGCCTGCTTCCTTTTTTAACATCTGCATCAATTCTGTTTTAATTTTTTTATTTCAGGCAAAAAGCACCTTGAGAAGCTTTTGTGTTCATCAATTAATAGACAACTACCCAGAAGTATTGTTGATGTACCCTAACGTGGCGAGGCCCCCAACGTGGCGCACTTTGATTTTTCGCCTGTAGCGCCTACCTAGAGCAAAAGTTTTAACTGAAATTTCACAGAAAGTGAAATTTCATCAAGTTCTAAACACTCCTGTTCATAAATCGCGAGTTCATTTACCCGTAACAAAGTTAAAAGAAAAATTTATTTTGGAGTGATTTTCTGATTTTATTTTCAAGTGCAAAGTGAACCCTTTGAAAATGCCCCGAAAAATAAGAAAATAATTTTTGACAAACATCTGGCTGGGTATGTAAGTAGAGATAATAATTATTTATCAGAATTTATCAAGTTTACAGAACTTCTTAAATGTTAATTTGGAATTTTCCGAGATTTATTCAAGTGCGTCACGTTAGGGAACACCCTGCCAATTTGTGCCCAATTTCCGGACGCCACCGTTTTTGACTTTCGGATTAAATTTCATGAAACCGAAATTGTTCACAAAGGTTTAATAAGGTAAAAGTATTAGTATTTTACTGCATGAATTTGAGGTTTGTAAACAAAGAGGTTAGGCAACACTACACGAGGAAAGTCGGGTAAGCTTCGAAGTGCGCCACGTTAGGGAACACGACTATATCAAATAAAAGGGCTTCCTTTTTAGGGCACATATAGTGTAAGCTAAATATGGCTATTTAAGCCTATTTTTTCAATATTCATCCATTAATACAAAAATAAAAAGGCCTTCATCTTCATCCCATCATTTGTGAATAAAGCGAAGCTGAATATTATTTATCTCATTTACAGTTCAGCATTGAGAAGGAGAAGTGCGTTGTGATCATTGTGTCTACGACGGGAGACGGGGAGCCACCAGATACAGCCACCAAATTCTGGCGCCGTATCAAAAAGAAAACGTTAACAAGTGATTACCTCGCAGGGGTCTACTTCACTCTGCTAGGTGAGTAACATTGCAGTGCTGAGTCAGGTCGGCGCAGCGGTTCTTTCCTCGCCTTCCACCTCTGTGGCCCGGGTTCGATTCCTGCCCTGGTCCACGTGTGGATTGGGTTTTCAGTTCCTACCTGATTCCGTTGCTTTTCCTCCAGAATACAATGTATTCTTCTGTGGTTTTCCTCCCACCTCTAAAACTGTAATTTCTTATTGTCTTCTTCCGGCTTGCAAGCTTACGGTGCCAAGAGCACTTTTGAGGAATCCTTGGTTCTAGTATCGGAAAGAAATAATAATAAGGATTGAGAATATCTTGCTCATATACGTCAGGGGCCAAATGCAATATTTCGTAAAATACATCCAGTTGTCTGACATTCTTTCCAATTAGGTCTTGGTGATTCCAACTACACTAATTTTTGCCGCAATGGCAAAAACTTCAACCAGCGATTGGAAGAACTGGGCGCCGGTCACTTCTATCCTCCTGGTTTTGCCGACGATGCAACTGGGTGAGTGCGGCTCCATGCTTTCAGTTTGTGATCGTGTGCATTTTGAGTGAGCAGTTACTATTCTTCGACTGTAGTTTATGAGCACATGGTGCATGCTCATTGCTGTCTGAAAGCGCGTGGGAAAAACTTGACAAGCTTTCTGTTGTGGGACTTGAACCCGTAACCCCCTGCTTACTAGTGCAGAGAATACCTGTGGGTTGATGGAGTCGTTTGGCCAGTTTGAATCTGGTTTAGCAGTGGATACTACAGTCGGGGACTAATGATTGAACGTATTTTCTTAAAAAGCTCTTGAAACCCATTGATTATTGCAGTATTGTGGTAAATGGAAGCTCAGTACGTTTATTAAAATATCAAACCGACCTGGCTCAAAAAGGTTTCTTACTTTTTAGTTTTCATGAATCCTTTCACGTTTAATGTGGATAATGCGGAAAAAACACAAACAGAACTAAGATATGTTGCAACAAAATTGAACAATACTTTGTTCTTTTTGGCAGCCTAGAGATTGTGGCAGAACCCTGGATTGAAGGATTGTATCCGGCACTTCGGAAGCATCTTGGCTTAGACGGTGTCTCTGAGAGCCAAACTGGCTGCCCAGTTTCAGCAACTAACAGTACTTCTGACTTGTGCCAAGGAGGGGAAGTGAGAAATGACATTGGTGCTTCTAGTGATGAACCTTTAAACCCGTTGGAGAGACACACTAAAGTAGGGTCACCTTTCCTGGATGTCCAGTCGTCCTCTGTTGATACCAGAATGGAACATTTATCCTCGGTTCCTAATTCTGCATCGGCAACCTCAGATGATGCCGAAGAATGTTCCTCAGACCAAAGGAGGGTTAACCACGACCAGACAACATTAGGACCTTCAACAAATCCTGGTCTTGAAGACCGCAGTGCATCTTCTGTCTCTAAAGTATCAGTCACGAACCACCTCGAGGTCTCCCCAGAACCAAATGACATGCCCTCTACTTCGCTGAGAAGGCCTGAGGGTTCAAAAAGAGGTGAAAAAGACAGACCTCTTGGAGATGTGGAACAGGCAAGCAGTGCAACAGAAGGAGGAGCTGTTACGCAGACTGATGGTTCCGCTTCTCTCAGGATGTCTATACCGCCCCTATCTGAGAGTGGTCTTACACTGCCAGTTGCTCCACCTCCATTCCTGGATGTAGAATTCCACACTGACCAAACTCTGGTGAGATGCTTTGTTAATGTGCGAAGGAGTTTAGGAGCGGCAAGAATTAAACTGACCAAGCTGCTGTGGGAAATAGTATTAAAATAGTTCTGTCTTTCTGAGATTTGATTGAATTCCTTCATGTTTTTATTTATACCGGCATACATCCTATTACATTCATTGATTGAATGAGAATGGTTTGTTTCAGTCGTTTATGTGATTGGCAATATTTTGGAATCTTGTTTTAACTACTTTTATTTTGAAAAAAAAAAGGATTAATGTTAAATGTTTTTATTACCATTAGTGAAATTCTGCACTGAAATTGTTGTTTTGGTTGGTACTCTACCATCTATTTGCAATGTTTTATTTTATTATGGGAACTAGTAACCAAAATAAACTTATTTTTGAAATCGAAATCTTTTTGTTGCAGAGAACTGATGATCTCCCTGTTCAAGGTGGAGCACCCATGCCATCAGCTGCCTCCCCTGTTACCATGGCAACACTGGTCTCCGCAACCAGGCTGACAAGAGCAGATGCTGTCAAGACTGCGCTCGACGTGGAGCTAGACATTTCGGTCAGTTTGCCATTCAGTTATATTGAAACTAAAAAAAATTAAGAAACTGGCCTATGTTTTGGGGTTTGGGTTAAACCACATGAGTCCCTTTACCATCCCAAACCGCTCTATTGCGCTGCATGGCTTTATGAATCCTTGGAGAATGTATACATTGTAGTACAATGTATACAATGTAGTACAATGTTTACAATGTAGTACAATGTATACAATGTAGTACAATGTATACAATGTAGTACAATGTATACAATGTAGTACAAAGTATACAATGTAGTACAATGTATCCAATGTAGTACAATGTATACAGTGTAGTACAATGTATACAGTGTAGTACAATGTATACAGTGTAGTACAATGTATACAGTGTAGTACAGTGTATACAGTGTAGTACAATGTATACAGTGTAGTACAATGTATACAGTGTAGTACAATGCGGTACAGGTGCTTATGGGTTAAACAAGATGTCTAGGCCTACTGATTTATTAAAGTGCATTGCTTATTTGTGGACTATATTATTCCATTCCAGGAGACTGGAATTCACTACCAACCAGGCGATTCGTTCAGCATCGTCTGCCACAATGATAGCAGAGAGGTCAATGACCTGATTCAAAGACTTGGCTTACAAGACAAGGCTGACTGTCCACTGAGTCTGCAGGTGCTGAGTGGGACCAAGAAAAGACGCGCTGTGGTGCCGGAGTACATACCTCAACCCCTGTGCACACTGAGACACGCACTGTCACATTGCTGTGATATAAGGACCCCGCCAAAGAAGGTAGTTTGCGGAACTGTTGCGTCGTCTTTCTGGTTTATAGCCTGAATGAATAGATTATGTTCTCGTAAAAGAATATTTGAAGGACCAATTTTTTTCTCTCGACCTGTGGAATTAAAGGGATTGCCATTAAAATGAAGAAAATGTGGTAGTGTATGTGTTCTTGTGTCCTTGGGAAGGGCACTCGCTCTACTCCTGGCTTAAATAAATAAAATAAAAATAAAGTGTAAGGCCCCCCCAAAAAGTCTCCGGTTTCTGGTATGGAGCTTGTCAAAAAAGTGGTGCGGCGACGCGGCTTTTTTTTTTTTTTTACCCGACTTTTTTGCTTCAAATGTCGGCTGATGACTGCAAATGGTGCCCGACTAAACTTAGTGCAAATATATGGGAGTCCAGAGAGGCCACATAAAGCTTATTCTTGATCATAACCCCATCTAAAAACACGTTGAAATCGCGCAGCAGCAGAATTCCAGTCAAACCAGTGAGTTTGGCGGTTTTGAGACATCATCTTTCATTGAAAAAAAAAACTTTTTCATTTTGCCGACGCACATGGCTACGGCGACGCGAGCGCATACCAGATACCGGAGACTTTTTTTTTTGGGCCTAATGCTTATGTAGCACTTTCCATCGTATCAACACTCTTAAAGTCCTTTACAGTTATTTCCCTGTTCTTCATGCCACAAGACCAAGCGGCAGCCGATATCAGCGCACATTCAGTCCTCTACCCTCACAAGTACCCATTCAAACTCCTGGGCAGAGAGAGGCAATTGTAGCAAAGTGGCTTGCCCATGGCCACAGACACCATATTCCCAACACTGTTAAGAATAAAAATCCAAAGTTTCAAACATTGATTATACGGAATGGCCCCTATACACACAGAGTTCTGTGGTTAGAGCCATGATATTTAGCCTGTTCTTTCATAGAATCCAAGGCTTTTTCTCTGGTCTAATAACGTTGACTTGATCAACAGGCATTCTTACGAGTCCTTGTCGACCACACCCACGATGCATCTGAGAAGCGTCGGCTGCAGGAATTGTGTAGCAAGCAAGGCGCCAGTGACTACGGTACCTTCATACGGGATCCCCACCTGTCTCTATTGGACATCCTGACGGCCTTCCCATCATGCAATCCTCCTTTGAGTCGACTGTTTGAACATCTACCCAGGCTTCAGCCGAGACCGTACTCCATATCGAGGTGGGTAGTGGACCATGTCGTAATTGAGTCCATCACAAGTCCGGTCACAAGCAAATTACAAGTCCATTCAGTGACCTGCCATTCACAATTAACAGCGGATGAACAATGACAACAGACTGCCGATGTCTCAGTTCATTTGAATATCTTGTGAGTTCACTTGGGACAAGGTGATGTGTGCTTGACTTGTGAGGACTTGTGGTGGACTTGACTGGGCTTGACTTGGACTTTTATTTTGAAGTTGAACAGTTTCTTTGTTCGATTTTAACCCTATAAACCCACCTCACTCCTCCAAAATCCTCCTGGCGGTTTTGGAGGATTCTAGAGGATTGAGGATGAATGGTGAATGAATCAAATGAGGATTCTGGAGGATTGAGGATGAATGGTGATTGAAGCACATGAGGATTTTGGAGGATTGAGGATGAATGGGGATAGAAGCACAAGAGGATTTTGGAGGATTGAGGATGAATGCATTTTGAGGCAGGACTGTCTGATGATTTTGAAGGAATTGGCATTGGTTATCCTTCATTTAAACACAAGTGCAAAATTTTGGGATGAGGAGGATTTTGGAGGATTGAGGATGAATTGCATTTTGAGGCAGGACTGTCTGACAATTTTGAAAAATTTGGGCAGAGTTGCAAAATTTTGGAGGATTTTGGAGGATTGAGGATGGTTGTGAGCAAAAAGGGCCTAGGGGGTTAAAGTTAATAGTATTATAATGCACTTAGTCAGTTTTCCTTTGTGGTTTATAAAAAAAATATCTTACAGAACTGATAGAGGGGCAGTTCCGTAATTTCGGACGTACATGTCAAACACTTTAATGAGCTGCTGTTGAAAAAGTGAATGTGATACATCACTAATATTGTGACATCTAATCATGAGCAGAAAACAATTACAGACCAAACCGAGGTACCACCACCTTAATGACCTTGTACATACTGTGGTCGGACGTACGCAGAGAAATGGATTTTACAGAATTGCTTAGAAGTCAACAGTTTTGGATATTTAGAAATCATAAGTCCAATAATGATTTATTGGGAGATCATTTGAGCTAATCACAAGACCAACTCTCATATTATGTCATTTTTGTTACAGCTCACCCTTAGTGGACCCCAACAAGTTGCATTTTGTCTTCAACGTTGTCGTCTTCCCGGAGGGTCAAGGGAGAAATGAGCGACGGGAAGGAGTCTGTACGGGATGGCTCAATCACATGACCAAGACGGAACAACACTCTGATGTCTCGCTGGCCAGTCAGATGTCAAAACTTAGCATCCATTGGGATACAAAGGTTGGTGTGAACCCAAACCCTCGCAGATCCTTCAAAATTTGCAGGATTTTGTTGGATTTTGTAGGATTTTGCAGGAGCTAAGAAGGTACAGCAAATGCAGGTCATTGCTACTTGACATGGTACTTGATGTCCTTCGATGGCACAACCAACCAAAGTACATGTACAACTAGTGCCATTGGTTTCCCTCAGGGTATAGGATTTTGTAAGCACCTTTGATAAGCACAATCGATATTACTCGATTATTCGATATTATTTTGATATCGATATCGCCAATAGCAATATTTCAATCATATTGAAATATCAGAATTTCAATATTAAGGAACGATATCAAAAATATTGAAAATGCGTCAGATCATTGCCAAAATAAAGCTATCGTTTGTGTTTTTACTTTGTGTTTAAAGTTTGCTGTGTAATAAAATAAGAGTCTGCGGCAATGTATTCTCTGAAGCTGAGAGTCTCTCCTTTCTTTTTTTTCCTTTCAGATACCCATGTTTGAACGAACCAATCAGAGATTCCACCTGCCAGCCGAGCCCACCACACCCATTATTATGATTGGACCAGGGACGGGCGTGGCTCCGTTCATAGGATTCTTACAGCACAGGGCGTGTCTTCTGAAGACAGGGGCGTGTCTTGGACCTGCCTGGCTCTTCTTTGGGTGTCGGCACAGGGACAGAGACTTCTTGTACAGGTGGGTGAAATTTAAAAAAATAAAAAAAAATTTAGTGGAATAACAAATTTTACAGGATCTCATGATATGAGTGTTTTGGAAAATGTGTCACTTTAAAGTGTTCATACGATGAATTTTTCTAAGGAACACATTTTGTGCAGCTTCCTACTTCTTTTAAATGTATTAAACTATTTGTCATTCCTTTTTGGTTAATTTTATTGAAAGGTATTCCATAGACGAGGAAAGGCCAGCCTTATGGCCAAAAAATCCAGGAACGTTCTCATGAGTTATATTGTTAACCCCAAGTCTGGAATGTATCATTTGTTTGGAAGACGACCTTTACAGATTTCAATTTTTGAACCAGCCATCTGACCCAGGCAAGCTCGGTGGTTGAGTGGTAAGATGTCTGCACTAGCAAGCAGGAGATCAAGGGTTCAAGTCCCACCTCAGTAGTTTTTATCTCACAATCCCTCTAGACAACACTGAGTTTTATAAAGTATGCCAGCGAAGAGGAGAGCCCAATATGGAGGCTTAATTATGTTGTAGGGCCAATTACATGTACAGTCTGTAAATTTGAAATTATGAATATCACAAGAAAAAAAATGAGATTGAGACAAATGCTTTCTATCCCTTGACAGAGACTCTCTTGAGGGTTATCTGTCCTCTGGTGTCCTGTCCAAACTCTGCTTGTCCTTCTCTCGTGATCCGAGCCCGTCAGTGACTGATGAGAGTTGTAAGATGGGGAATGCGACGTCTGATACCCCTCGGTATGTTCAGGACAACCTGAGGAGATATGCGGCCGAGCTGTGTCAACTGATCCTAGAAGACAAGGCAGTGGTCTATGTCTGTGGGTAAGTAATTTCCTTGAGCATTCAAGCTCTATTAACCTTAGCCTTGTCAGATGCAACAGAGGGCAGCAGGTGTGTACGTCTGTGGGACCTTGCTGCATTGAGCCATCAACACCAGCAAGTACGGAAAATGCCTATTGTGAGACAACAGAGCCTGAATGTACGCAATTTTGTCTCTGAGATTCTGGACCCCTCGCCGACCCGCCTATGGGCATTTTACACAGGGTTGCACTTTCTCTTGCTATAAGTTTTGACATAATTATTACTAATGGTTATCACCCGAAGAAACATTCGTGTTGGAATTTTATCTGGGCATTTCACAAGAAAAGATGTTGAGAAATCAGTTGGAGATGGGTAAAAACGAATTTTACGTACGACCTTAGTTGTGCGTACTTTGTGCTGTACACGTGCGAATCAGTACGCGCACATGTAGTTGTCTTGTTAGCGCACGGAGTCCTTCAGCAAAATACTTGCCTAATTTGCAATTTCTGACTTTATAGTTTCAAAGAAATATTTTAGCGCTTCCTTGAAATTTCAAATCACAGTACACTGTATCAGGAAAAACCCCAAAACATCAACTTAGCGATCCCAAAATTGCATGTTCCTTTGAATTTGTCATTAAAATCAATTTTTTGTTGGTTGTCTTGCAGTGATGCCAAGAACATGGCTAAGAATGTGACGACCACCTTCAGTGACATCTTCATGCAGGAGACGGGGAGAACTGCTTATGAAGCGGCCTGCCTGCTGGCGACGTTACGTGAAGAGAAGCGTTACGTGGAAGATGTATGGACATAACCCTACCAAATGATGGTATAGATGATGTGATTGAACAGTTGCAAACTACCTTACTTGCATGTAGTTTACTTAGTATAAACTAGGACCACGCTAAGACCAAGTAGACAGGCTGGTTTGGCACTATGCCTACTGCCTCAAGCAAAACTTTTTTCCCAGGAATATGAATGTCGTATTCCTTTTTATTTTTCTCTTGAATAGCACAAATATTGGTATTAATATCAGGTAATTTATTTTTTCTGGTAGACCTTATGTGTTAAGGCGGGTCAGAGGGTAATGGTTTTGTATCGCTGGGGTCTGACGAAGAAACCTATTTTAGTATTTACTGTAACTAAATAAAAATAACAAAGAGCCCTTTCAGAGATACGTGCAATGCACATGGTCTATTCGGTACATGTACTTGCCAGTCATCACAGTGCTGTAAATATAAATAATATTTTAGTAAGGGTGTGATGTGAACACGCTTAAACGTTTAAACAAAACAAATCTAAATCTATTTACAAATGTTTCCAAAAACGTTTAAACAAATCTTGAATTCAAAAAAAGAAGGATAAACTTTCACGCGATCTTCCTTCTAAGTTAAACGTACGTAGCACAAATAATTAACGATGTTTCAAAACCTGCACCACAGTGCTTGATTACATTTAAGGTACTTTTGAGGTCACTTTTTCAGTAACTCTGCTTTTTTTTTTAAATTAAGATGTGCCTTAGCTTTTAAATTGTATCTTTGTTAAAGGGAATGTACATCATTGGCTTTTGCTGTAATTTTCAGAAATTAACTGTTTGAGGGGTTAGTATAATAGATCAAATATTGTTACACTGACATGTTTGAAGTTTTGTGTTCGAAAATGCTGGAAAAACCAAGAAAAACAAAAATGTTCAAGTAGTCTGGTTCCTTGACTCCACTAAAGATAAAATGGATCAATTTATAGATGCTGGAAATTGTAAGGTAAGGGAACCAGTCTAGCTGGCCTGCACCCGTTCATGAACATGTAACCAATAGCAAACAAAATTTGGACTGAAAAAAGTGTAAAGTTGGAGCAGTAGTTGAAAAATAGTTAGGTTTTTCCAACGGTGGTCGGCCGACCACCGTTGGAAATGTATACAAAAATACCATTTTCTTGAAAATGACTCGACACCAGGTGCCATAATTTTACAGGATGCTTTAGACTGTCATTGACCAACATCCCTGTAAGGTATTCCGTAAAAACTTGGTAGTTTTATTTTTTGATGTTTACAAATGTTGTATATTCCCTTTGAGCACCTTGAGCGTCTTTTAGGCAGACTTTGGCGCCATATAAATTGTCATTATTATTATTATTAATATTTTGCATATATCAATCGTTGATTTATCATGTCAATCATGCCGGTTTGCGAGATAAGGGGCAGGTGCAGCCTTTGTGAAATTGCTTAAAGTATAAATAGTTAAACGGTATTTAAAATATTGGCTACACATTTACAAAATTAAATGCAATGTCACATACTTATAATTTTAGGGATGCAAAATGTCTTGAAGAATTAATGTCACTGTATTCTTAATATCCTAAACGAATATAGTGCTGAATACATCACACATATTTCACTAACAGCTTTAATCAGTGTTATCTGAATGACAACAAATCTGTAGCTTGTTTCTAAATCTTCCTACTGAACTGTTATCTAAGAGCACTAAATTCAACAGACCACAACACAATGCAAGTACTCATTTTGTTTACAATCAGTTTAAGCTTAATCTGCACACACTTTTCCCTTTCTCCAGCACAATAATTCACGACTGACTTATCAGTATCTCATTAAAACTACAATTCATAAATACCTCAGACAGTTTAGCCATTCCTATTGGTCGAGAGCCCGTCACGTGGCCGGTATTAAACGGATGATAAAGACATGGCTAGCTGGTCTTAAACACTTTTCCAGTGTCACAATAAAATGTGGACTCCTAAAAATCCAGTGCCTCTTATCGTTTCATTGGTTGAACGTTCACAATCCTCACGTAGGCATGCGCAACACTACCAGGGAGTTAGAATTTTATAGTTCTAAATTCAAAACGCAACGCGCCAGGTGCGTTCTGCGCGACATCGCATAGAACATGATACGCGCGCGTCAATCTCCATAAAAGGGTTGTTTTCATCTTACTCGCCAGCTGAACACTCCATTATTTTGCAGGAGGGATGATTCAAAAAGCATAAAGTGAATTTATTGAACAAAATCGGGATGTTTTGAACGAATTATATGATTTTTTTTTACCGAAAAGGTATTTATGAATGGGAATAAATATGTGCTCGGTCGGTATTTATCACTCTGTTTAATACCACTTAGAGTCTGGGTGCTGATAATTACCCTCGCCTCCGGCTCGGGTAATTATCAGCACCCAGACTCTAAGTGGTATTAAACAGAGTGATAAAAACCTCCGGAGCACACATTTATTCCCTTATTAATGCACATAGTATTTAGAATTGTGAATTTAGAAGTATGTTTCATGAGAAAGGGGTCTTATAAAGAAATATATTATAAAAACTTCACAACTTCACAGAATGCACATAGTATACTCCACAGAAGTGTGAATGTGGAAGTACATTGTATGGTCATGAGAAAGGGGTCTTATAAAGAAATACATTATAAAACTCCATTCATTGACGTTGTTCCGCTTGTTTATTTGTAGAAAACAAATAACTTATCAACTGAACTACTTGTCCATTAAATTTCAAGGAATGAAAGGAAGAAAAAAATTGGAACTTGAAGTTTTATTTATTTTTACTTCCAGAAATCATACTCCCCCCCCCCAGTTTCCCATAAGATGCCAAGAGCAATTTGTATTCACTCTGCTACTTTTTTGTGTGTGTTGACAACACCCTTAATACTCGCCTTAAAATGTATTTTACTCGCCTTAAAATGTATTTTGTTTGCATTGTCATTGTTTTTGTCAAATATGCATCTACATTGTACATAGTATTTCTTAATCATGAAATCATTTGACCACTTGCATTAGAATAATCAATAAAAACCATCAAATAATTTGCGTGTAGATGTTGAGTTATAAACTTGGATGTTGAGGAATCGAAACTAAAATGGCATTTTGCGTAGGTGCACTGTACATCCTTTGACCTATTGTCTTAGATGAATCGTTCTGTTTTTGGCATGTCCAAGCCTTTTTCACCGCCCATTTCACCGTCCATTTCACTGTCTGGTGTTTTTGCAGGGCTTTGACCTGCTATTTTGGTTCTTGGTTTTGGTATCGGTGGAGCCACCTTGTTGCTTTTTACGGATTGCCTGACCCCACCCATGCTGATACGGTCATTGACGTATAGTGCAGAGTCCCTCTCCTTCTCAGGCGGGCTGTATTGAGGGGGTGGAGGACACTTGAACCTCTCTGACTTCATCCTCCTTGTTCGTCGATGTTCAGAACCTCTGTTTAAGCTTGAGGGGTTCCTCACCGAGGTCACGTAACCTCGCACAAACGTCTGATTGCAAGGTGACCCCGCAAAGCGCTGGATTGGGGGAGAGCGAGGTACCTGATAACGTGCCATCTGAGTCTCGGTTGATGAGCCTTCTCCTGGACTTGGCAAGGCCTTCAGAGCAGAGGATGCAGGTGTTGAGGTGGTGAAGCTCATCCCAACTGGTCCTTCCCTCGTTAACCCTAGCTCAATCGGTTCTTGGGTAAAGCAGGCAGCATTCAAGCCTTTGTTGAGGACCACCACGTACTCCGTGTTACTAGAGCATGATCTAAGAGCTCTACTACATGCATCTTGTGTCGTCTCAGCAGGTCCTGGCAACCTCAAAGCAAGATCAGCATAGGGATAATTATATTCCAACTCATCATCGGAATCACTATCACAGCCAACACCCACCCCATCCCTGACTGAGTTTAGTCTCTCATCCAGCGGTTTCGTCTTGTTGACTGAAAACACACTGCTGTTGGTGTACCTGGGATTATGCACCTGATTCCTCAGTGCACCCAGAACGTGAGCCTCACGGACCTCATAGATGGTGTCCCTGCACTCTGATAAGGACTCTACCATGGAGATTGTTGTAGATGTTGAAAGGCAGGACAGGGGTCTGCCGGTTGAATCTAGGTTAGTCTCTCCATTTGTTATCAAGTCCCGCATGCCGACATACGAAGTGGAACATCTACCTGGGAACCTGACTGAGTAACCTTGGTATTTGGTGCCACGGGCTCCAAATGAGAGCGTCGACTTGAGTGAAATATCTGAAAAGCAAGGTAGAATTGAATGGATTGACAGGTGTGTATGAAAACAAAGCTTGCTATTTTCGATTTCAGCTTAGGTCAGTGTAGCTGACCATCCTGTCAACAGAAATCCTAGAGCAAGGAAGGGAGATGGTATTAGAGACCATCCAGTGAGGAGGTGATAAGTGAAAAGTCGTGTAGTTGATCTCAGGCTTCAAACTTGTTTCATTTCACAAGTGTGTGATCATCGTGACCTCGCTGAAAGAAGGACCGTTTTGATGCTAGAGAACAGGAGAAGCTCTCACTGCAATCTGATTCAGACCCTACGAAGGCATCGAAATTTGTATCATCCAGTGTTTTGGTATAAAATGTTAGGGCTTGAAGTACGTACCTCCCGTGTTAAAATTGGTATTTTGTGGTTAGGATATGTCATGACTGGGAGATGAAACAAAGTTATACATGTACATCATCTTGATACTCCTGATACTACTAAACAATAGTTCTCAGTACCTTCATTGTCGACAAGTGGCCTGTTCGCTATGGGCGTCATACTCATTGTTCTTTTCCTGGAAAAAGAAAACCCGATATAATTACCATTACCATCAATTTTAGGTTACGATTTTAGGGAGTTAATGGCGAAGTAATTTTCTGTTGAATTGTAGGAAGGGATTTTGGAAAGTTTTAAAATAGTTTTAATTCAAGAGCTGGATCCAGCTCAACAAAGGGACAATAGAAAATAGCCTTCCTTTTCTATTGTTGGCCTTCATTTTTATCAACTTGGATACTCCAGTACATTTACTCCCAACTCTACCTCGAACCCCATATTTTATTTTCGCTGCAATAAAATGTTCGGCATCTAACGCTCACCGGACATTGAAGACTCGTCTCGTCCGTCTCTTGCGGACTGCGTACGCAGTCGCACTAACCAGGGCCACAACTGCCGCTATGCCGCATCCTGTCAGGGTGGCCATGCGGAATGCATGCACCTTTAACCCGGGAGCATCTGGTATGGTTGATATGTTCTCTGTGTGTCAGTATCAGAAATGAAAAATAGGGTCTGATAAAAACATGAGGTCATGACAAAAAGTGTGATTGATCAAACAGGTTAAAAATTGATCGGGTGCATTTATGAATACAGTGCGAATACAGAATATTTCCTGGGTAGCACTGCCGCTGTTCCTAAGACTGGATTTTGATTCATCTTGTTGATAGCAACCTCAGCAGTCGCAGCGGCTTTATCGTGCCAGTCAGAGACTGGCTGTAAAAAGCAAATTCAGTCTTGGACAAAGACAAGATACACAAAGGAGTTTACCAACTACAAATAGCGCCCTCACATTGTGTCCACCGTAAAAACTATGTGCTTAGAGAGATTGCCAAGTCACGATGTACAAGTGCCTCTCAGACATCGCAAAATACGTCACACGTAACAGGCGAAGGGGTCAAAGGCTTAGAGGGGCTCATAACCGAGTTATTAGGGGCTTTCTCTATAGTGTGTCATTAACGGCGATCTTGGCCGCTATGGTCTTGGTCCAAGGCGCCAACGATCGAGAGAGGATCACCTCATACGAGCCTACGCCCGTGCGCTGTTTGTTTCGCAGGAGTGCGTCTTATAGACACCTTGCAGCTGACGTCACATCTGAGGGCAGGTCTTTGTTCGCCTGTAACACGCTTGAATAGCATGTACTGTCGTCAATGAATTTATATGATAAAATCTGTCCTTTGTGAGGCGGCACCGATCATACGCGCTCTTTTATGAAAATCGGCCGTGTAGCGGCACTCCATCATCTACGTCTTGGGCGAAGATCTACACAAACAAAGTTGGCCCTTCTTGACTCGGTATATGGCTTTGTGCACATTCAAAATAAAACTGGTTGTCCCCCGGCGTACTTCGCTATCCTAACTTTATAAGCGCGTATATACCAAGACGCGCGCACACGTGGTGTTTTCCGTCCACGGGGCTTTCAAAACTGGTAAATAAAACTTGCTCTTGCACCGAGAGTAGCTTAACGGATCGCATAACGCAAAAAAATTCTTTCCCGTCTCAACAAAGCCACGTCTGTGAAAAAAATATGAAGCCTGTGAGTTGTATTTTTGATCCGTCGAAATCCGTAAGTTGCGTTTCCCCCCTAGAGTTTTTTTACTGTGTAATTAATATGAACAACGGTGCTGTTTTTATATGAAAATAATTATGCATTATTTCCTAAGTTTAGAGAGTCATCGGACTGTTAGACTCACGTGGACTCGTGCATGAACCTGTGTCAGACGTACACGTGACGTTGCCATCACAGTGACACTGAAGGAGGCAATCTGGACCATAATACCCCGGCGAACATGGCACATTGCATCTGTGAAAGAGCATTTAAATAAAAAGTCATAATAACAGTCTGTTCATAATGGAAAAAAAAAAACAACAACCTGAATTGGAGGTGATATATACGGATAATGCAAGTTCATTATGAAACAAATGAAATTTATTGAATTGTGTTCATACAGTGTATTATGATTATTATGATAATCAGTTAAATGTTCATACGTCTTTGAAACAAAACTTCATGTAATATGCATCACTTTAGACAATAAATCCCCTGCATGCAGCAGCGTACTTGGTGATTTAGTTTGGTAATTGTGTTTCATCGAGACAAAAGCACACATGGAAAAGATGGCTGTAATGATGCAATATCTATAGGCTAGTAAAGTTTGGCATCCTAATATGTTCTCCCTATACAATAATTATCTTACTTGTGTCCCGAGAAGCCGAGTGGGCAGGCGCAATATCCATCCGGGTAATTGCATCTTCTAGACGGGCAATCACACTCGTAAACACACCGACCAGCTTCAAATAGTACCGGACATGCCTCGTTGCACGTCGGTCCCTGCATTGGGGGTGGGGGGGGGGGGGATATTGGGGGAAAAAGTATAGTCTCTTGGAGAATAGTATGTGAAATATTAGAAATATTATGCACCAATCCGAAATAATTATAAGCGTATTTTCATGTTATATTGTATAATTAGGCTACGATATAGTTTCAAACAAGCGTGTAAATAAAGCAATACGAAGGACTCTGAAAACCGTATGAGTCGACTAAATCACGGTTACTTTTTTATGTTGCGAAAATAAGAGCTAAAATATGAAAAGGGAATTCGTTCGTGCTTTAAGAAACCAACATGGCTGATTGCCAAGCTATAAGCGTTGGGAGGGTGGGGGGGGGGTGGAAAGGCAAACTGGGAGGGGGATTTCTATTCGCTCTAGCCCTCTTATAATCGCCTCTTCCTGTTCCCGTAACCACACGTTGGTGTATTGCTTTGAGTACATTTTGATGCTTCGTCATTTTTCAAGAGTGGAGTGCAATGAAAGACATCTTCATACTCGGAGGCAATTTGAGACGCATTTATCTTGAATTTGACCGGTCAGTGCCAATAACGCATACGTGGATCTCATCACGTGATGAGGCACGTGACTCGTTCATTACTATGGCCTTGACCATATTCGGCCTTCAATGATGCATTATTAAGAATAAACATTTACCAACAAGATTTGCAAATAATTAATTCGACGATCGATAGCGTCTTGCTTATAGAGGCAATATTTTGGAAAAAAAACTACAGAAGAACACTCACCGCCCAATGATCGTCACATGAGCAGTAATTGGGCGCGGCACAATAGCCATGGTTGCAGGGCGTATTGCACACAGCTATGACAAATACAAACACACGTAAATAGTCAAGAATATTATAAACTTGAAATCATAGTTATTAATATAATACTACTTGGTTTTTTTTTAATCAAATTTGAAAGAGGGTTGAACCAGTGGCTGTTTCTTTTCTGTAAAGAAAAAAAATGCGAAAATTACAACACTAATCATATCATGACATGTGTTTGATGTTTTATATTTTTTATTGATACACATGTCCGCTCCCGCCTTCGTTTTTATGGTGAACTGTCCTATTATCAGGTCAAATGGTAGCTGACTTGAAGATAGCTTGTTTTACCAAATGATTCAAGGAACACAATGTTGTTTTAATGCATCCTATATGAGGTTCGCAATTAACGACGTCTAATTTAGGTAAACTGTTGTACCATCAAATGCTCAATTATATTTCATGTCAACTAATTTCAATTCAGAAATATTGATAACACTTCCAAAACGCTCGCTCCATGTATGCTTAAATTTTTAAAATGTTGCATCAAAACATCCTTGTATTCACGCATTCATCCAATTTCATACCCATTCAGTAAGTACAACCCCAGACACGACGCGTACGGGTAGGATATTTTTCAGGAAGTCTTCATTTCAGTCATTACAGGCTTAGGGACAGACGAGTTCTTTTGGACACCCTTGGAGAGACCTTAGCCAGGCTATTGACCCCAGAATGCCCCAAGCAGTGTCATCGCTCGACTTTTTGTTATGACTTGCAATGAGAGAGGAACTTTCTTGTCTCATATGGGAAGTCTTCAACAGTTAACCGGAAAAAATATCAATTTCAAGCTATAGTCCCCTGTAAAAATGACTGACACACTTTGGAGTAATACTGGTTCTAAGACAGAGAAACAGTTTTACATTAAATATCCTAAAGAAGTCATTCTTTTTGACATGATATCCGTAAAATTTAACTTTGATACGGAAACAGTATGTGAAAAAAAAAATGATATTAATATTGTCTGCCAGCGATTTCTTGATATTTTGGTGCGCGGAAAAATGTGCCATCACAAGCTCATTTGGGGAAACTGAATGTTGGTGCTTGGAACCGTTAGTTGCATCGTGCACTGGGAAGGATTTTGGTTTGGACGTTAGGGGGCGCTCTTTACGTTACTTACCTTGGGGACATGAGTCGCCTATTTGAGCCCATCCATCACAGCAGCGATATTCCATCAGATCATCTGACTTGAGCTGCCATTCATACGGTCTCAATGCGTCTTGATGGTATGGCCTATATGCACAACGTCAGTTGAGAGATAGGCAACATATTATTGTATGCAAAACCGGGGGGGGGGGGGGGGAGGAGCTTGCTGGACACAACATGGCACTACGGGCGCTGCTCATGATGCAGATGTAGGGCCTACATCGTACATCGTATACTTGCGCCCATTCACCTGATAATCAAAACGGCGCATTTAAAGCTTTAGTACTTCATCTCCCTTTTTCAGTACTATCGAATACATCTTTGGTTGTAAGGAAGTTCGGAAAAAAAATGCCTCAAAATGCGCTTTTTTTGTTTCTTACCATGAAAAAGTGTGGGGGCGGGGATTTTCGCCCATGCTTCTGTGTTTTATTTTGAATCCCAGATTAAAAAAAAAAAAAGAACTGTTGAAAATCTGTGCACCAATCAAAAACTCCAATGTGGTTTACGTCAATACCATCTTAAACCGCCATGCATCGCGGTGTCGAATGAACAGGGAAACTTCAATGTTTGGAACTGATTAAGCCGCGAGGGGTCAACACATTAAATTCGTTATTAAAACCTCCAGAGAGCAATTACCCTTTTTTGTTTGGGTATTGTTTTTGAGGTTGTTAAACTTGATACTGAATTCTCACAGGACCATGAAGGTGTGACTGTTATCACTTTTCTTAATCCCTATAATTTCCTCTTCATTAGTCATTGTAGAATACACCTGTGAAGCGTCAAGTGTCTGCAAGAATCACTGCAAGTTCTGCTTGTGATTATTTTTTTTTGCTGAATCATAAACTAGCCCTGCAGACGAGGTCAGACGTTAGAATTTTCCTGAACGCAAGACATAATACGGTGTGAAAAAAAGTCAATTATTGGCAGGCTAAGCTCTCTTGTTATCGTAAAAAAAAATCCCGGAAAACGGTAATAAAAATGGAATTACCGAGTTTGAAAACTTCGTTGTTAAGCGGAAATCAGTCAAGGATTAGCTCTTGATCTCAGTATCTACACTGCAAGCTTTAATCCCATTAAAAACAGCACACAATACTTTTGCACTGAAATTTTAGGCATATAGTCTCTTTTGTTACCGTAAATAAAATCCGAAAACGGTAATAAAAATTAAAATACAGAGTTTGAAAACTTCGCAGTTAAGCGGAAATCAATCAAGGATAACTTGATCACGGTATTTACGCTTGAAGCGTAAAGTTTTCTCGATAAAGTTAATATCCACCGAGCTGAAACTTCAACAGGCTGAGTTTTGAACGTTCTTCTAAACGTTCACAGTGGTAGATACTAATTGCAAACGTGTTTATATGGCTCGAGTGATGAATGTTATGGCTTAAAGCCGTGTTTGGCTGAGAAGTTTCATGTAGGAATGTCTTTTTTGTCGTTCTAGTTATAAGAGTGCACAAACTTAAGGAGGCCTTTTGAGGAAATAGAAATAACAAACGTATTAGAACTTTCCCCCCATTTTGTAATGTCCCGTTTTCGCCAGCAATAAAACAAGAGTAGTGTCGGTTACATCAATTTCTGATCCGTAAATTTTTTTTTTGGAAACTCATTTCCTGAGCTGAAAAAGATCATTAGTCATAATTTTCCTGTCTGATTTTTTGTTTGTTATAGAACTGATCGAGAGAGAAGCCTCAGGGTCATGGGACTCCCAATCAAAATCCTGTCCCTCGGAACTTACTCATTCCACTCAATCATTTTAGTGTCGATATTCGAAAATAAAAGATGGATGGCTTGTCAGCTCCAGGGTTCGTCACCCACATCTAAATTCAAGAAAAAGTCTCCCATTTGTTCCTCTATATATAATTATGCGCCTGAATTTCGTAAATTGCACGTGTAATATTCTGGGAATTTTCTTTCAGACTCTACAAATGAACGTTTTCCTCCTCGTCTTCTCCCTGTAGTTTCTTCAGCTTGCAAGCTATGATAGCTGTGCACTTTTTCTTGATTTCCTTACGGCTCAGAATTAAAACAAAGAATTTATGATAACCACTATACCTTATTAGAAATTCATTTAACTTGACACTCACCGTTTGGGAAGATGGCAGACATTGCGCCCTCTTGGGTTGAGAGCGTATTGGTCCCCCAAAGCGATCTGGCACAGCAGACATAACAGAGAGATGCAAAACAAATGCAATCGCTCCATGTTTCTGTCCGTTCAGGAGTTAGAAAATAAGACAGGTATCCTTTCGAACTGGTGAAGATGAAATGTGTGTTTAAAAGTAAGCACCAAATCCCCACACAGCATGGCTGTGCTCGAGGAGTTCAACGCGAGCCATTGTTATACTGTATAGGATATGGATCATCATGATTTACCTCATTAGCAAACGGACATTGAATTTGTGGACGGGCGTGGTAGGAACTGCGTAGCCGCAGGGGTGCAAAACATCAGTTCTTTGGATGGTCAAGGAAGGGTTGAGGGGAATATGGTCAATCAATTTGCGTAAGTATTGTTCTGTGGTGGTAAATATGTGATTGCTTCATCCGGGTTGGATGGATATGATCCTTATTGATGGGGCTACACCCAGGTAGTCTGAGGGCGTGTCTTGTCCAGCTAATTAGGATATATAATTCACGAACAAGCCAATTTAATTTGTTGTTTTTTAAATGCTGTTTACAGTTTTGAAAGTGTTCGCCTTTTGTCCGCTTTGATCCAATCTATTGCACTTAGAATATGAATTAATTTTCGAACTACACTAGATATTTACTATTTTGTCTCTACGATGATTGTTAACAGTTGCTAAAATTTTAACATCAACAATCAATGCTATATTAATGGTGTTCTACATATATGTCCCCAAAAAGTGTCCGTCTGACTGTTTTAGATAACTTCAAAACCGTGAGGTCAATTTTGAAAATGTGTGGTTGTGCAGATACTCCTAAGCCTTGGCCTCAACCCCTATGAGTTTCATTTAATTTCAGTAATGCATCACTACACAATTGCCAATTTGAGCACAACATTTTTGGACACTATGACCAAGTTCCATGCCTTAATCAATTTCAATTCTGTGGTTTGTAGGCCTCAGCTGGGTAAAATCCTGCATGTTGAGAAAAAAAGGCTGATGTGGTTTGGGAGTGGAATCATTTGCCCTTGAGCATTAAACTGATGTCTTGCCATGATGACTGATAGCCAGGCAAAAGATTCCAATCCCAACTGCAGCCCTTTTCACAACATGAAGGATTTTAGACAGCTTACTTAACACAGTACTAAAGACAAGGAACTTGGTCCCAAAAAAGTGTCCAAAATGTTGTTGTGATCAATTGACAATTGTGTAGTGATGCGTGACTGAAATTAAATGAAACTCAAAGGGGCCGGGGGGGGGGGGGAATCCGCCCCCTCGACTTTTTTCCGCAATAGTCTTGAATTTTTTATTTTCGCGACCCGAGCTGTTATGACTTTTTAGCCTCGAGCCTTGCGCATCTTTCGATACCAAAAACATAAAAATCGGAATTTTTCGCGCCATGAAAACTGAATTTCCCCATATACGTAGTTGTACACAGAGCAGAATTACAATAAGTGCATATGAACAATTATTTATCCATAATTCCAAAACCCTTTGACCTATAGTCACGAAATTTCTTGGGTATGTTCTTGATGAGTTGCTCTATGCATGGACCAAGTGTCGTAATTTTCAGTCGCTCGATGGCCGAGATCTTGGGGGTGGAGGCTTCATCCACTCGGCTGAGAGCTGGTCAAAATAGCCCGGCCTTTTTAGGGTTTATGGTCAATGTAAAACTGCATTCGTTTAGAAAAGGTAAACCTCCCCGCACGTCATCAAATGGACATTCGCAACCTTGAAGCCAGGGCCGGGAGAAGAATTAGAAACAATTGTGTGTCAATTCAAGGGCAAACTGGCGACGTTCACTGTTTGTAGGTTAATTGCACGCATCCCACTGCCATGTCAATGCGAATATTCTTCATGTCAATAAAATGTTTGACGGCCCTTTTTCTTTTATTTGAAGAAGTGATTTGGAATTCGTATGAAGAGCAATTAGTAGTGGCACCTGTTTCTCGCGATTGGCTGTGTATTTTAACGTCCCGTGGAAAGTGAATAGCGAAAGCTATTGTCAGACATTGACCATGACGTCGGTTTTGAACAGCGCCCCCATGGAAAGATGGTGTCCAGCCCCGCTGGATGAAATTGCCCCCCCCCCTTGTAACATCAAGCCCCCCCCCCCCCACTTGCGCCCTTGGGTGGGAACCGTGGCTACGCCGCTGCCTCCCCCACCCCCGTTCAGCCGCTGACTAGTATTATTATTTATATTAGTAAAATGAGGCAATAAATAATACATGGAATGTTAAAGTTCCTAACTTTATTCTCGAACCGACTTGTAATGTAAGAGGAAAAATCGTAGATTTCACAATTTTTTTTTGGGGGGGGGGGGGGGGGAGAGGGGTTCGGGTATGCCCCTGGACCCTCAATCATTAAGTGCATGTCTTCACTCATTTCCCGTCATTCCAATATCCCCCCTTTCCTGAAAACAAGTTCCGCCCCTGCAGGCCAGTAGTGATATGCGAAAAACATTGCAATTAAAGCAGACGCGCTGATGCACACTATGCATTTGTTTAATAACAAATGAAAACAATGCAGATTTGTCCTTCCGAACACATTGCCTAGATGTCAACCTTTGTCTCATAATGAACAAGACGCATCCCAACCTACTATTATGCCTAATTACTTATGTCTAATTTAAATTGAATTGAAACATACTTTTTGGTGAAATGGAAGAACTGGATTATTACTATTTTAAAAAAAGAACTGTCTTAAAGTCCCGGCAAATCAAGGCAATTCGCACTTCTTAAAGTTCTATTTTTACTGATTTGGTATAATTTATTTGGGGGGTGAGGGATGAGCGGTCCGACCCATTATTCTCCCCGTGATTTCAAGATTTTGCTGATAGTGTCTTGGTTGAGGGTCTGCGACTGGATTATTCTTTCCATCAACACGGGGGCGAAGTCTCTCATCTTTGTGATTTGGAAGGCTTGAAATGGGTAATACACCTCCCTCTCGCGGTTGGCCGTCCCCTTGATGATGCGCAGAGCAGTGTCATACGGAGTGGTGGAGAAGGTTTGAGGCAGGAATATCTTAGTGGTGTCTTGGGCTACAGTGGTGGTGTTGATCCCACCTGCAAACGATGCAAGATTTGTTTGTAAATCGTTAATGTATGGTGTTATGACCATTGGTGAGCTATAAAGCGCAAACATCTTGGGTACCCTTGACGAGAATTTTGTTCGGGGGATGAGGGCGGGGCTGACTTTTATTTCAGGGGTGGGGCAGGACATAGTGCAACGTGCATCCATGCATGGGGCGGAGGGGGATGATCGGCCCCTTTCCCCGGTCACTTCATATTCTTCAAATGCTACTTTGCCTATAGACCTTATGCGATAAGGCGGAGTTGGAGGTCAATGGACCGATCCAGTAAGCACCGCCCCATGGTGTTCTGACCAATTACAGCTGTAATTTAGGTCCGACGTGCGTGCACAAAAGTCCGACTTCGTGCACGCGCGTATGATGCGCGCGGCAGGAAAATGCAGTGTGGCATTGGAGAGGAGCACGTGTTAATTTGCCCAGTGCGCAGTGGGCGGGGCTTACTGGATCAGTCCATGGTTTTGTATCGCACGGATAGTCATAAATATGCGTTTTATACATTGTCAATAAAATAATATGGAGTACCCTCCCACATTATGTCCATTCAACCCTATCCAGGAGCATCAGAATTGAAACTTAATTTGATGAATAATAATGACCGTGATGGCGTACCGAGAACGAAGGTCGAAATGGATATCCCAAAGTTCTGCATTTCGTATTCCTGTCGTAGAGCATCGAAGAAGCCGTGAAGAGCAAACTTGGAGGCGCTGTAGACTGCCACAAATGGGAGACCAATCTTGCCTGCAGTACAATAAGCACATGTCTTAGGTTACCAGAAAGTGATGCAGTGGTAAACATTTTAACACGCACCTGACCCGCTAGATTGCAACACGCATATTGTCCAGCCTGACTACGCCCACTTCTCTCACGACCACGCCCTTCCTCGCCAAGACACACCGCAGCCCAGCCTTACCACACCCTACCCAGTCACGACACGCCCCTTATCACCTACCCGCACCGGATGACACGACACCGATATGACCGTTGCTTTTCTTCAGCATGGGCGTGGCATGTGTGGCCAGTCTGATGTAGGCGTAGAAATTGATGTCCATCGTCTGCATGTGGAAAAGCAGTGTTAAGAGGGTCTGTGAATCTCTGGAAGACACCAATGTTAACCGATGTTTAACACAAATCACACACAATCTACAATGAACCTTAAAAATGAACAAATGAGTATCAACTTCTTATGCGGTGACCCTACAAACTATTTTAAAAAAGTGATTTATTTTCTTCTTAACATTCTTCCAGACGCCCCGCCCCCGGATCGGTCCAGAAATCGGGGACCAATGTTGGGTCCTTAAAGATCTAATTGTCGGATAACTTCCCAAAAGGACCAGCCTTTGTCTGCACCACTGACCTTCTTCATGACGGAATCGAACTCCCCTTCCCAGAATTTCGGATAGGTATTGATGATGTGATTCAGGATAAGATGGTCCAGTCCTCCGAACTTCTTCTGAGCTTCATCAATCAGGGTCTTAGGGGCTTCCTCTTGAGCCATATCCAGAGGGACGTAGAAGGCCTCCTTGGCTCCAAGCTCCTTGCATTTCGCAACGACCTGGAGAAGTTTGACGAGATTGTTCAGTCGATATCGTGCCGAGACGCACACTTAGGTGACACATATTCAAATATGGAGGTCACTGGACAGAGGACAGTTCAGGTTCGCCGATTGGTGGGTCAGGTACTAATACTATAAATTGATTCATTTAAGGATGGTAAACTGTAAACCCAAATGGGAACTTTGACCCTAGAGGCCTAAACCACTAAAACCAGCACTACAATCCCGGCAAAAATGGTTGGGACACTTGGAAATAACGTTAGCCTCCAACGGTCACCAACTCCCCCACTCCCCCGGTCAATGTTGTTCTCTTCAGCGGATGGAGCACACACCGCGCAATGAGAGACAACATTGACCGGGGGCTGGGGGGTTGGGGGCCCAGCGCGATTTCGCCAGGATTGTAGATTGATTTAAGAAAAGCCATTAGGCTACATGTACAGTTCCTTGTATGTTAGCCTGTAAGGACAGGAGGCACATGCGAAAATATATGTTGCATTGTTTTCGAGTTTAAACGAACTAATATAACTGCAAGTCCATTACTTTTAATTAAGAGGGACTATTTTTCAGGAGGAAATTTTATGTCATTTCCCACATGTTGATCCGACCTGTTTGAGCACTGCTTCTCGCCTGGCGGTGATAAGTATCCGGGCACCGAACCTGGCGTAGTGATATGCAATCTCCTCGCCTATGCCGGTACTAGCCCCGGTGATCACGACTCTCTTGTCTTTGATGCTAGCTATGAATTATAATAAAATACCACAATATGATAAGATAACGTAGGACATGACATGGTACAGGCGCTGCAGGTTATGGACGATATTCGTCCGACTAGAGAGCTTAAAGGAGTGAACCGTCAACACTGTCTTTGGAGGGTAAGGGAGTGTGACGTGGAGGCACGAGAAAACGCAAGAGGCGATTGTTCCTTTGACGAAGGTTTTTACGTTGGGGCGTTTGTTTGTTGGTTTGTGTGTTGGTTTACTGTTTGTTGGGTTTTCTTTTTGTTTGTTTGTTGGGCTGTTTGTTTCTTTGTTTGTTTCTGTTCAGGAATCCAACGTCACCTTCGACAGTTCCAAGTGGTAGGGGTTATTCGCAGCGAATTGTTTCTTCTTTTAGAGTCTGTTCAACTTCTTTTTGAAATCAAACATGGTAGCAAGTTTTATTCCATACAGACAGAAAAGCAGTTGACCCCTTGGACTTTGTATCTCTAAAATAGTCAGGTCCAGTCTATATTTAACGTCCGGGCTGTTTTTAGATAGGAAAAAAAACCTTCTTCAAACAGTGACGGGAATACAATCATTAACCCTGTACTGGAGGGCAAGCCGTGATAGCAGTCATTCACGCGATGAAAATGCACGCAAAGATAGTGCAAAGATATGAAAGTCCAAATCCAACATTATTTGTAGTATGGCTGAAATAAGTCCGTTCAAATCAGGGAAATGTTACTTAAAAAATAAATCCGTGCACATATTCAAGGCAACATGTCCATTATTTCGAATGTAATCTGTGATGGAACCTAATTTGAGTTTGCTTCATTTCTTTCCAAGTATCCCATTCCAGTAAGAATAGTTCGCTTTAACTGAATGTCGGGTTTCCTCTTTTCCATTCCAAAACATGTTGATTTATTGCACTGGAACAGATTTAATATGAGTATACCGAGGTTTACGCATGTCAAGGAGACATTCTATAAATTTAGGGCCCAAAGTGCGACATATTTCCTGTCCCTGTTGCCTCTGGATTTTGTAATTTGCCATTCAAGTTTCATTCAGAATGACTTCAAGCAATTGTTCATTTGTTGGGTAGGTAGTTTGCTATTCATAATCACGCTTGGAGGACTACTACATTAATGAGTGCATCCTTAATTACACAATCGCACGTGTCAGATGAAACAGGGAGAGGGACAAATTGGGCCCCAGATTTATAAAGTGGCCCGCAATACCGTATTCACCATTTATCACGGAGGCCCTGTAAACTATTGTCTTCCGGTTGCACTCCACTTACCTGGATCAAACCGGTCGATGCTCTGATAGACAAAGTAGGCAACTATCCCTATGACTGCAAACGTCTTCCAACCCATCTTAAGAATGCCTTATTATACCCAATGATGAGACGAAATCACCAAGGCACCTTAGCATGCACGACGCGATAGCGGAGTAGACAAGCGTGCAGCTTGTTAATAATGGGCCTTTATGGTTATCGAAGTCTATGATCGTCGTTTTAAACTTTCAACTTTGGATCAAAAGTCTAAAGGTTTTCGAATCGCGGCTACTCAAAGTATGCTGACCTAGTAATGAGATTACCGAATGATTTCAGTCTCCCCCTTTAAATCTAGTGGCTATTTCCAAGTTTCATAAATGGCCTTATGTCGGCTGATTTATTGTTTAGCATAAGTTAAAATCATTTGTTTTTGTAATTGGTTTTTTTTGTACTCGCCCAACAATTTTCTCAAGACAGGACAGAAAGGGACTGCATTTAGCGAGCTCTATCCCGTATTAAAAACCGTCGTATATAAATCAGTAAACTTGCTAATTTGTTTTTCAAGAAAACGAAAAACTATTATTTTAAAATTAACGTTGAGAAAATAATTGTTTTGATTTCAAATTGCAAAATTGACAAGGAGGCACGGGTGTAATTTGAATCAAGCCGCTGCAGGCGTGCGGGCCACAGAGATGAAAAATGACATTAGTCTTCCAGGAAGGTGTTAAAATTAGCATCATGGAAGGGAGGGGTGGGTGGGGTGGGGGTTGAGAGGGTGTGGCATACATAGAGGACACACCCATTTGATCCTATATTCCTGTCATGTAAAACAGGGTTTTCTTTAACATGTTCTTCGTCATTGTTGCCCCAATGTTGAAATATGTACCGGTACAGTTGCCGTCAACCTATACAAGACATATAATAGGCCTATACGAACATTATGTTGCCTTTTTGGTTGATTTTCAGGACATACCTCCCACTTTTGGAGCAGTATTAAAAGGCATACGTATGATCACAACCCCTCCTCGAAGATCAATAAATGACGTCTTCCTGTCAACGTAACCTTGCCACCTACTGTCAAAAGCGGGCGCTGTCATGGGCTGTTAGGGTTCAGTTTATAAGGTGGGGGGGGGGGGAAGATAGAGGACCTCGTTTTCGGAAGGAGGGACGTCACTGCATATCCCCATTCGAATTATTCTGACGCCGTGCTCTCCCAGTCGTCGACCCTCAGTCGTCGAGACAATTCCGCCCTTGAACCCATTGGTGCCTCTGTAAGCACCTGCTGATTACCCCTAGGATATCCAATATTGCACAAACACTGCCCTCGAGGCTCGATTGTTGTGGCAAGTGTTAAGGGAGAGACTTAGAGTGTGCAGGAAGGGAATTTCAACCGATGAGGAGATTGCATTATGGGCCACCTGAGCGCCCTCAAGAACAAAATAAACGGGAATTTCCTGTCAAGTTGAGGGCAGCTTGATGAGTGCTTAACCTGTCAATCAGAAGTCTATTTAAGGAACGCAAATCCCAGAGAAAGAATTGAAGGGGTTTGAATTATAATCGTGTAGCATTAGGCCCTTTGGTAATCCGGCTTAGTATCTGGCTATTACCGTGGACATTGCGCGCCGAGTCATGAACTACAATAAGAAAACAAAAAAGACAAAACAAACCAAATTAATAAAGCAAAAACATTACTAAATTACGAACGTACGATCCAGAATCACCTTTATACATACAAGTCATGTTTGAACAACGCCCCTTTACTCAAATGGCGTCCAACCCCTCCCACCCTTCCCGCTTTTTGAAGGTTCCCCTTAATTCCGCAAATATTGACGAGAATAACAGATCCTGGGTTTGGTAATTTATTTTCGACAATCAAAATGGTCAGCAGCCGATGTCAGCTGGGAATGCTTTCACCAACTTTCAATTTTAACACTATTATCAACAGAACAAGACACCTTTTGGCCGGCGTTAACACGGGCACGTAATTTTTCTGACACAATCTCTCAGACACACAGCCAACTATAGCATCAATCATCCTTGCAATTCTTCCTGGGCTTTATAGGGCTTGGTCTTCAGTTTCCTGCCGCCCCCTCCTCCTTCCATTTTTAGTTCCAGCACAAACACAGATGACCATCGTCTGCACTTTCAGAACTATCCTGTCTTTCGCGAGCAAACACGAAACAACGAAACTGGCCACAGAGCCTTGATGTCATGCTCACAAAAGTCGATTCATAGTTTGGTGAAGATGGGCGTTACAAATGAATACTGAACAGAAACACACAGATCGTCACTGGTTTGGTTTTTTGCCGAGTACAGAAATAACAAGTTCGCACTGTTTGTGTTTACCTAAAATAACGGATCTACCATCGAACCTGATATGAAAGTACCTTCATGACGGATAATTGTCACCCGTTATATTGGATACGAGTCGGCATCTATTCGAAATTGTGACTTTTTATTAATTACGGTCGACAAAATAAAACTTTGAAAAGCTAATTGACGTTAAAATATTTTGCAAACGAGAAGGCGCTTCTCTCTCTCTCTGCTTTTTAGTATAGCTGTAACAAACCAAGACTTACATGCTCCATTTTTCATCAGGAGACTTCTCTCGGCGGAACCAAATTTCCCCAGAAACCTTCCAAGTAGCCAATGTGAGCTCCCTTGATAAGCCGACTTTTGTGTATAAGACTTTAAGATGCAGAATTAGGTTGGGTGACTTCTAAGTAACCCTGGGGTGGGTCGTGCGGGAAGTCCCGTGGGATCAAGACTTTAAAAGGGAGGCTGAGGTTTCCCCTTTCAAATTAGAACTGAAAGTACGTCCCTCTCTTAATGAATGTGGCGTAAGACCCTAAACCCGTACAAATAGGTGTATTCAAAATTATGTATTCAAAGGTACGGGTTATCAGCCCACAGTCTCTAAGTTGTTGTTTCCTCGTGTTTATTGTCAAGATTAGTTTTGGAGGGCGGCTGCACCGCAAGTAATATCTGCGTCTCATTGAGCATTTTCAGATCACTGACAACCCCCCCCCAGCAATTAGTACATGTATAATGCGACTTTCGTACTTCGTGTAGAATTTCAATATTGTATTGGAGCTCTATTTTTTGCTTCATTTTTATTTAATTCAGTTAACTTCTACTTTAAAGGTCTTTCTATTTGCTTGCCCTGTGACAGATATACAATACGCAAGTTAAATAAAAAACACCGGCCAATCAGCGGAAAGCTTTGAAGGAGTCGTTCCAGAGAAACTGCCTTGATGAGTCCATTTCTTAAGCAGGGGCGAGCCTCTATAATCCACGGAGGTTAAGACACGTCTGGCCTTCGGATCGTGTGCCTAACCAATTGAGTACATCCCAGTCCCTATACACTTTGGTCGGGTGATGACGTGACACTCAGCTAAGAGAGACGGTAAGCTCTCTCCGCGATACACACGCAGTAACTGAGGCTTTCCCGCCAAGGGAAGTTGGATATTTTTGTGTACAGATTATACCTTGAAGTAGAACTTGCTTATAGTGTACCTCTAGTTACATCTTACGGGAGGAATACCGACTAGAAGGACATCGCACTGAGAATTCCTGCCATGCAGCAAAGACGTGGAGAGAGTTGAGGTGGATGTCTGTTCTCTCGCCAGAGTTTTTTGAAAGAAAGTGAAACAACTTTTTTTAAGGATATGTTTGCCTTACTATTTTTGAAATCCCACAGCTGTGTAACACGCAACACCTCTGACACGACTTGATGGTTGCATTCTGTGATTTGGATTCACGATATCAGTGCCAATATGAATTTCTGGCGATATACTGGACGCTTGGTTCGCTTCTTCTGGATGATAGGTTTTGTTCTGTCTGTTGTTATTGTTGTTTTGGGACGAGGAGTGTCTGCAGCAAGGCCGAAAGGGAACAACGTCTGCACGCGGGTGAAAAGGTAAGAATCGTATACAACGATGCAGTCTATAAAGTGTAAATGATCTTTTGGCCAATCGAATGGTCGGGTGTCTGTGAAAGATTAAGGTGAGCAGCACACAACGACCATGAAGCATCCAGGGCGTGATTGATGTATTTTTAGAAAACAAATTGGAAACATTTTCCTATCTGTTCCAAAATAGTGTGTGTTTCCGTGTTCACAATCTCCAAGTGAGATTTCTGTTATGAGTTGCACGTGGCTCTACCCACCTTCCGTTATTATCAACACTAAAGTTTGTTGCTTAATAAACGAAATGAAGTTTGAGTGGGCTTCAAGCCACACCTTGGTCCGCCAGTAACCACACGATTTTCGCGAGGTTTTTTTCTCGTTTTGGTAACACTGATACTTGAATTTGAAATTTTCTTGAGGAAATCGAAATTCTTGTTTACTTGTCTAATTGTCGCAAACATACATTCTGTGTTAAGTTGTCCTTCCAGTCAATATCAATATCGGTAAATATTTTCAACAGTTAAGAGCTCCCAGTCTACATAAAGCAGGATTGACTGGCTGTAACTGCATGTGCATGTAACTTGATACAGCTTTGCTTTGACTGTGGGTAATTGATAAGCCGGCTCGGTTCCCACAACCTGCCTGCTTTTTCTGTTCATGGTCTGTTGACTGAGTTTGACTAGTCACAGTGCTTGCTTGACGTATAATCTGACTGCTGGTGACTAGCCTGTGTAAAAAGTACAGCAGGGGAAGTGGATGGAAATTGTAACTGTCTGTGACTGTTTAAATAGCAGGAGGGTTAAAGGATGCGTGTCTGAGGATCCAGGTCTGGATTTGGCTATTAGCGTGTATCGTGGGTAGTAATCAAATTATATTCTAAAAATAGTTTAACGGTGAAAGAAGTCACAGTAAACGGAAAGAAAGTGGCCCGATTTCAAGTTTTGTACCGGAGACAGATAAGCTTCAACCAATCTATACATCTCTTTATCTAATTATCATTCCTTAGCTTACGAAGCCGTGTACGGAAATAATGCGGTTCACATTATTTTGACTGATATCTGCCCGTCAAATCGAGATGAAATTAAAGGGTCCATGAAATGAGGTTTTCTTATAAGAACATATATATGTGCTCCTTTCTAGTCCTCTTAAAACTATGTATGAGAACTATTTGACACCCCTTTTTGGTTGATTTTATTTAAAAGTGCAACACGTCTAAGCTAGTTTGGGTACTTAAGTTTTTAAACTGATATATGAAGAACATTTTTGTTTATGAAGGCCGACCGTAGTTTTGTCGACTTGATAGGATAATAAACTGAGAACCCAAAAAGTTATGTGGTGTTGACCAAGTCTTCAGGAGTCGGACTTAGAAACTCAACTCAATGAACCCATTACTGACTCCCATATATGACTTTCTGGGCTTTCGGGTTTCCCGACCCACCTGTCCTGTCCTGTCCCGTCCATCAGTATAACTCGAAGGGTCAAGCACCATAAAGGGGAGGAAACGAAGCGGCACCCTAAGCCTTAATTGACAGCCGAGATCAGCCAAACGAGCCCCGTACCTTTACGAAGATGCCAACATGGACTTCGCGGACAGTCCCAACTGTTGAGCTAAGTTTTGTTGGTATTTTTAATACTACAGTAACTTAAATGTCTTAAACTAAACGACTGAATTCTTGTGAAGAAAATCAAAATGACACCAAGGGAATTCGAACCCGGGCCCCAACATCGGTGGGCAATGAACCTATGAACTCGGCCATTATGGCTACCCTATAGGAGCAGTCTTCAAACCTAGGTGTCTTTTGGATGGATAATTAGTTCCATCATACGTTGGCTCCATGCATGGACGATATAGTCTGCGTTTTTTGAGGAATAAGCCGACTGTCTGCGGCGTTAAGCTAGATGGGTCAGTCGATTCAAAGTACGTCAACTAGGCATATGCATGCTCAAAATTCTGCTTTGTATGACTCCTAAATTCCTAATTAATAAGCTAATTGTTTATGCTATTTTCAATTATATTAGAAAAACAACTCGTCGTTGACACAGATAGAAGGAATGGAAATATTCGTGTGATGAAATTTCACATTAAAATGCGACCAAAAATAAGAAAACAGTTTCGACAAACATATGGATATGTTGGTAAAAAAAAAAAATTGTGATGGTTTATCATAATTCGACAACCTGCAGTATATGAAAGAAATTCTCGAGGGTTCAATTATTTTGATTTTCTTTTGATTTTTTTTTGGTATTTTGGCTTCCTTTGAGGATGGGTGCGGTTCTTTTAAGCGGCCTTGAATATTCCTTTTGATTATATAGACCCGACACGAAAGGAAACATTCCACGTTGCGTGGGCCAACTCGGCTGAGGGAGATATGAAGGTCTGCCGGTATGCCCCGTCTCGGTTCTATGCAAAACTGCACCTGCTGCTCAACATAATGCGCCATCGTCTTGACATTAAAAAAATTGCTCATCCCCTGCTATTTTGAGATTTACACCGAATAGTAGGTTTTTTTCTCCATAATTTTCAATTTCTTGAAGTCAAAGGTTTTTCACATTGAACGAAAAAAAAATGAATTTATTGTTTTCCGGGAAGATTTAATAACATTTTGTAGGGGGGGGGGAGTCGTTCCTGGGGGGGAGGCAAACCCCGATGACAGTTTGCATATTTTTTAAGGAATAAAAAACACCAACACCTATTAAAACAATGTTTTTTATCTCAATTTTACGGAAGGGAAAAATGGGCCCACTTTTATTTTAGAAATTACCCCCTCCGCAACTAAAACCTAGATACGCAACTGAATAATTCAATCTGGAAATATTTGTAGCCCATTTTTTTATACGGATCATTTTTGTGTTAGAGGCACCTCAAAGCAATTTTTTTTTACAATTTTTCTTTTTTTGGGGGGGGGGGGGTTGAAACTGGATCTCATTCGACGCAAGGGGGCGCAAGGGGATGAGTAGCAGCGATTTGAAAATAGTCGTCTTCACTCCTCTTCTGGTTATATTACTTAAAAAAGAAATAAAAATTGAAACTTGGGAGGGGGGGGGGGGGACTGGCATGGCTCCCATGGGCAGAAACCCTGGATCTATCTTTGACCACCTCAGGCTACTCCTTTCTCTTCATTCTTATCACAAATCTGGTTCTTCTTCATTGAAGTTGAACATATTAGAAAATAATTATGAACTAATCTGTGGTCGATCTGATACTACTTATAAATTCTTTAGATACATGTTTTGACACCTGTGGGTCACATAAATGCTACCTGGTAGGTCAGGCTTCCTAGCTTCTAATGAATGACACATTTTAACTCCCCTGGCGTTTTGTCGAATTCTCAGGGGAAAAATCGGGGTTTATGGTATGATCAAATGATTTATTGTTTCTATTTTTACACCTTTTCAGGTTTCTCTTTGTCTAATTCTTTTTTTAATCGGTGATACATTGACTTGATAATCCGTAAACGCACGCTAAAAACTTCGTACAGGATACATAAAATACGAAAAATTAAGAATGTATTTCATATATCCAAGGACGTCGTGACAAATCGTTCGTGTTTGTGGCTTAATCACAATTAGGGATTAAATCAAGGGCGGTTCATACCTCACGCGAATTCGAAATTGACGCAGTGACGAAAAGAAATTGGCGTTCACTTTCGAGTCGAGTATTCAATTCAATTCAATTCAAAATACTTTATTTATCCTTAAAAAGGCAATTAAATATGGTTGGACAGCTCATTAAAGAGTTAGTGAATTACAAGTCGAGTAAATATAAATACATAAAACTTACATCAATCACAAACAACATGTCTTGAACCGGCCTTTGAAGGGTGGTCGAAGAATTGGTTCAGTTTGCAATAACAGTGACGAAGCACCCATTCTATCATCATTATTATTAATATTTATTCGGCCAAATCACAAGATACAACAAGCAATCCACAAAAGTAAACAAAACCAAACAAAAACAATCCAATCCAAGCTGGCCAGGATTGACAAATGTATAATAAAACACTGTGACTCGAAAGCCTGTCAATCCTAACTTGGATGGTACATGTAACATACAAAAATATATTTAAAAATAGTTCAATGAAAAATAAAACCGCCTTAAAAATAAAACGATCCCAAATCTAACAGATACAAAGAAGAACATCCACAATTGGTACCAATAAAAACGGCTTCTCATTTCGTTCACTGTGTTTATGGCCTATTACTGACGGAACCTTTTCTTAACCATCACCTCCAGACTAACACCCACTGGGAACCTCAGGTGTATTCAGCTACCGGGGACAGGTGCTCTATCACCCCAGTTTCTTGTCTTGACACGTGCGACCCCCGGGAGCGAGCAGGCAGCGCAGAAGCACTGAGTCACTCTAAATCTGGCAAGGCCAAAACCCCTTAAAAACAAGTTTAGAACTTAGAAGTGAGTCCTATACATGTTTACTGCGCGCCAAAACACATAGGATGGTTATGATTTAAAATAAAAGGTGTTTTCATTTTCAGGGAAAACCTGCAGTTTCTCAAGTCAAATTGTGTAGCCGTCAATCACACTGATTCTGAGGTGTGACCATGCCTTCTCAATTACCCGGAGTGACTATATACACCTAGGTCATCTCAAACCGTCGGTTTTGTTATTGGACTGAGTGAGTGGTTACAAAATCGATTCTCAGTAGTTGACCCAGACTTAAAACTGTGTTGCAGACAACGGGAAATCACCCCCCTTGGATTCGATTACCAGACTAGACTGTAAAAAAATAAGCTCTATTTGTCCATTACGAACCACTAATCGGACTCATTGCGTATTTGGCTAGACGAATTTCAAATGAGCATTGGAAACAAGGGTCTTAGTGCTAAGCCATTGTATGAAGTGAGGACCTTTTCTTTTTTTAATCCTCTCAACAAAAGACAGCACTGGAGCCCTCAGCTTCACTGCCAATTGGGATCATGGATGGAAAAATAACATAAGTTGACCATCGACTTGGAATTCTCTCAATTTTCGGAAACGTCAGTAGCGGATCTAAAGG